TGGAAGAAAAGGAAATGGCCCATCTAGATGATGCTTTGCAGGTGGCTGGAATATTTTGCTTGTCTTTTAATTATTACTATGCTGACTTTGTTGTTTCAGTTACAAATCACAATGGAAATACTAATTCTAGTCAATTCACTTGGCAGACAGACTTGAAGAAGTTCAAGAGGAATCCACCATTGGTAAAAATGCCAAGAGTCAGTGATCTTTTGAACACTCATCCGTTAGTTGGTGCACTGCCTGCTGCGATGCGTGATCCTTTATTAAGTAGCACAAAAGAAACAGTAAAAGGACATGGCACAATCCTTTATAGAGAGGGCTCAAGGCCAACTGGTATATGGCTTGTTTCGATTGGAGTAGTAAAGGTCTGTTTCTGCTTTAAGACTACCTTATCACATTAGAGTTGAGGCTTACTGTACTTTCCAGTTTGTTCCATGATGAGCATGTACATCTCTATCTCCTTTTTCCACAGTGGACAAGTCAGAGATTAAGCAGCAGGCATTCATTGGATCCAATTTTATCACATGGCAGCACTTTGGGCCTGTATGAGGTGCTGATTGGAAAACCTTATATCTGTGACATGATTACAGATTCTGTGGTGCACTGCTTCTTCATTGAAGCTGAAAAGATAGAGCAATTGCGTCAATCAGATCCTTCTATTGAGATTTTTCTGTGGCAGGTATCATAAGCTTAACCCAATAAATTATGTGGTTCTTTGGCTTCTTTATTTTATGGTTTTGGAAATCCGGATATCGTCGTAGAGCCAAACAACACTGCAGGGAAGATGTAGAACATACTGACCGGTACATCAACCAGTGTTCAGGAAAGTGGCCCTTTCTGTCGAACACTTAGGTACTGGTTTTTCTTTAAACCTGCAGTTTAGGTTCTAAAGAATACCCCAATCTGCCTTCCCGGTTTAAGCTGAAAGGCTATCTATGCTTCTCAAATATCACAGCATCTTAGGAAGAAAACATTTTAGCGTTGCAAGAGCTGGATGTCTGAAAACCTCTCAAGATCTTGGAATATACCAAAAAAAACTACACTGTTCTATTTTTCATATGCTTCCTGATTCCTTTTTAACGTATAAAAGTTCATGATTCTTTTAATCAGAAAGGTAGGACCTCTGCCAATTTAGTTACAGGATAGAGTTTAGAGATAGATAAAGTTACAAGGAGGAAAGGGCCTGCCAATAGGAAGAGCTGCTAGAGGCAAGGACTGCCAGAAAGTACCTGCACCATAACATTAATTGCCGAGGGCCCATGCATATTTGCCCAGTTCAACTTTGGGCCTGTTTAGTTCGCGAAAAGAAAATTTTTGGGTGTCACATCGGATGTTTGACCGAATGTCGGAAGGGCTTTTTGGACACGAATGAAAAAAATAATTTCATAACTCGTCTGGAAACCGCAAGATAAATCTTTTGAGACTAATTAATCCGTTATTAGCACATGTGGGTTACTGTAGCACTTGTGGCTAATCATGGACTAATTAGACTCAAAAGATTTGTCTCACGATTTCCCCCCTAACTGTGCAATTAGCTTTTTTTCATTTATCTATATTTAATGCTTCATGCATGTGTCTAAAGATTCGATGTAATGTTTTTGGAAAAAAATTTTGGGAAACTAAACGGGGCCTTTATTATCAAAGCACTTCACTTTTTTTTTCTTGGTTATTACAGTGAGGAGAAGATAACAAAATCAAACCGACATGTTCTCTTTTAACTAATTAATCTGTGGAACTTGCAAGCTTATATGTTCATATTAATATTCATGGAAATTTCAGGAAAGTGCTCTAGTCGTTGCCAGGCTTTTGCTCCCTATGATGTTTGAGAAAATGGCAACACATGAGCTCAGGGTTCTCATCACTGAAAGATCTACTATGAACATCTACATTAAGGGCGAAGAAATTGAACTTGAGCAGAATTTCATTGGCATCTTACTGGAAGGATTTTTGAAGACCAAGAACCAAACTTTGATCACACCTCCAGGGTTACTGCTACCACCAAATGCCGACTTGAACTTATTTGGTCTCGAGTCATCAGGTTATTAAGCTATCCTCAGACACTCAACATGAGATGCCTGTTCTTTTTCTTTTCCCTCAAAAACACAATGTTGTAGAGTGCTCTGAGTGAGTTCTCTGCCTCTTGCTGTTTTGTCGTCGGGATGACTCTTGCTGTTTTGTTTGCAGCTATAAACCGCATTGACTACTGTTATACAGCACCCAGCTATCAGGTGGAGGCTAGAGCAAGGATTTTGTTCGTTGAGATAGGGAGGCCCGAAATAGAGGCGGATCTGCAAAGGAGTGCGTCATTGATATCTCAAACCCTTGAACTGCCTCGGACACAAAGCAAGGAGCACAGCGGTTTGCTCAGCTGGCCGGAAAGCTTCAGAAAATCCAGGGGAGCTCAGAATGGTGCCAGCTTAACTGAAATCAGAGACCATCCAGCAAGCTTCTCTGCAAGAGCATTGCAGCTGAGCATGTACGGGAGCATGGTACGTAGAATAAGGAAAGCAAAATTATGGTTTTACATACAGTAGTATTTCTGATCAAAGTCAGCTGATGGATTTGGTTTGCAGATCAATGACATGAAGTCCGGTCAGGGTCAGGGTCAGAGGAGGCAGAGGCATCGTCACACGAAAGCAAGCTCTAATAAAGCGCACAGCTCGTCGTACCCAAGAGTGCCTTCGAGGTCGTCCAACACGCAGAGGCCCCTGCTGTCTGTGCAGTCCGAGGGTGCCAACATGACGACGGCAAGGCAGGCTGCTGCTGCTGGTGCTTCTCTGCCGCCGGAGCCGGAGGAGGCAGGACGGCGGCGGCGGCGACAACGCAAGGCAATAGAAGAGGACGAGGACAACTCGAGCGATGAGTCGGCCGGGGAAGAGGTGATTGTCAGAGTCGATTCTCCCAGCATGCTCACCTTCCGTCAGCCCTCCAGCGCTGCTGATCGATGATCAACGTCGCAACCCAAGTAATTGTTGGACCAGCCAATGGAAATACTCCTCTTATATTTAATACTAATATTTGCAATGCATTTGCTCATTTCATTCTGTTCTAGCGTATACATATGCATCTTATATTTGCATGCTTGGCTCGTGCGTTTACCTCTAGTACAGTAATAAAGAAGAATCCCTGTTCGTTCCGATGTTGAGCTACATGATTATTTATATAGATATATATTTTTGAGATGATGAGCTGCCTACTTGACTGATTAATTTTGTTTTGCATTTTGCTCATGACTCATGAGCCAATGACACAATAACACTGCAAATTTCATAATTGCTCACCGTAAATTTTATAGGTAACATAATTGTGAATTCCATAACTTGCACTGCATATTTCATAGGTGAGAGCCTGAATGCCTGATAGTGCATGGGTTGTACCCTTTTAACAGTTTAGCTATATGTTGGTTCGGTGTATCCCTATTCCTTTCCATTCGAGATGGCCACACCACAAAGCCACCCGATGGCTTTGAGGGATCACCGATTTTTTTTCCGCTACACTCTTTATGTATATCACTTTAAAAGTTATCAAAAAAAATTTAAAACAGTTTACCCATCAATATATGTTATATATTCTATAAATATACATGCTCAAATTCGACTTGCATACGGTGTTGTTTGTTGTTTGAGTTCAATGAATATAGAGATGTTTTGAGTTCAATGAATATAGAGATTAAGTACGGGCATGTGTAAAACAAGAAAGTCATTAGCGTATGGTTAATTAAGTTTTAGTTATTTCAAACTTGAAATTTTGGATTTATCTGACATTTAAAGCAATTTTTATATAGAAAGTTTTCTGCACAAAATGTTTTGTTTAGCAATTTGAAAAACGTGCTAACAAAAATTGAGATAAAATATGTATCTTAATCAGAAAAGAATGGAGCGTACTAGATTAAAAAAAACAAATATAACTATCAAACTTGATTTGTTTATCTACTTTTGTAAGTCGAATTTAAAACTACATGTTTATAGGATAATATATTATATATTAATATATCTTATCATCTTTTTTTAAAAAAAATAATAACTTGTTAGGTGCCATGCATTATGGCTTCTTCTGCTGTAAAGAGGAACTAAAAGAGAGAGACGGGGAGAGGCCCTGCTGCTCTCACTGTGAATGGTGCCAATGGTGAGCCAAGAATGATTGTGCTTCACCTCTCGATTCCTATCCTTGTGAGATCCTCCCTTAAAAGGAGTTTCACGGTACAATTTAATAGCATTATATATTGCGTATATACAAGAGCACATTAGAAATGTAATGGAGCTGATGTGCGACATATGGCTGCTGCCTCCTCGAGGTAGAGGGCCTAATTAACTAGGGTTTTCGGCAGGTCGGAAGGTGAGAAGCAGAGAGGAGACCAAGCGGCGGTGGAACTTGCTCACGGCGGCCGGCGTTGGTGGCGTGGCGCGCGCATGGACTTGTGGTGCTCGCGGGTGGCTCGCCGTGGTCCGTTGTGAACGGGCGATGGGAATGGTACTGGATGAGATCAAGTTAGAGAAAATTGTCCATTTAAAGAATTGTCCTCCGCGATATACGTTGTCCATTTATAGCTAGAATTGACCCCATGCATGTTGCAAAAACATACTCCCTCCGTTTCGAAATGTTTGACACCGTTGACTTTTTAGCACATGTTTGACCATTCGTCTTATTCAAAAACTTTTATAAGATATGTAAAATTATATGCCTATATAAAAATATATTTAACAATGAATCAAATGATAGGAAAAGAATTAATAATTACTTAAATTTTTTGAATAAGACGAACGGTCAAACATATGATAAAAAGTCAACGGCGTCAAACATTTCGAAACGGAGGGAGTATATAGAAATACACAATCGATTTAAGTGGGTAGAGAAATTAATGTACAACATTTTGGGTAGAGAACGCGTAAGGAGCATGAATTATTCTAGGGTTTTCTTCTTTCTTCTTTTTATCTGTTTAGCTTTGCGGTCATGGATCAGAGACAATGCATCATCGATCATGCATGAATTATTTCTTAGAATGGAAATGAAAGATATAGACCATATTTCAATCCGGATGGATAAGTTGATGATGATCGATCTTGTGAGATCGATGCACTTACAGCGTATACAGGCAAAATAATAATAATAATCAAACACGTACAGCCTCCAAATGAAAGGGAAAAAAAAGAAGAAGCAAACATAGTAATATCTATATAAGGTCTACCTCCAAATGAATGGATAATTGTAGTGTATAAGAAAGAAAATAGGGGAGAAATGGAAAAAGGAAGCTGGACGTGAGGAGCGGTGTGGTGGTGACGTACTCTTATAAGTAGCATATATATATATATATCCTCTTGGATATATATATATATATATATATATATATATATATATATATATATATATATATATATATATATATATATATATATATATATTATTATGTGGTGCTTAGTTAGTTTATTGTTGTTTTTTAATTAAGGATTAATTATTAATTAATAGGTAAAAAAAGAAATTAGAAGCACTTTCGGTGAACGATGGAGGGGCCGGACTCGTCGTACTCAGCCTTGGCAATCCACATCTGCATGAAGCGGAGTATATAGTATTAATGTGGAAAATAATAGTACTCCCTCCGTTTCGAAATGTTTGACGCCGTTGACTTTTTAGCACATGTTTGACCATTCGTCTTATTCAAAAAATTTAAGTAATTATTAATTCTTTTCTTATCATTTGATTCATTGTTAAATATATTTTTATGTAGGCATATAATTTTACATATTTCATAAAATTTTTTGAATAAGACGAACGGTCAAATATGTGCTAAAAAGTCAACGGTGTCAAACATTTCGAAACGGAGGGAGTAAGAAGTAAGGAAAGAAAGGAGTGGGCGGCCGGGTGCGTGCCTGCTGGAAGGTGCTGAGTGATGCGAGGATGGAGCCTCCGATCCAGACGGAGTACTTCCTCTCGGGCGGCGCGACGACCTTGATCTTCATGCTGCTGGGAGCGAGGGCGGTGATCTCCTTGCTCATCCTGTCGGCGATGCCGGGGAACATGGTGGTGCCACCGCTGAGGACGATGTTGCCGTAGAGGTCCTTGCGGATGTCGACGTCGCACTTCATGATGGAGTTGTAGGTGGTCTCGTGGATCCCCGCAGCCTCCATCCCCACGAAGGAGGGCTGGAACAGCACCTCGGGGCAGCGGAACCTCTCGGCGCCGATGGTGATGACCTGGCCGTCGGGCAGCTCGTAGCTCTTCTCGACGGACGACCCCGTGGCGGCGGTGGCCATCTCCTGGTCGAAGTCGAGGGCGATGTAGGAGAGCTTCTCCTTGACGTCGCGGACGATCTCGCGCTCGGCGGTGGTGGTGAAGGAGTAGCCGCGCTCGGTGAGGATCTTCATGAGGTAGTCGGTGAGGTCGCGGCCGGCGAGGTCGAGGCGGAGGATGGCGTGGGGGAGGGCGTAGCCCTCGTAGATGGGGACGGTGTGGCTGACGCCGTCGCCGGAGTCGAGGACGATGCCGGTGGTGCGGCCGCTGGCGTAGAGGGAGAGGACGGCCTGGATGGCGACGTACATGGCGGGGGCGTTGAAGGTCTCGAACATGATCTGGGTCATCTTCTCGCGGTTGGCCTTGGGGTTGAGGGGGGCCTCCGTCAGCAGCACCGGGTGCTCCTCGGGGGCAACGCGGAGCTCGTTGTAGAAGGTGTGGTGCCATATCTTCTCCATGTCGTCCCAGTTGTTGACGATGCCGTGCTCGATGGGGTACTTGAGCGTCAGGATGCCTCTCTTCGACTGCGCCTCGTCCCCGACGTACGCGTCCTTCTGCCCCATCCCCACCATCACCCCCGTGTGCCGTGGCCTCCCCACGATGCTCGGGAACACCGCCCGCGGCGCGTCGTCCCCCGCGAACCCGGCCTTCACCATCCCCGTCCCGTTGTCGCACACCAGAGGCTGGATGTCATCAGCGTCCGCCATCTCTCTCTCTACCTGCTACTTTCTTTCTTTCTTCTTACTACTGCAAATACAACAAACTTCTTCTCTAGCTCTTCTTTCTTTTCCTCCTCCCTCTTCCTTCTCCTCCTCCTTCTCTTTCTTGTGTAGCTAGGCTACCCAACAAACCTTGTAACAGCTAGCAGCTAGCAATGGCCAAGGATGACAGTTTCTGTGCCTCCATCTATATATACACACCCACACACAAACCAAAGCCACACACCTGCACCGACGGACGCCCGCCTTCCTCGTCTCCTCTCCACTTCCACACATCTATATATACACTATAGAAATATTATTACTGGATCCATTAATTATAGTATATGTCTAGTAGTAATTGTTTGTTTTCTTTATCCATGCATGCATGTATATCGCTCAATATATAATACTAATACTAGCACGCCACGCGCTACTATTTTATATCATCACTCAACAGGAAACTCAATCTTTATATATGGCCAGCATATATATATATATATAATCATCCGATCCTCTTTAGTATTAAGATTACAAACAAATTTGAGACTAAAAATATGCATGCATGGGCTCACCAAACCTATACAGCACCAGGCAACGATGATGGATGATTGCCAAAAAAAAACACACCACCAAATCTCATCAAGAAACCAAAGGTTAAAAATAAGACTAGCTTAATTTGCCAGGTTAATTAGACAGAGTAGTCGTCGCGATTCCCACGAGATATAGGCTAATCGCTCCGTCTTCTCGGCTCGACGTGTAAAAATGTAACCGATCGATCCATCTTCTCCAGACATCAATCAGCAGCTCGTCATCACTACTAATCCAACATTCAACAACTAGACAAGGATATGATGTCGAAGCACCCAATTAAGCTCTCCTCTTATTTGAATGCTTCGTAAGGGTTGGCTGGTTGCCGCCGTGTTCCTCGCTTGCATCACATATTGCGTGCTGAACCACTCCGAGGCAATGTCCTGAGTTACATTACATTACATACTCACGTGCGTTAGCTGCATTTCATAATTAAATTAATAGTAATCTCAACCAAGGAAAAGTAAATCTTGTTCCCAGTATTAAGTACCTGCCAGGTGGCAGCTGCGAACTTGAACTACCAAACCTTTTTGCTTTGTTATCCTGCTCTTTCTCCAACCGCAAAGCCGCCATCTCCTTTTCCATGGCAGCTACCTCCATCCTCCTTTTTTTACCCTCTGATTCCATTGCCTTTGTCAATGTGTCTACTTTCTTTGCTAGCATCTATACATCAAACCACCCATTAATAGGACCAAGGCAAAATGAAAGGTTAAAAACAATTCAACACTCTCCAACTAGATTTACCTCAACTGCATCGTCCTTGTCTTTCAGGCTTTGGTCCTTTTCATGGCAAGCCTTCCTTAGAGCAATTACCTCCTTTTGCAGCGTATCATACAGCAAACCTGATACCGTATCCTCTGTCTCAACTGATGTAAATTCGTTAGCCTTCTCATCTGAGTTGTTTGATTCCTTATCTTCACTGGAGTCCGTAGATACATTCATACCAGACCCGTTTACATGTCCCTTGTAACGGTCAAGTGATCTACAGCCTCCGTCAAAAGACTTTGATGCCCCTTTTGCATGGTTGACCAGAGTAGTTGTGGTGGTAGATACTGACGATCTCATCTGGAATGATGGCCGTTTTGATAGGAACCCATTGGTCTTGGATAAACTATCAGCACCACCAATAGACTGGCGGCGTGCTGCACTAACATTGGTTCGAGTCGTTGACATTCTCAAACCTTCCTCAAGTACTTTAAGCCGTAGCTGGAACTTATCCTGAGAAATTTGATGCAGATCACAATGAAGAGATAGTAGAAATACATAATTAACAGGAAGATGGAAGAACTTTATGAGACATGTCAAAACATACTTTCAATTGAGCTTCTGATCGTGCGGCCCTTTCTGCTATAGCCAGTTTATCCCGGAGTTGCTGCATTTCTCCCTGCAAAAGAAAGAAAGAAAAGAAAATTCCCAACAAATTAGACCCCAAAAAGATGAACCATAGTATACTCCGTTTAGGAGTGGGGAAAAGTGAAAACAATTGTTGCATTAAAAGGCTTCACTGTATCCATCCAGAACAAGTCAGCAATAGCACATAATTAAATGATAGCATTACTTACTTGTAAAATCCTCCGTTCTTCTAACCATTGTTTAACAGGCATTACTTTATCATTGCCATCTTTCCATTCATTTGCCACCACTACTGCAACTCTATTTGCCGAAACCTTCGCACGAGCTAGTTCACGATCAAGAGTTTTCCTTTCTTCCTGACATCAGCATAAGTGTAAATTGGCATCAATTACCATTCTATTAGGTAGAATAAACATCAGGAACGTGTGCTCAGGGCATCATGCATTACATTCATCTCCTGGACTTTGCGCTGATAGTCTCTCACAGCATTTGCAGCTGCACCTCCAGCAAGAACAGCTTCTTCGAGCTCTCTGACAGTCTGAGTGAGCTTCTCAACCTCAGCTACTTTTTGGCGGTGCATTCTATCCAAGATTTTGTTCTCTTCCTGCAGAGTGCCAAATACTTATATACTGTAGCTAAACATGTGGTACATGCTTTGCAAATGACTGCTATTTCTGTTGTCTTATACCTGACAGATCTCGATCTGTTTCATCAATTCTTGGTTTTTGTTTTGCAAATCATCAACCAAAGAAGCTTTTGCTAATGCTATCTGAACCGTCCTTTCTGCTTCCAGCAGAGCTGCTTCCTTGGACTTAGTAAGGCGGTCCAATGCCCTGTTGTCATCTTGTAGTTTTGCGATCTATGCAAGAAAACTAATGCCTTAGTCCTAAGTGTTTCAGTAGCAGCTGACACTCAATCAAATATGGAATAAGCAGGGAACAATTAATGGTGATATTCTGAAATCAACAATAGCACAGCATAAAGCATATAGACCTCTACTCTTAGCAAGTTTCAGAATAATTGAGATCTGCAACACATTTAGGAATCAGGTCACATTGTAAATATCTCTCAAGAAAAGAGCTGTAAAATAAGTAGGTTACATCACTTAAAGGTAATAATCTTTGAGAAGGATTGCAGCATTCTTCATCTGTAAAGCAAGCATCTTGACACAAAGACCGATGCATGAAGAACATTGGTACTGATTGGAAAGAAAAGAAGAAAGAGAATCCAGGTATACACTTGGATGAAATACCTCATGACGAGCTAGTTTCAGTTCAGCTTCCAATGGCGCAAGAATGGCCTCAATAGGGGGCATGTCATCATCCTTCTGTGCTGCATGAACCCTTCGAAGTGTAGCCTCTGCTGCAAATTGGGCTGCAAGTGCTGCTTTCTTTTCATCGTTTATCTTCTTTGCCTCAAGGTTCTGCAGCATCGTGTGCTATCAGTAACTGTTCTCGAGACAATATGAGCTGTGAAAGAGGAAAAGAATAGGGCTGCTCCATTACCTTGCTTTCGAGGAGAGACTCTGTAAGCTTCAGCTTCCCATCCACCTTTGTCAATTCTTCCGTAAGCTTACATCGATGCAGAAGGCAAAGTCAGGATAGTCTCCCTCAAAAAAAAAAAATCTTAAAGTTTGACTACAAGTATAAGTCAAAAGCTTTGACAATGCAGTTAAGTATGATAACAGCAGCATGGTCATTGAATTATCCTAAATTACTTAGGGTGCCTGTTGGCTGTTGCCCTGTGTTAAGTTGACAGCTGTTGCAGCGTAAGGATCCATGTTCAACAACAAAATAACAAGCTAAACAAGTTAATAGCAGGACTCGGAGGTCATTAATCGGACAGTTACAATCAGTAAGCGCAAAGAAAGCAGCTTGATGCGCATAGACATTGAAGCGTTGGGGGCTATGAGCTCTATGGAGGCCATAGTGAGCAAGTAGCAGATACAGAGCATAGTATATAGATGGAGTTTTCATGAGTTGTTGTTATGTTGAAAGGTTTTTCATTTTGAACCGCAGAAAGAGAAGATGTCAGGCCTGTTCACTTTGATGCCATTTTCAACCTTACCAAATTTTAGTAAAGTTACCAAAAAAGTGACTACATTTAGTTTGCTACCAAATTTTGGTAACTATATAAGAAATCCTGCCAAAATTTTGGCAAGTTACCAAAATTTTGGTAACTTTGCTAAAATTTGGCAATGCCAAAATTTGGTAAGGTTTTTTTTGGCATCAAAGTGAACAGGCCCGTCATTTTCCAACTAGTTAAATCTAGCAGGTCACTAGGCATTAGTACACGACAATGAAAATGAAGAAAGCTGCTGGGATCTGGTAGTTTCCACAAGATGCATCGGATTTATAAAGGAGAGATGTAGAAAAAGAAAAGGAAAGGATTTTATTTATTTATTTATACTGACATCCTCGACGGCCTTCTCGCGCGCTCGCTCGGACAGCCGCAGAGCCTTGATCTCAGCCTGCGCCTCCCCAAGCTCCTTCTCCTTATCTGCAGTCAGTCAGAGGGGTCGCGAATTGTAAGATGCAGTTAGGTGGGAGGAAAGATCCGATCGAAACAGCGGGAGGGGAGATCCGAAGATCTAGGGGGTAGATCAGATCGGGGAGGAGCGGCATTTGAGGAGAAGGATGGGATGGGATGGGATGGGGGTTACACTGGAGCTCGTTCTCGAGGCGGGTGAGCTCGACTCGGACGGGATCGGAGCCGTGGAGGAGGTTGATGAAGTCCTCCACCTCGAGCGCGGGCTTGAGCTTCTGGCGCTGCTGCTGCTTGAGGCCCTTGCCGTCGCCGTATGGGTCGGCCATGGCAGGCGGGCGGCGAGGAGCACGCTGTGGCGATCAGCTGCCTCTCTCTCTCTATCTCTCTCTCACTCTGACACACACACACACAGTACCCAAATAATCTCTCTGTATCAGAGCAGAGAGACACCGGGAGAGAGAAGAGGAGAGAAGAGTCGAGTCAGCTCGATCAGGCAGGCAGCTCACTGATGAGATGACACTCCCACCAGCACCACTTCTACTGCTGATTTCTGAAAATGACACCCAATGCAATTTTAACGGTATCTACGCCCCGTTTTAGGCAGCTGCCGTTATACTCTCTCTGTATCACTATCTCCTGATGCTCAGTCCGTTTCTAGTATAGTACAATTTACCATAGACAATCTTCTCATTTTCTGTGAGTATTTTTCTTGTAAAATGGTTTTTCTATGAAAAAAAAAGGTTGGGTGTAGCTATATTTATGGCGTTATATTTTTTATCTAAAAATAGTCAGTATGTATTTATACATTGTATGTTGCTAGATTATGAAGAAGTTTTTGAAATATAGCAATTTTAAAAATGTTTCACGCAGAAGTTTTTAATTAAAAATATCAAATAAACCAATCACGGTATGTTTAAATAAAATTCGTCTGAAATTCGAGTAGAGTTGAGTTGGGCTGGTTGGGCTGCGATTTCAGAACAGAACACCGACCCGGAAAACTGCTTGTGGGGCCATCCTGTCAGCGTGGATGGATGGAGTATAACTCAACAATAAGGGTAGGAAGGAGCGTTCCGTTCCGTCGAAGACTTGCCTCGCCGCATACCTCGCCTCCGATCCGATCCCCCCCCAAACCCTAACCCTAGCTTCCTCCACTCCCATGGCTGAGGAACCCTCCCCCTCCCCCTCCTCCTCCTGCGCCAAGCACCACCGCTCTCCCGACCCCGCCGACCCCGCCGCCTCTCCTAAGCGTCGCCGCAGGCACCACCGCCGCCGCCGCGACGTGGATGACGACGACGAGTCTCCGCTCGCCGACGCGGACAGGCCGCCGGCCGCCGAAGACGTCGAGGAGGGCGAGATTCTGGACGACGCCATGGATGTCGACGCCGTTCCAGATGCTGCTCCGGTCCGTCCCCCCCCCCCCTCCGAATCCTTCCCTCCCTCTTTCTTTTAGACGTGTATGGATATGTATGCTTATTAGACGTGCAATTTTAGTCAAGGCGTGGCATCAGCACACGCAACTCAATTGCCATGCTCCCTTTCACTTGTCCAGGCGCAACACTTTTGTTTTGCTGCAAAACTTCTTTAATATGCAATTTTCCTTTTCCGCTCTTATTCATGCTGCCCACCGTATCTTGGAACTGTGCTCATATTACTTGGTGCTCTCTAATTGCAGCAACTTTCTTCTGGTAATCATGCCCATATGAACTCAGATGCTGATGCAACCGTGCTGCATGCTTCTCGCTTGCCTACTCATTCATCCTCAAGGGACGAAACCAAGTCAAATCACACCGCCCATGAGCCTGAGAGTGGAGGCGATGCAGATGATACCAAAGGGGATAGACAAAGTCAAAGGGTGCCAAAATCACCACTATTGACAAGGGAGAAAGAAAGGAAGCACAAAGATGAGCACCGCAAATCGTATCCTAAAGATTCACATTCCAAAGAGCAGTCTAGAAGATCCCCTTCAAGGCACCATAGCAGTCAAGATCATGCCAGGCATCACTCAAGGTCTAGAGATACTGGTGCTGAAGCTAATGGTTCGCGGGCAAGTACAAGGGAAGATTCTGACCGTGACAGCAACGGCAGAAATAGTAAGCATGGTAGGCATGCAACCAGGAGTCGAGATAATGAGACAGAAAGGAGCAGCAGCTATGCTGTTCGTGATGAGGCGTATGATGAGCGGGAAAGATATAAGCATGAAAGAAGGCATAGAAGCAACCCAGTTGATAGAGACAAAGTGGATTTGCATGAACTAACTCACAGGGATAGAGAAAGGAGCAGCAGTCGCAGTAGATCTGATCGTAGGGAGAGTGCACATCACATTCGTGATGAAAGCAGGGAGAGTGAAAGGCGGAGTAGTAGTTCAAGGCATAAAGATAATGAGAGAAGGGATAGAAGTAAGGATCGCTATAAAGAATCTGACAAGGTTGACAGTGGACATGAAAGGGACAAAACAAGAGATGATAGAGACAGGGGACGACATAAGGATTTGGAAAGTAGAAAGCGGAGAAATGGAGAAGCAAAGGACAGGGATGACAGGCACAAGGATTCTACACGCTCAAAATACAGTACTTCTGATAGTCATAAACACCGCTCAAGATCCAGGGAGAGAGGTAGAGATGCTGAACGTAGAGGCCAGAGATCTGAAGAGCTGAAGGAGAATACTTTCAGGTAAAGCTTCTTTCACATGATTTACTATCTTTCCTTTTGACACTTCATAAGTTCATAGTTCATATTGCTGTTTTTATGATGTTAGGGAGGAGGATGAAGAGGAGTACCAAGAGAAAATTGAACAGCAGTTAGCAATGCAGGAAGAAGAGGACCCTGAAAAAATTAAGGAGGAAGCAAGGAGGAGGAAAGAAGCTATTATGGCAAAATACAGGCAGCAACAATTGCAGAAGCAGCAGCTGGAATCTTTACCTAGAAGTAATGATGAAGGTAACTTGAATATCCAAAATTGACAGAATATAAAATTATTATGTGTAATATTCTATTCCTAAATGAATTTATTCCATACTGACTATCTTACCTGTGCCTGTACAGAAGAAGTGGAAATGAACAGAGGTGATAATGCAGATCTGAAAGGTGATAACGATAGCAGATTTGTGGCTAGCGAGGAAGCTGAAAATAAGCATGATTCTTCAGATGCAATTGTTGGTGAAACAGACTTCACTGTGGGAAAGTCTCCTGCTCACAATGATGGTGCAGGAACTTTGGGTAATCAGAGAACAACTGGTGTTTCAGGTCTTGGAGAGGGCACTCCAAAGGTAATTCTGTTCTCTTACCCTGTTGTTCAACTTTAAGTTATTTAAATCTGGCCAGGCCATCCAGAAATTTTATGTTCCCCTTTCTATTTTCAGAGTGAGAGATCGGCGGATATGTTTTGTGATGACATTTTTGGAGAATCACCTGCTGGCATCCGGAAATTGGTAGGCTTCTTTTTTCCTTATGTAATCTGTAAGTGTATCTAAGCTGCAACAGATTAGGACTGATGAATGGTGGAGATGGAATGTTCTAAGTGCATTACTGAAGATGGCAAACTACCCCCTTCTTAGGACTAGTAATGTGTCTAGAAAAATAGTCTAGCATCCTGTGCCAATAGCATCATCATGCTGTAGAGAAAATAGGAATAACAAATCAGTCACCACACTAAAGAAGATACCAAAGCACTTCCACATACATGATTCTTCCAAACCTTGGTCAAAATCTTACCATACTTGGATAGCAGAGACAATAAAGTCAATTTGTGACCATCTAATGTTGAAACATAAAAACCATATAAATTTCCAAGATTGACAGATTGTCTCACTATATACAATCCCAGTACATGAAGAAAGAAGCCTTCCAGATTTAATTATGAGGAGATCCATCCCTCAATATAAATTATGGACATGTTTAGACTAAGAACTGATCGAGTGAATGGCTGGTTAATAGATTTATTAAAATCAGGGAAGGAAAGAAATGAAATCCATGGGAGTGATCAAGCAGCTGGACCAAAGAGGGGTGCAGGCACAAAGAGCATTCACTATGAAGTGATCCATCTTGCACTATGAATTTGCTACACTATATTTGAGGCTATTGATCAAATGGACAGGATTGATATGTGTATATTTCTATGGGTGGTCATAGAAAATACTAGAACTGATCCTTTCTATGTTAGTAGAATATTCCAATATTAGAGATATACATGACCTGTTTACTCAGTGTTTGAATATTATGCCGTGCAGGGCAAGGATGATGGTTTGCGCATCGAGAAAAATGCTCTTCATGACAACTGGGATGATGCCGAGGGGTACTATAGTAAGTTCCACCATATGCTAACCTTCTCCCTTTTAGTTTTCTTTTGTTAACTGTGGTCAACAAACTATTCTTTGCTGTGTCCATTTGTTTCCATTCCTAACTTATGCAAAACTTTGCAGCTTACCGTTTTGGGGAATTGCTGGATGGGCGCTATGAGATTACAGCAGCACATGGAAAGGGAGTGTTTTCAACAGTTGTCCGAGCAAAAGATCTTAAAGCTGGGAAGGATGATCCCGAAGAGGTTGCTATTAAGATTATTCGCAACAATGAGACAATGTGAGTTAAGCTTCCTAGAAGTATTTTTGGTTTACTTGTAGCATGGAACATGTACATGACCCTTTTATTTGATATTTGATTATACAGGTACAAGGCTGGTAAGCAAGAGGTTTCAATATTAGAAAAACTGGCAAGTGCGGATCGTGAAGACAGGCGCCACTGCGTGCGGTTTATTTCTAGTTTCATGTATAGGAACCATCTTTGCTTAGTTTTTGAATCTCTAAATATGAATCTTCGTGAGGTACTAAAGAAATTTGGTCGCAATATCGGACTTAAACTAACTGCTGTGAGGGCATATTCAAAGCAGCTTTTCATCGCCCTGAAGCATCTGAAAAACTGCAAAGTGCTGCACTGTGATATAAAGCCAGATAATATGCTGGTATGATATCTGGCTTGCCATACTTCTTTTCTCACACTAGCATTTGCTCTTGTTTTTTGGCCATTCGGTTTTGTAGAAGTTTTGTCACTATCTACATAAAAAAAACCGCTATCTGGAACATGGCAATTTTGATTCCTGTGGATATTGAACATGCTTGAATATTTTTATTTATGCTTGTTATATACTACAGTCATTGTATCTACAGTAAACATCCTTTTTAATTTTTTGTCTTGATATTCTTTAGGTGAATGAGGCTAAGAATGTGCTGAAGCTCTGTGATTTTGGCAATGCAATGCTTGCTGGAATGAACGAGGTTACACCTTATCTTGTGAGCCGTTTCTATCGTGCACCTGAGATAAGTGAGTTCCTTTTCTCGCACTTCATTTTGTTGTGTATTCAATATTCTTCCTACTGTTATTCTGTCTCCATACTACATGTGGTCTGATGCACAATTTTTCTTGCAGTTCTTGGGTTACCCTACGACCACCCATTAGACATGTGGTCAGTTGGCTGCTGTCTATATGAACTTTACACCGGAAAAGTCCTATTTCCAGGTCCATCAAATAATGACATGCTTCGGCTTCATATGGAACTGAAGGGCCCCTTCCCCAAGAAAATGCTTCGAAAGGTTCTTCATCATTTTCAAATCTCTTCTTACCTTCAAGGAAACAATCTACTTTTGATATTTACATCTGCAACAGTTGCTAAGTGAATATACAAATACTTTCTAAGGAATTGTTCCCAATTTTGCAGGGTGCCTTTACGATGCAACATTTTGACCAAGATCTCAACTTTCATGCCACTGAGGAGGATCCTGTGACTAAAAAGGTGTCTATGCAACCATGTTCTCAAATACTCTGTTTGAGTGCATTGTTATGGATTATCTTAACTTATTCTTCTTTTTCTTGCAGGCTGTGACAAGGATGATTTTGAACATTAAGCCAAAGGATATTGGTTCCTTGATTTCAAACTTCCCTGGCGAGGATCCAAAAATGCTATCCAACTTTAAAGATCTTCTTGAAAAAATATTTGTCTTAGATCCAGAAAAGAGGATAACCATATCACAAGCACTTAGCCATCCATTTATCACTGGCAAGTGAAAAGATGTTGATTACTCTTGGCATTGCTAACTTAGCATACCTTGTAAACTACATTTTGGGTCGCTCTTGTCTAATCATTGGCATTTCTGTCTTGTGTCCTCGGAGCTATGAGATCAGAGTATGTGGGCGAAGCTCGGAAATATGGAAGAGATGGCTGTCTTACAGACCTTGGTGCATGCAGTTATCATTTGGATATGTTCTGTTGCTTGTAAGACAACTGGCCAGCTGGCATTTCATTACCTGTATACATTCTTTCCTATGGATTTGCAAGATATACACATGATATTTCTCTTCATTTTGCTCAACAGTGTGCTGAATTCTGTCCGAAAATCTAGGTTATATCTATAAATGTTTTTGTACTGGAGGTGGTTTTTCCACCAGGGTTAACCTACTCTAGGGATCAAACCCAGGTCAGCTGGGCACCCCCACCCCTAGTGCCTTACTGCCTGAACACATTGAGGGTTGTCTATTCTATGTATTACTAATAATTGAGTGCGTATATTCATAAATCTTCACGTGCTTGATTTTCTTACGAATTGGGCACAATTTTCTTTTGTTCTTCTTTCAAATACTGTCATGTTTATGTTGCCTGCTTTGTATGCTCAGCATCAGGCATTTACTCATCTGGATATGCGTTGGATGGCCACGCTACTTGTCAAGCTCTTTTATTTAATATTAACAGGGACCTTCTTTTCTGTTAGTTTATTCTTACATCTTTTGTTTCTGGATTTTAAGGATCTGATTATTTGTTTCATTCAGGAATTCTGCCAGGGCCTCTGCTGTGAAAGTGCACATTTTGTATGCTAAAGGGCCAACATAAGAAGGTACCCTGATTGATATCTGGGTAACTAAGTAGTTTGCACCCATGAGTGATACATTCTCTTTTGACGACATGATTTTTTGATTTAAGTTGTCAAGATGAGTCAGCATGTGACACTGAATTGATTTTTTAATATGAATGTGCATATGACCTCTTCCATAGTACTACATATATGTTCCGATCTTCTTTTATTGGATGGATGTTTTTTCTTTTGAAATTTCATAGGTCACTGCCTGTTTGTCTTTTGATATTTTGTATGAATCGATACATTATGCTTACCTTCTCTTACATTTGTTAGCTTCACTGAAGTGTGGTTCTAGGAAGCCTTTTTTTTATGTATTTGCACTTATATGTGGAACATCAATTGAAAATTTTATTTTGCTTTTATGTTACTGAGGCCCTGGGATGGAGAATAGCTGGTTGCGCTGCTTACACTAGCCCCCCTATGACGGTAAATTCTTCAACTCTGTAGATACACCAGCCTTTTAACAGTGCAGATATTTTGAATTATATCCCTAATAGATATCCAACTTTACTTTATTTTTCATATATATGCATCCATTAAATATAGCCTTAACTATAGTAATTAGAGGGTAGTATAATTGTTTCAATGCCATCTTGTTCTATGTGCAAGCTGAAAATACACTATAAACATGGATGTAGCAGTTCATGTGTACATTTTTGGGACCTTTCCATGTGTATGTGGTACATTGTGATACACGTCGTTAACTCAGTGGAAACTTGGGTGGGTGGTTTGATAAATTTGTTTATTCTGAGATTAAAAATTTGAAATTTGCTTGATTTCTTTCTCTTGTTGTGCAAGAATACTTGACTAGGAGGGTAGGCCTTACAAATAAGAGCTGTTACTAGTAATCCACGGATCCACCTAGTTCCTGGGTCCAAAGCCAATCAAAATTATTGGCCTACTTTTAGGTCCGATGGGTGCATACAGGAGCAGGATGAAAAGGTGATAATTCCTCCATCCCAAAATATAAGGCGCAATCACTTTTTCTCCATGTCTCATAATATAAGGCGTGCATGCATTTGTGATGGTTGCATGCATCAAACCTGAAACCCCCAATCACACTACTTGCATGCATCGAAGTGATCCAACCGAGGAGGTGATTAAATTCGTTTTTGGTCTTTGCATTTGTGATGGTTGTGCCTTATATTTTGGGATGGAGGGAGTATTTAATTGCGTTATGGGTCCCACTTGTGACTTGTAAACAGTGGAATGATAAAAACAATTATGGTTCCATCGCTAATCTGGCCGTTTCCATCCCAGGTCCCAGCTGCACATTGGGGTTAATTCTAGGATTAAGCACTTACACTTTATACCATGTGCAGTGTTTAGCTGTTTCTTGACTCGGAATATTTTTGAATAATTAAAAACTGCTGGTCTGGTGATAGTTAACAACTGCTATATAACTTTAGATTAACTTCAAGTTAAGTTAGCTAATAATAACTGGGTAAAAGTTTATGGGAATGATTGGGTTTCACCATTTTGTCTATATTGGTATATTCTGCTGTCAAATCTAATTGTTTTCCATTCTATGAAATAGTACTTCTATGTTGTTAAGTATGCAACCTGACAAAGGATTGCTTGAGTGAAATTCCTTACACAGCCCCTAATTTTCTGAGTAATTTGTTACTTTGTAAATCTTGCTATTATAGCTTCTATCAGGAACATTACAACTTACATCAAGAAGAATTTTTTTTTTGCTCGTTCTTTGACTTTCCAAACAAATAAATCAAATTTCGGAATACTATATCATGTTTGATTTCTGCAATTCTCTGCATGCAAAAAACACCCATTGAGAATGTAAAAATTCACATATCATAATATTTTGACTTGTCACATCTTTTATTACTTCCCTTCAGAGGAGTATTTTGCATAAGCCTAAGGTATCCGTATTAGACAATGCCAGTGATAAACCTGAGTAGTTTATCTGGATGAATATTATTCTACTTTCCATTTCTCACTGATGTGCTATCCACGAATCTGTTTGACTGTGCCCTCATCACTTGAAGAGTTAAGGCCACGAATTTCCCCTTGTTCATTTTATAATATATATTTCAGCACTAACATCGGTTATGTGGGCAAACATTCACGTCTCAAAATATGGCATTAAACTTGTAATTGCGTTGAGAACCTATGAAGAGGGTGATTACTGGCAAATTTTGTTTGAGGAAACTATTGCATATTATTGTTATTATGCTTGAATGGATGAATGTATTGAATTGGTGATTTCTTGTGATGATCAATGTGTACGAGCGGCATGTTTGCTTGCGAATTATTATCCTAGTCAGGTAGCTGGTGAAATCGTAGTGTATCCTGAACAAATATATAATCTGGATTGATTGGGTGAATAAGCTTTGGCAACCGAGCTTCGTGCCTCGCTGCTGCTTCACCGAAAACTACCTTCGCCTCCGACTGGCTGCTCTGCCAACAACGCCGCGCACCGGCTTAGCTGGCTTTGAAAGAAGTTGGAGGCTTCTATACAAAGGAATCCCGTTGGGACGGGATGATACTGGTTAGGTATCATGTCTTAATACCTAACCGGTATCAGGCGATACTTGCAAAGCTATCAGGTGATATCTGTTAGGGATCATACGATTTTTACCACGTATCAGGTGATACCTATGAGGTTACGAGGTATCAGGCGGCCACTAGCGCTGCTCCCTTTCTCGGTTCCGGCTACCATCGCCGCTGCCCCTCCCTTGGCTTCGGCCACCGCTGCCACTCCCCTCCCTCCCCTGGCTTTAGCCACTGTCGTCTATCCTCTCTTCGTCGATGATTCCCCTGCTGTTGGTTCGACCATGACGAGACGTAGACGAGGTTCTTAACGTCGTGGGAGCTAACTGTGTTGGGGCTCTTTGCTGGTGGCCGCGTCCTCTCGCGGAGCGGGTCCTCTTCCTCGGTCCTCGCCGGAGGTCTTTGCCAATAGCCACCTCCTCCTCATGGCTTAGGCACTTTTAGCTCTCGCTCCTTTTTGGATAGGCAAGGGGGACGAAAGGAATCCTGTCCCGTCTCGACGGGATCTTGATACGTAGCAATCCCGATAAGGGTTTTTCAAGTGTGATAAAAATTCACCTTCTACTAGCAAAGACCATATTAACAAGCCGGTTGCTTACCTCATGTGTCATCATAAATAAATAAATAAATAAACAGTGAATCATAGTTTTCACCGTGCAGTAATCTTTGAATACGTGGCACGCATCTTTTGGGGTGGTTGAGCTTACGTCAGTACAGTACTGATTCGAGTAGTTACTAGCAAAATACCAATAATTAATCCTTGTTAACGGAATATATGGACTGTCATCCGGGCTGTGTAGTACTAGTATTTTGCAACTTGCAAGATGCAAATGCTAACAAATAGTGCAATGCTTGCTACTTGCTAGGACAAAATGAAGTCAGTTGGCTTGGCTGTTAGCTAGCGATCAATCATATGCAGCGATTTGCCTGCAACAATAGCAGCTCAACATGGAAAATATTCTGTATAATCTACAGTAGTATTCACACAAGAAAAAGAAAAAACAGTAGTAAATGTGTGTGTCATGTCATCTGGGGCCCGACAGCTGCTGCGCCGACACGCACGACGTGGGCGACCAGCTGCTGCTGCCGGCGCCGCCGCTGGTGAAGTCGGAGCCGCCTTTCCCCGCAGCATGGAGGCCGGAGCGGACGTCGACCAGGCCGCGGCCGTACAAGCGCAGGTAGTCGAGCAGCTCCGTCCTGGGAACTCCGGCCTCCATGCTGCCGTCGAGCATGGCGGACACCGTCGTCATGGCCGGCCGCAGCGCCGCGTCCTCGTGAAGGCAGCAGAGCGCCACGCGCACCACCCGCTCCACCTGCGCCACGTCCGCCCTCCCTTCCAGCCGCTGGTCCACCACCGCCTCGTACTGCCCTTGCTCGTGCAGCTCTAGCGCCATCGCCGGGAAGTAGCCGTCCGAGTCCGACGAAGCCTCGCCGCCGCTGCCCTTGCCCGACCTGCAGTTCTTCCTGCCGCGCACGATCTCCAGCAGCACCATGCCGAAGCTGTACACGTCGGCCTTGTCGGTGATGGGCGCGTTGGTGAGCCACTCCGGCGCCAGGTACCCGCGGGTGCCGCGCATGGTGGTGAAGAGCCCCGACTGCTCCGGGCTCATCAGCTTCGCCAGCCCGAAGTCGGCGATCTTGACTCCGCCGCGGTCGTTCAGCAGGATGTTCTCCGGCTTGACGTCGCAGTGGAGGATCTTGCGGGTGCAGCCGGCGTGCAGGTACGCCAGCCCGCGCGCCGCGCCCACGCACACGCCCATCCGCTCCGGCCACTCCAGCGGGGCGGCGGCGGCGCGGAACAGGCACTGGTCCAGCGACCCGCGGTTCATGTACTCGTACACCAGCAGCTGCCGCGCGCCCTCGGCGCAGAACCCGCGCAGCTTGACGAGGTTCACGTGGTGCGCGTTCCCGATCACCGCCATCTCCGTCAGGAACTCGCGTCGCCCCTGCGACCCAAGGTTGTTCATCCGCTTCACCGCCACCACCGCGCTCCGCTCTGGGTCTGTGAGCTCGCCCCTGTACACGCACCCGAACCCTCCCGACCCGATCTGCGACTTGAACCCCTCCGTCGCCTCCTCCAGCTCCGCGTACGTGAACCTCGCCGGCAACCCGGGGATGAGAACCTCGTCGCCGTCGCCGTCGTCTTCTTCGCCCTGCTGCTCCTCACTCGCATACGACGCCTGCTGCGACGACAGCATCGGCAGCTTGAACCAGCTGCGGCTGCCGCCCTGCTTCTTCTTCTTCTTCTTGTTGCTGGCCTGCCGGCTCTTCACCCACATCACGTACACGACGAAGCCGATGAGCACGGCCGCCACGGTTGGCAGCGCGATGCCGAACACTATGGTTATAAAGCTGAGCGACGAGCCCTTGCCGCCGCCCTGGCGACGCGACGCCGGCGGCAACGTCTTGATGAAGCCGACGGCGGCGTCGCTGTCGCCGCGGAAGAGGGAGCCGATCCGGTAGTTCAGCAGGAAGCAAGACTTGGAGGAGTTCCTGTAGAAGAAGCCGAGGCAGGAGCAGTTGGCCGAGCAGAGGTTGCGGCACGCCGGGAGCTCCTCGCCGGAGGTGTCCGGCGACGCGAACTTGTTGGCGAAGTAGCCGATCCCCTCGCCGAGGGTCATGTAGTTGAAATTAGGCGGCGGCGCACAGGTGTCAGCTAGAAGTGGAAGCGCTGAGCCATCCGCCGGCGCGCAGCCGCCGGTGGAGTAGGTGCTGAAAGCGTCCGGGCAGGAGCAGGAGGAGCCGTTGGTGCCGGGCGTGCAGAGGCCGAGCGACCGACACGGCAGCGGGAGGTCGCAGCCGCCGGTCGGTGCCGCCCAGACGGTGGGGAGGGTCGCGCGTGGCGATGTGGTGCTCAGCCGGAGCGCGCGCAGGCGGCCGGAAGAGTCGAGCTTGAGGAGGCAGGGGTCACCATTAGCGTCAGGCGAGGGGAAGCGCAGGCGGAAGACGGTGTCCCTGCCGTTGGCAGCGAGGAGGTAGAGGCCAGAGGAGTTGGCCGTCATGGAGTGGACGGCGGCGTTGGAGTCCTGGACGGAGTTGGGGTCGGTGGAGAGCGCCCAGTAGGTGAGGAAGGAGGAGCCATTATTAGTCGCCCACTGCAGCAGCGCGTCGGTGTCGGTGAGCATGAGTCGGTAGGCGCCCGGGTTGAGGTCCTGGTCGGAGACGGGCGACGTGAGCAACACGCCGGCGAGCAGGGGCTGGGCGGGGAGGAGGGTGTCGGTGGGGTGGTCGAAGGAGGACCAGAGCGTGGCGTTGGCGGCGTCGAGGAGGGCGAGCTCGCCGGTGTCGAGGAGGCGGAGAGCGGCGACGGGGGCGCGGAGGCGGGGCGTGGACCAGGCGTAGTCGGCGGCGGGGTCGGGGTCGGAGAGGGCGAGGCCCTGGGCGGTGAGGGAGAGGACGATGGACTGGAGGATGGTGGTGCCGGCGGTGGCTGTCCAGACGGGGGTGCGGGAGGCGGCGTGGAGGACGGAGAAGAAGAAGCGGGACTGGTTGTCGTCGGAGGAAGGGTCGACGCCGGCGTTGTAGACGGCGGCGGAGAAGGTGGCGTTGCGGGAGAGGAGGAAGACGCCGTTGGTGTCGAGGAAGTGGAAGTAGGTGAGGTTGAATGGCGGGTACAGGTACTCCACGGGGACCTCGCGCGCCACCGCCACCGCCACCGCGCCCCCGCCCCAAGGGACTATCGCTATCGCTACCGCTACCACAAGGAGGAGAAGAGCTGCCATGGAATGGAAGGAGAAGATCGCCGTAGCTTAGCTAGCAGTAGCATCCATGGCGGAGGAGAGGAGAGGAGTTGACTCTCCTCTTGGGATGGGAATATGGGATGGATGGATGTTGCTGCCGCGGCAGGCAAGACAAGTCAAGATTGCCTTTAATGCCTAGCGGCGCCACACGCAGAGTCAAAGCGCTACCATTGGCTGCTCCTGCTCCTGCTCCTGCTCGCCCCTGCTTGCTACCTCATGTGAAAGAGTTACAATACACAGAAATTGACTTTTGTCAATAAAAACTGCTGCTCTATCATTTCACTCTCTCTTTTTCCAGGGTGCAGTTTAATTTTAAAGAGCCAAATTAATTGTACGTAGTTTTTTTTATAAATATAACTGTCTAAACTATTAAGCCTGAGTTCGGAACATGAAACTTTTGGTGGCACGTGAAATGGGACAAGTTATTAGCTAGAGTATGATATTAATTACAATAAACTTGAAATGTTGGTTTGTTTGTTTCTTTTTAAAATAAAATTTTACACAAAACACATTATTTAGTGGTTTAAAAAAATTTGCTTAGAGGACGAGGATGTAGTCGTTCTGATTAGCTATTTACAACCCAATCTAGTTAAGTGCATTTTGTGTAAAATCTTTTTTTAAGAGACATAGTACAAACGTGGGCACTCACAACACACGCACACTCACCCCCTATAAACGTACACACGCACACCCTACCCCTGTGAGCATCTCCGGAAGACTGGCTCGGTATATGCTGAGATTCACGAAGTTATCATAGGCGTCTCGCTGTTGCCGGTTACATCGAGTTATCATAGATATATCGCTGTCAACGGGTATATTGCTTACCACTAAAATAATAATTGGTTGTAAATGCGAGCACCCATATTAAATTTAGAACTTGAATTCGGGTGGACTATTTTTATCACAATGAACCTAATTACGCTCACTCCGTTGTGTAAATATTTGGAAGTTCAATATTGACTTTGTGGGTTTTAAATGCGTCTCATATACAATATCAAGCAATTTGCATGGCAAATATATCCATATTTAGTTCATTCCTGTTCATTTAAACAGAAGAGAAGATATCAATTATGTGAAGATCCCTACAGTAGTAATGATTTGGGGTTGCATGTTGCTGGCTCAAGATGCACCACAGATTTAATGAACAACTAGTTGGTGAGTTGATCAGCGCATGTATCATTCATGATAATGAATAAACTTGTCACTAGGCTTTTTAATATTTATATATATTTTGTTTCTTGTCACTCTCGTGCACCATGCAAATTTAAATAGGTATATGAGTTTTCTGGAAAATATTAAATTGGAAGTAACAACAGGCACAAAGCCGGCCAACGGTGTTTGACCAATCGAAAGAGATTTGGATCCAGGACGGTCTGATCAGGCAGACAACGCTTAATTAATTAATTGTAGTAAAGAAAAAGTTAATGTAGCTGCCTAGATGAAGGTAGGTCAGGTGCATGCATGAAAAAGAAATGTATAATCATGTACTAGCATTATATTAATTTGTTCAGCTTGCACTAATTTAAGGCTTCTCTAATACTATAAATCTCAATTGGAAAATGGTCTTAAATTGTTTACCGGAAAGCAGCTGCAATTAAAATACATTACTCCATCCGTCTCAAAATGTTATAATTTAGGATGGAATTAGACCCATCCACCAGATATATTTTAGCTACAGTAATCTTTGTCAGGTTGCTGTTTGATTATTTAAATTTTATGCAAGCTGGTATCCTGGAGTAAGTTTTTTTCCCTAACTGTTTGTGACTTCTTGTACTTTTCTGTTTACAAATATAAAAAAAATTTGGGTGCACAATTTATTTTTTGATTTGATCCATCTTACAACTATAATTATTTTCCATAGTTAGGCGTGATATTTCTCAATCAAAGAAAGTTGTTAGGGTGGTTTCTCGTGGTAAAATCAGCCTATTTGGATTTAAGTTCTATACTTAACATGGGTGTCCGTATTTATGCATAATTATTCTTTCAGTGTTAGACAATGTACCTATGACAGCGTGGCGTCCATGGTAACTTTGTTAATTTTAAGATATGCTGACTTAATTTTTCAGAGGTACTTATAGAGATAAAATATGTGTATGTTTATAGGGATGCATGTGCGCGTATTTCGAGAGCATGCCAAACAACATAAAATCCTTTATACCTGCAAATGGACTGAGTGGTATATTGATTGGTGGTGTGGTTAATTAGTGTCACTAATTTGGATTGTTGGCCACGTCGGTCGGTGGGTCGATCGTCATAGAGAAGTTGTCGGACAAATTAATTCATTAATACAATTGCACGCAAAGCACCTCTCCATCAATTCTTCATGGTCACAGCCCATTATTAACTGGAGTAATCTCCAACTATCATCTCTGCATCGGTGCTGGCAACCGACGACTTCCAAGCTCACCTTCACTTGTCTGGAACAAATCATGCATGCATATACACTAGAACTCCAGATGATACATGATACACCCTCCTTTCTAGATGTTTGACGCCGTGAACTTTTTTAAACATGTTTGACTGTTCGTTTTATTCAAAAACTTTTGTGAAATATGTAAAACTATATGTATACATTATATGTATACATTAAAGTATATTTAACAATTAATCAAATTGTAAGAAAATAATTAATAATTACTTAAACTTTTTGAATAAGTTGTCAAACATGTTTAAAAAAGTCAACGGCGTCAAATATTTTAGGATGAAGGGAATATATTCGTTAATTGCTCCTCATGCGTGCATATACACTACTACTCCCGATGACGCACACACACAGAGATATATAATAACCCTCCCTTAATAAGTAATTAATATAGGAGTAATTGTTCAATTCGAGTTAAACATATATGTACCTTAAGCCAATTATTTCCCCGAGTAAGAGGATACACATGTACATTCATATGTATATATCATTTCCCTCCGACTAAAATATAACAAGTTACTGTAGGATGTATGCAGTCCGCTGTCACTTGTCACGCTGATTGTTTTGCCAGTTGTTCCTGTCAAAGGGCAAATTGACCATATCACATCATATTCATATTCACATAGAATCGCCCAAATTGAAGACCAGAGAAAACGGAAAGTGTATGAGCTCAAAACAATTTAAAGTCTTCTCTATATATATCTACATAGGTACATACAATTCGAATGGTTTTCGTACCTCGTTTATAAAGAAAGCATGGAATCCGTAGGGAACTCGGCTTGGTAGCTCAACAACTGCCACCGGATCAGCAGACATTGTCTTTGCATCAATCACATTGACTTCAGATTTCCTACACCAACGACACAAAACAAATTTGATAGTGTAAACTATAAAAATTGGAGAGCAACAGATGGGCATGCATGTTTTGTATCAGACTACAGCAACTAACATACAACATACACGCATGGAGCAGTTAATTGGTAGGGAAGGAAAAGATAATGAGTACCCTGTATTCTCGTCGTGGACAAAGAATATCAAATAACCATCATCTTCTTCTCCAGATACACCGGGTTCCCTAGGCACAAAAATTGCCTCGGACCCGAATCTACCAGGTCCCAAGTCAAATATTCCTCTCACATTTCCCCCCACTTCAAGTTGTTTCATGCCACTGATCTCCGGTTCAGCATGTAGATCAAATTTTATAATGCCTGCTACCTTCGCTATGCTGTTTAGAATAGCGCAATACACATACCGCTGCTTTCTGTTTTCACCAAATTTGCACGTTAGAAGCATGTGAGTCAAGTGATTCAGGAAGCAGCCAAGTCTAAGTTCTCTATGATGCTGACTTTCGTATATAGTGCTTGATATATATATGGCCATCATCAAATCATCGACAAAACAGAAATGAACAATGCAGCTGATATGAACAGGTTGCCCATGATTTCCTAGAGAAGAATCATTACTTATTGAAGTTGAGACTTCCACTAAAAGTTACCTGCCAGTGTAGCTCTCATTAATTCGAGGAAAATCTACAGCAGAAACAGATAGTTGCTTTTGTGAAGCAGCACCGGTTTTCATGTTGAATCTCATCTCATACCTAAGTATATATATAACACTGGGTCAAGCATTTCATTTCTTGGAATTTAAATGGCGACTGAATTGTAGGTACATACAGCTCATTCCCAAAGTTCTCGAGATTGTCGCTTTGGTAACCGTTCACCTTGTCCAAGTCAGGATTCTCCAAGCGGCAGGTAATTAGGATAACTTCGTCACCCTCTTCCCAAGCATTAGCTGTAACAAGAGAGAATTCTAATGAGCAGATAACGTAGAACAGCATGAGATGAAATACTGATATCTTCTAGTTCCCTTTTTTTAACTCTATGTTTTTGGTTTTATGTTCTCACATTCCTAGCAAAGCACCCTTTGGAAGGCCAAGACAAATTTGTCGTTACAGTTATTCATCATCATGTCCAATGTACAAAATGTTGTACATGTGAAGTTCAAGAAGGTTACCAATGGCATACCATTGTGGAATATGAAGCAGTTGGGAAGTTCAAACCATCTGATGTTTGTGTCATCCTTTTCATAACGTTGGAGTATACCAAAACGAGCTTTCTTTGTAGGATCAAACTTGTAGATAAACTCACCATTCTTCACCATTTCCTTATAAAATGATGGGACAGGGCAAGAGTCAAATTATGAAGAGGTTTTGATATCATTTATCAAATGCTTCAATGAACACAAGTGCTACCCTCTGCAGCATATATTGACTAGGTATTCTTGAACGGAATGCATACATATGGAGTATTCATCATGGAAATCTTAAGAAAAAACAACGGATGTTCCCTTAGGATTCTAAAACCAGCAAACCACTATAAAGGTATGTGTATTAACAAGTAACAATCTGTACATGCTGAAACAGTATCCTATGTTTTGGTCAATGTTCTTCGGTTAGAATAAAGCACTGCAAACCGTACTATGATTGTTTATTGACGTAGTAAAATAAGGGGCAGAAAAAAAAAGTCTGTCAATGACCTTGGCCACAAATTGCTAGACAAGCAAAAACACCACTTACCTTTGGTCGGAACAACAGAGGAAGGTCCATGAAAATAGAATAATTCTCTGTAATGGCAAAGTCGTGCATCATTACAGATTCTGGAATTGTTATTGGCACAGGATCAAGCATGGCTCCATCCTTGGTAATGACCCGGTATGTACAGTAAGGAGGTTCATGCGAATATCCAAAAGCGAACATTTCGTCTGAAAGACCGGTAAATAAAACCTTTTAACACAATTACGATAAACAATAGGGAAAGCAAGAAATAACATGAGTTACTGTTGTGTACCTGTAAATGGATCGACCTTTGGATGAGCAGTGAAAGAGTGTTTCAACCGTTTGTCGTAATCCAACAATCCAAGAGTTTGCAAGTCTCCATCTTCAAGGACCTTAACAACATCTGAAAACGAACGCAGAAACCAGAGTTTCACAGTTGCAAAAATATTTATTTTACAATTTACATAGATCTAAATCTAAAATAAAAATCAGCTGGCATGCAGAACTGTTCATGAGAAACAAAATAAATTTCCTATGATGGTATATGAAATCGACCACATATAACATATTGTGATAGTCTGACACGATAATCATGCATAGTGCAATGCAATATTCATAAGCCAATAATCATTTGGAAATGCTTTGTACTGTTGTAAAAATCTCAAGTGATTGATTCCTTTGCTATTCTTATGATATTGGAGATGAAACAGGTAGATTTTCTCCTAGCTTTGGGGGGGGGGGGGATTTTGCCATTTTCCATTTACACAAAAGTAAGCTGGCAACCTGGTCGCGTTTGTCAAAAATAAAGGATCGTGCTGTTGAATTTCCAATGGCATGTGTAGTGGCTATAGAAAAATGTAGTATTAACGTTTTAAGCTAGATGTGAAAATACCACACTGGGTCTAGCTATATCCATGTTTTGTCACAACTTTCCCAACTAGCCATTACCATTATGGGATGAGAACTTACAGGGCTTATCTGCCTCTGACAGGGCCATAAGTTTACCATGGTGATAGATAAGTGCAGTATTAGCTGAAAAAACAAAGTCACCAAATCAATAAAATGGTGTTACACCAAATGGTCGTGAAAAAAAATGACAACATGCAGTGCAGAAAATTGTCCTGCATTTAAACATGATATTTGAATAGGTTCTGCGTAAGATAAAAATAACCTGTCCCATGTCCATATGTAAAATCCAATACTTTGAGTTTTTTCCGGAGTTGTTGCATTTGGACCATAAACAATCCATAAAATCCCTTCAGGTCTCCAATCTGTAAAATGTAAGAATCAGGTAAAAAAAGCACATGCATGTATTACTGATTGTCAATGGCCATAAAAGAGCTGGAGAGTTAGGATTTAGAAGTAGTTATCAACAGGACTTGAATTTTCTAATGGTACATTTAAGGATGATCATGAAGTTACATTGATGTCACCGTAGGTCAACTATATAGTCAGGCAGTTAGTGTAGAAGCAAAGAAACTAAGAGGACATAAATAAAGTGAGGTCCCTATGACTATACGACAAGTTCAAAGCTGATATGCATATGAAATCAACAAAAATTCGACACTGCAACCCAACATGCAAGCACAGAGAGATCTGTGAGAAAACCGAGAACCAAAAATATGCTGAAGAAAATCATGCTGGGTAAGGTATGTCGCTAAGAAGCAGCAGTAAACTGAGGCCCTGTTTAGTTCCCATGCAAAAACTTTTCACCCTGTCACATCGAATGTTTGGACACATGCATGGAGTATTAAATATAGACAAAATAAAAAACTAATTACACAGATTGCGTGTAAATTGCGAGACGAATCTTTTAAGCCTAATTGCTCCATGATTTGACAATGTAGTGCTAGAGTAAACATTTGCTAATGACGGATTAATTAGGCATAATAAATTCGTCTTGCAGTTTACAGGCGGAATCTGTAATTTGTTTTGTTATTAGTCTACGTTTAATACTTCAAATGTGTGTCCGTATATCCAATGTGACGCCAAAACTTTTCACCCCTGGATCTAAGCATAGCCTGATTACAAAAAATCTGAAGATTAAGTTAAATTGAGAAACTTATGTACAAACTAGAAAAGTCACACTCGCCAACAAGCTAAACAGAATACATTTTGGAGCTGTAGTCAAGAAAATACTACAGTAACAATCGATTAATTGCAAAGACATGAGAATGTCTAATCAAACAATTGAAGTTACCTTCATAAACTTTGCTCCACCAAAATACTCTTCTTGCTTGAGACGAGAAGTCTTCACATATCTCGACACATAGGTAGCTTTCCCATCTTTGATACGCATCGCATGGATCATTCTGTAAGAAACAAAGTTATGCACATTTTGAAATCTTATTTTTCCACGCACGTGCCCTTGTTAAACTCCTATTTTCACTTCCAGAAAATAAAAAAAAGAACACATTTTGATCATGTTTGCAAATATGTTATAAAACTATGAGGTACTGTTAATATGTCACCAAAACATTAAAATTTAGAAGTACTAAAAGTGCTGCAAAATGGCAATACATAGCGTCAAATATGCCCATGAAACCATGAAGATATATAACGTGTAAGATCTGCATCAAAGAACGATTTTGCCATATCTGCTCTGAAGATCAGAATGTTCTGTGTGCAAATCTGTCAGTCTGACACTATCTTTAAACAGTAGAGGAAAAAAAATTTGCTTTAAACAATGGACTACAATATACATGCGAAAATTAAATTCTAAGAAACACTACATGGAACAATAGATTTTATCATGTAGACTCTTATTGGAAAGAAAAAACTCCAATTTAGGGGCAGACAGTAAGACCTTAGTCAACTGCTAAAGAAGTGGATAATGCAATAATTATCTGGGAATTAAATGTATTAGCTAGAGAGAAGCAGATATGTATGCCGTTAAGGATATGCATCTGACCACAGAGAGGCTAATATGACATACCCATCTCCATCAAACCTGTGGAAACAAACAGAGAATATGAAATCAATTAAACACGTTATGCACAGATATTGGAAGCAACAGGCCAACAGGTATGAGGATATGTATTTTGTGTTTTAGAAAATAGAGTACAATTGTCCCTTATATGTGCATCAAAGCAGAGGCATAAATGCAAACCCATATGGATGACAATTTAAAATCTGTACAGTTTGTTTTTGTTTGGACGCACTAATGAAAACAAGATGGCAATCCTTACAATAATGTCTTTTTAAGAGAAAGGAAAATTGTGATGAAGCTAGAGAGAGAGAGAGAGAGAGAGAGAGAGAGAGGGAGGGGTTAATACCAATGATAGCCAGCGACAGGGACAAACTTTGGATTGGGTCCTACCCTGACAAATTCTCCATTCAAGCACTCCTGTGGAAAACCAAAGACGGGTCAGTGAGAAGGTGAAAGCAAAAAAGAGGAGGCCGCATACATGATCTTGATGAGTGCCTAATGAACAGTTTGTAGAGGTAGTGTTGAAACACAGTTATCATTGTGAACGACAGAATGTTTGATCGCTTCCACCATAGAGGTTGTTGTTGCATAATTTTTGATAAAGAGATTTTGGTGGTCAAAATGGTTCCTAGGTGTCATCTTAGTGCAGAGATGAATAGGCGAAGAAAAAACATGAATGAATGAATGAATGAATGAATAGGGTACAGGAGAAGAGAAGGGGAGAGCAGGGGTAATGGAAGATGTCAGTTTGAGTGTTACTACATGCATAGTGATGAGAAGGAGAGATGGAAAAAATTAGTGTTGGTAGTGTACATAAATTGGCGTTGACTAGTACTAGTATGTGGTGTGGTGCATTAATTGGCGTTGACTAGTGAGACTGTTCATCGTATATATGATACCCAAACAAACCATTGGAAAGGACAATCTGGAGTGTATTTTAATCTCTTTTGTTGAGGCGACAAAGATTTGAGCTATGGGCAGTACAGGAGGAAGAAAGGGGGAGAAATTTCTTCTCCTCCTTTTTTTCGTTTCTTTCAGAGTGGAGTGCTACATAATAAGAAGCAGACAAGGCAGGGGCTTTTAACTATTTGCCACTGTTAGAGATTTGGCAAATAACTATTTGCCACCCCTATATGACATGTGAGTCCACATATGTCTATGACATGTGAGTCTAATGGCAAAAAGTTAATTGTCACATCTAAATGTGGCAAATGGTTAAATATCTCGGCAAGGCAAGCAGATGGAAGTAGTAGTGTTTATGAATGAAAAGAAAAGGAGGAGGATAGGATAGGGGAGGTGTACGGGGAGGTGGCCGCGGACGGGGAGGGCCGGGGCCGGCGGGGTCTCGTGGTGGACGGGGGCGAAGTTGCCGGAGAGCCAGTAGAGCGGCTTGGAGGCGTCGTGGCCGAGGCGGACGGCGGCGCGCTCCAGCAGATCGAGCGCCCAGGAGGCGAGGCCCCTGCGAGGGCGCGGCTCCGGCAGCAGCAGCACCTCATCGCCATCGCCGCCTCCCATACTCCTATCCTATGGCCTATGGGTATGGGGGATTGAATTGAATTGCAAACTAGTACTCTCTATCCTACGACGACGATGGAATCTATCAATGGCAGGCAGGCAGCAGGCCGGCCGGCGGATGGAATCCAATGGGGAATACTATACTAGTAGTAGTGTTCGTCTCTTTTGGTGCGTCTGCTTCTGCTTACACTACTGCACACGACATGAGTATGTAATGTACTAATCTAGTACGTACTGTACGTGTCTACCTCACATTCACATTGGCTGAGGTCTGTCTAGCGCCTCACCCACCCACACACATCCGTTGCTTCTCTACTTGTACTAGTACAAGTCAGCCCTGCCAATCGAGTTGCTCCTCTACTGCCGCGTTCCCCTTCCATTAACCACTCAGCTGTACTACTATATTAACCTTCTTGTGGCTCACATATTTACTCATTCTTATTTTCCTTTTCTTTTTCCGAACGGTGCGGTATCCTTGTTATCGTCATCACTCCATCACCCTTATATTACGACCGCGTGGCTTAAGCGCATGAATTAATAGTGGTACTATTTTATACCCACATTTCTCTCTCTCTCTTGATTGTATAAGTTGAATTTAAACTTGATTTTTGATTTTCAAAAGCACTGATAGTTTGATACAACGTACACAACTCTGAATTAAGGCCCTCTATTCAAACTTGAAAATGATGAACTTTGCCACCTTCTCTAGGTATGACATATGTACGACTCTTTTGTATGTATACAAGGGATCGAGCTAGGTTTGCTTAACTGGAAGTATTTAATCTTCTAATTACATTTACTCCTCCAAAAACAGGCATATATAAATGTAAGTTAGGTAAGTATATGGGTTGCAATTAGTAATAAGCTAATGAAGAGGAAGAGGGAGGTAGGGGTAATGAAAATAGAAGGAGTATATGGGAAAGAATTACAAAGGCATGAACTCCTCGTCGATGACCTTGTAGTGCTTCTTGGCGTCGTACTGCTGGACGATGAGGACGGAGGCGGTGGAGGAGAAATCGGAGGAGGCGAGGATGTCGCCGACGGGGCCCAGCTCAAGGCACTCCGCCCACTCCTCCAAACCCTCCGTCAGCACAGACCGGCGGTCGCGGCCCCGGCCGACGACGAACAGACGGTACTCCGCCTGCAGCGCCCGCAGCACCGCCACCAGCTCCGCCCCGTCGCCGACGTGCTTCTCCATGTACCCGATGGCCTTGCTGCCGGCCACGTGCTTCCGGTAGAACTCCGCGAAGAACTTGTCGTCCACCTGCGCCTGCACCTCCTCCTGCCCCAGCACTGACGACGCCGAGGAGGAGGACGACGCCCCCGCACGGCGGCTACTCTTGGACGACTCGAACAGGCTGGTCCGCGCCCGCGCCCTCGCCTGCGCCGTGGCGTTCTGCACCACCCGCAGCGCCGTGAGCCGGACGCTGGCGTGCTTGGACATGAAGGAGGCGAGCGTGAGCGCCTCCCGGTCGTCGGCGCCCCCGATGAAGACCACCACGACGCCCTGCGACTGCGACTGCGACGCGGCGGCATCGACGTGGCGGTGGCGGTCCACCAGGATGCCGACGGAGCACGGCGCCAGCTGCAGCACCTTCTGGTTGACGAGGCGGAAGCCCAAGGGGCGGGGGGGCTCCATGTCCATGGCCCCCCCATCATCCTCACGCCGCTGCCTCTTGTGGAAGGGCAACAGCACCAGCGCCGCCATGGCCTCCTCCGCGCAGATGCAGATGTCGCTGTGCATGTCCGTGAACGACGACAGCGCAAGCACCCTCCGCACCCTCACCGCGCCATCATCCCCCTGGTACGCGTCCAGCGCCTCCCCGATCTGCTTCCGCATCTCCGACACCTCCTCGTCCACCACCGTCACGCCGTCGAACCCGCCGCCCTTGACGATGGCCGCCGCCGTCTGGTCCGTCAGCTGCACCATGTCCACCGCGTACACCGCCAGCTCCCCGTTCCCGCCGCCCCACCGCAGCGCCTCCATCAGGAACGCCAGCGTCGCCACGTCCTGGGGCCCCTGCAGCCCCACCACCAGGCGGAGCTCCGTCGCCGGGTCGTGGTGCTGCAGCCCCATCAGCCGCCACTGCACGCTCCGCCGCGCCCACGACGCGATCGCCATCCCCACCATCGGCGTCGTCGCCACGTTCACCGCCACCATGAAGATGATGGCCATGAACGACTTGTCCGTGATGATGCCGGCCTCGAACGCCGCCAGCGCGCAGTACACGTGGAAGTACCCCTTCACGTTGAGGAGCAGACCCAGGGCGAGCGCCTCCAGCCAGCCCAGCCCCCGGAGCAGGCCGGCGGCGGCGCACCCCACCAGCTTGCCCAGCGTGCCCATGGCGGTGACGAACAGCACCTTCCACCAGGGGAAGGGGAGCTCCATCACGTAGACGCGGAAGCCCTGGTCCTTGCGGAGCCCCGCCGCCTCGATGTCGTCGGTGGTCTGGCGGAGCGAGAGGCAGACGTGGGCGACGTAGAGCGGGAGGACGAAGGAGCTGAGCACCAGGTTGATCTTGCTCACCAGCAGCCGCGACACCCTCCCTTCGCTGGGGAACGCCAGCCCCACCAGGAAGGCCGCCATGTTCACGTCCAGCCGCAGCGCGGAGGTGAACCAGCACAGCGTCGCCGCCACCAGCGCCACCAGCGACAGGTCGAAGCCCCGCATGCGGCGCCCCTCTGGGTTGCGCCCGTCCACCCACTCCGCCATGGCCCTCGACACCAGGCCCGACATGAGGACCACGGCCAGGACCGCGGCGGTGAGCGCCGGCTGCGCCAGGGGCGAGGCGGCCCCCTCGGTGCCGGTGTCGCGCCAGATCATGCTGCCGATGGCGATGAGCATGGTGGTGAGCATGTCGGAGGCGATGCCTGCGCCGACGGCGAGGCGGCCGACGGCGGTCTTGGCGATCTTGAGGTCGGTGGCGAGGCGGGTGAGGACCGGGGAGGCGGTGTTGGCGAGGGCGGCGGCGAGGGCGAGGAAGGCGCGGAGGGAGTTCTCGTGGACGATGCCGGAGGTGGGGCGCATGATGGGGGCGTGGAAGAGCGTGACGAGGACGGCGGTGGAGAAGATGCCGGCGTAGGCGACGGCGGCGTCGGCGGTGGGGGCGTCGAGGAGCGCGGAGGGGTCCATCTCGACGCCGAGGGCGAAGAGGTAGGGCGCGAAGACGAAGCCGCCGATCTTGCCGAAGACGAGGTTGATGGCGTTGGTGAGCGAGAGCACGCGGAACTGGGCGAGGACGATGCCGAGCAGCAGGTCGGAGAAGATGCGCGGTTGGTACAGCTTTCGGAGGAGAGCGTACAGGATCTTGCTGGTCACCAGGATCACGCCGAACTCGAACAGGATGGTGTTGTAATTCGCCGACAATATGCTGCTTGTCATTGAGCAATCCATTCCTCCCATCGATTACTATTGATCTTGATCGATCTTCAATTCAATTCATTGCAATTAATCCGGCAGATGAATTATATATTGAATATACATGCATGCACGGATCAGATCGGACTCAAATTAATTCAATCAAATCAAATCAAATCAAAGGGGTACGTGCATTGCATTGCATTGCATGCACAAATTTCCTATCTCCATGGCTGCAATGCATGCATCAACACTCCACAAGCTCATGAAACAGGGGTCTTTGGTAGGGAGCATTTTGCGGCCTTCTCTTTCCTAGTACATATATATAGGAATATTATTAGTCCCGTCTTTAACTTCTTCCACATTCCTCTATCTCCTCTCTCAACTCTCAACTCAACTCATCCCTAGCGAGAGCTCATCCACTTAATTACGACCGTTGAAGAGCAGTGGACCTTGTCTTTCACCTCTTAGCTAGGCTACTACTTTTTAAGATGAGAAATTAAGGAGACAACAAATTAATTAAGCTCTATATAAACATAAGCATTTACTATTTACCAAAACATTTTTATTATGCTTTCCTTTCCCCACCATCATATAGTAAACTTTTATTCTATAAACACAACGAACCGATGTTGAGCTTAACATGAACGTTTTATTCTAGCAAAGTTATGAGACTGATATTAGCGACTATTGTATATCTCCCCAAAGGTACCTATCATTAATTGTCTTAGAAAAGGGAATCGATCCTCCTACATGTGATATTGACATATAATGGTAACACTAGCCTCTGCCCAACAGGAGTAGGACTATTACCAGTAATCAGGGATCCCGAACATGTATAAAAATCACTTGATCTCTTGAAAACTTCATTTGCATTCTTATATATATCAACCAATCCCTACATCCTCCAAACACATCATATATGTATGGATTTTGTGATCGGGGTATATCCCTTGAAATTTTTTTAGTTCTTTTTAATAAATAATTTCAATAATAGACCTTCCAGGAACTTATTTTCAAAAATGAACATTTTCGCTATGCCATTGGAACCGACGTGGCCAAAGTACGCAGCCACCCACCGGTCTTGGCGTGGCAATTGGGTGCAATTAAAAAAAGAATTCCTCTGCCCATCGCTCTAATCATATATTCGTGCCGGTTGAGTGCAAATGTTCTACAAATGTTAATTTGATCTATTGTTATCTTCACCAATTTAATCAAACGGTTGAAAATGTTGTTTGTAAAAACTTAGCAAGAATTTCTTGAAGTACTTACAGCATTGCTCTATCTAATAATGTCAAATGGTCTTCTAGACTTTTGGTTTTCCATCACAATTGCGCACATGCTTTTATCTCAAATCAAGTGGGGTAATAAACAAAGCTAATAATTAGTGGTCACTTTCATTTTCCTACCTCACGTAATAAATTTGCACACGCATATATATACTGTATATGTTCATGGGGGTAAAACATTATTGTCTCTTGAGACGAATGTGTAACCACGTGCGTACCATGCGCAAATGCAAGAGAATACTTAATAATCGATGTTAGCAGTAATTAACTACTCCCTCCGTTTCAAAATATTTGATACCGTTGACTTTTTAGTACATGTTTGACCATTCATCTTATTAAAAAAAATTGTGAAATATGTAAAACTATATGTGTACATGAAAGTATATTTTACAATAAATCAAATGATATGAAAAGAATAAATAAATACTTATATTTTTTGAATAAGATGAATGGTGTGTCAAATATTTTGAAACGAAGGAAGTATATACATAGGAAGATATATGAGCTGACCAGGCCTAAAGTTAATCAATGACTATGTATATAATGAAGTCATTTAATTCAATTAGCCTTTTCTTGACAAGTAACGCGACAATTTTGTATGTCAGATGGACACATTGTACTTTCGTCCGACCTTACGACCTTACTTTGTGTCATGGCCTACGTAAAGGTCTACGTTTTTTTTATGGATATCCTAGTTAAGTCATCAATGTTCAACTACTACAAAAATCAATTTTACTGTTGGACAAAACAACTTTTCGCGTACGGCCAGTCCAAACGCTTCGCAGGCGGGTGGACTGACCGCCTGTGGAAATCGATTTTCGTAGGCAGATTCCTAAAGAGGTCCGCCTACGAAAATATTTGCATACCAAAAATACTCGGGAACTTCAAAATTCTCCGTGTACGAGCAGATTCAAAAGCCTCCAATCCATTCAACAAATTTACCAAATCCTCAAATACATTCAACAAAATTCATCACAAATCAACACAAACAACAAAATATTCATGGCCGTCGCTGCTCACTCCTGTGAGCCCCCAACACACCGCTGCTAGTTGAAGCCACCGCCACTCACGAGAACGAGGACGGCCAGCAGGGGAACCACGCTCCCGAGGATGGCCCGAGGTCAGCCAGCGGCAGATCCCCCAAGGGCACCCGACGGCGGATCCGCGTGCCCGACACGTGCCCGAGGCCACCTGACGGTAGATCCAGGCACCGTCGTCATTGTCGTCACGGTCGGTGGCAGATCCGCGCGCCCGAGGCCCAGCAGCAGATCCATGCGCCCGAGGCCGCTCGACGGCGGATCCAGGCGCCGTTCCTGTCGTCGTCGTGGCCGTCATTGGTATCGTGGCTGGCGGTAGACCGAGGCGCTGACACCGCCGTCATCGCGGCCGGCGGTGGATCCATGCGCCCCGGGGCCGGCCGGTGTCACGCCCCGAACTAGTCCCGACCGGAACTAGCCCGTGACGCTCCAAATTAACCTGTTAATCGATACCAGTCCCAGGAAATAGTGCTGGTATCACAGGAAGACAGAATATCACAGCAACAGAGGTCTCTTTATTATAGAGTAGAGGTACAGTCATGTTGGGTTGCGGACAGATCTCGAGCTCACAACTGCATTACAAAAGAGAAACGGAAGCCAGGACTTGGACCAATCAACACAGGCGCGACTTGGGAACTAGGCCGAAACCCTAAAACTCATCGTAGCTGGCTTGCTCCTGGAAGAACTCCTCATCAACAGGATCCGCTTCATCTTCTTCAGCTGATTTTATTTGAACACCTTTCTGAAAACAACTAAGCGAGTGCTTCTCAAACGACACGGTTGAGACAATGCGTCTCGTCCGGTCGGAGTTTGTGCAATGTATCAGTCTTTAGAATTGATCAAGATTGGCACCCGGCCAACAACTTTCAAACGGCCACCCGGGCCTAGCTGATCCCGTCAGCTGCTGATTTTTCAAACATCGAACCCCTTTCCATAACAGCAATTTCACAAGCAGTATCAAACAAAACTACGCTAGGAATCACCTCACATCCGCCCATGACCGTGGGCACGGCTGTTCGAACAGTTTGTTAACCTCTGCAGAGGGGGTACACTTTACCCACACGACATTACTAACCCGGATCACCCAGCCCGTGGGGATCAGCCACGTCGGGAGACCTCCAAGCTTTCATGACAAGGCATTTCCAAAGCCGACACAGGTTTACCATATGCCGACGAGAGGGGTCCCAGACCAACAACAGGTTAGGTCCCAGACCATACTGTGCCAGGAAGCCCAGGGGTCCTCCCCGACACCACCCCGGCGAATCCACATGTCTCTCGGCATCAAGGCTCCCCTGATAAGCTAGTTACTCAGCTAGGGGTGTCCCATTCCACCCATGTGGTCGTACTTGACTTATGTTTGGATGAAATTCCAAGGAATCGGTCCTTAAGTGCGAGAGCGGGAAACCGTACACCCGGTACGTTCCCCGGTCCGCGGTTTTGGAAATTCATTTAGTTCGCAAGCACCGACCCAGGTGTCGGGTTTTCCAAGTCTTTTGTAAAACCCAAGTTTTACCCAAGTTGTTTTTCAGATTTTAAGTTTGAAGGCATCCGTCGATACTGGCACAGGGTGCACGAATATCGAGGCGCAACTGGATGGTTACAAGGGGACATGATATAACAATTAACAAAGGGAGGATCAATGCAACAAATTAGGTAGGTCCGCCAAACTGCCTTGCAGACGGGACAACAGATTAAGTGCGATCCTATCAGTGCATAATATTTTTCAAGCAACATAATTAAATTTCAAATATAGGCTCAAGATGTTCAGAGGTGGCTTGCCTTGCTCGAGATCTGGAGCTTGATCCTCGAAATCCTCGCACTGCGGGTCTTCGGGCTCCGGAACTACACGCGAAACGGGACAACTCAACAAACGGCGAAAAATAAAGCCCTATTAATGACCTCTAAGTGTGCCATTAGATAGATCTCGAGATTTGAGGAATTTTGGAAGTTGAACGGAGTCAAACGGATTTACGGTTGGGAAGATATTGAATTTCTAAGATTATTGGATTTTTGGTCTAAAGGAAAAGGATTTAATTAAATCCTTTTTGGAAAAGAAAAGAAAAGAAAAGAAAAGAAAAGAGGGAGGGAAAATAGACTTTTCTCGGGCGGCTAGGGCACGGTCCAAGAGAATTGGGGCGGTCCGGCCGAGCTAAATGGGCCGGCCGGCCCAAGACGGTCGCGCGCGCGGGAGGGAGGAGAGAGAGCTGGTGGACCGGGCTCACCGCGCGCGGTCCCGGGTGAGACCCGCTTGTCAGCGGCTCGGCTCACCGTGCGGAGGGAGTACGCGGCGCACGCGCGCGGGCGGGGGAGGGACGCGGTGCACGCGCACGGTCTGCGGAGGAACGGATGCAGCGGGCCCACGCGTAGCCTCACGGCTCGCGGTGGAACGCGCGCACGGGAGGGGCTGACCGGGGTCAGCCCGTCCCTACCTCGGCTGAGCTGGCGCCGACGTGGCGCCTACGTGGCTGCCACGTGGGCTGGCGGGAGGTAGACGACGACGCCGGCCGGAACGGACGGCGGACAACAGCGGCGAGCGGCGGAGCGAACCGCGGCGATACCGGCGAAAACGAGCACACTGGGTGGTTGCACGAGACGAGGGGAGACGAGCCAACGGCTCGGATTCGCCGGAGGAAGCTTGACGGCGGCGAATCGCGGCGGCGGCAACCGGCGGGGAGGGAAGAGGGAAACGGCGACGAGGTCACGAGGGGCCGATTCCCGGCGGTGAGAGCATTTACACGGCTATGGGAATCCGATGTTAGCGTCGGATTGGGCGGAGCTACGCCGAGCGAGGCTGGCGACGAGCGGGTGCTACGGAGCTCGAGCGGTGACGGCGGCGAGCACACGGCGAGCGACGGCAACGGTCGGGGCGGCGCCGGCTAGCTACGGGGAGGCTACTCGTGCTACCACCGAAAACTAAGGGGGGGAGATAGAGCGAGGAGGAAGAACGGAGAGAGGCACTACCGTGCGGGTCGGGGCGCTGTGACGAGAGGCCGACGGCGCGGGAGTAATCTCTCCGGCCTCGAGCCGGGGAAGAGGAAGGAGAGGGCGCGGCCGAAGTCCCCTTCCGCGTCCTTGCTCATGCCGGCTCCTCCGACACGCGCAACGACGAACGGCGACGGCGAAACAGAGGGGCGGCAATGGCGCGGAGGTGAATGGGAGAGGAAAGGAAAAAGGGGGGGAGCTCGGGTTTATAGGATGGCAATGTCGGTTTGGGAACCGACTTAGGGCGGTCAAAGGAGAGGGCTAGCGCTCGGCGGTCGCGGCCAAAGCGGCGACAGGGAGGAGGGAGGAGGATGACGCCGGCGGGAGGGAAAAAGGGGAAAAGAGGGAGAGAAAAGGGGGCTTGTCCCCTTGCCTCTTCGGGAAAAGGAGGAGGGAGCGGGGGCGTCGCGGCAGAGGGAGGAGGGAGGCTCTACCTCCGTCCCTTGGAGGCTAGCGCGGGAGTGGCGGGGCCGAGGCGATGACGACGGCGATGACGGCGGGGCGGTTTGGAGCGGCGCGACGACACGGGCGACAGGCGCGGGCTGGCGCGGCAGAGGGTGACGGCGGCGGCGACCAGGCGGTCGGCCACTCGGCACGCGTGCGCGGGAAACAACGGGCGGCGCGGCTGGGCACACGCGCTGGCTTGCGGGGCCGAGCGGCTGCAGGCGCGGTAGAGCAGCGGGGTCGGGCGACGCGGATGGCGCAGACGACGCGGCTCGGGCGGGGAACCACGCGGGCGCGCACGCGCGAACGACGGCGCGCGGGGGCCGTCTTCGCGAGCGGGGAGCTCGCCAGGGAGAGGAGAAGGAGAGCGAGGGGAGGGGGCGCTCGGCGCGGCGCTTCCGCACGCGCGGGCAGAGCGAGGGGAAAGGGAGGGGGCGCTCGGCGCGGCGCTCGCGCACACGCGCGCGCGGCGCGCGGGCGGGGCGGAGCGAAGCGGAGGGAGAGGGGGAGAGGGAGCGCGCCGGGGGAGGGGAGGGGGCGAGAGAGAGAGAGAGAGAGAGGGAGAGCGGGAGCGCGCCGGGGGAGAGGAGAGGGCCGGGGGAGAGGGGAAGATGGGCCGAGAGAAATTCGGCCCATCGACCCCGGGGGAGGTAAAATAGACTTTTGCGGAGGAATTTGATTTGGAAAGATTTGGATTCGGATTTGAACTTGACGATAGATCGGGGATTGAGATCTTGAGATGGCACGGACCCTAGACGACAAGCGAAGAAACAAATTTCGCAATTAGGGTTTTTAAGAGATAATTTTCCCGCTAGGCGCCACAACGGAACGGGCGCTACAGCCGGATCTATGAGTAGGGAGGGAGGGAGTCGCCGCCTCCGCCCCACCACTTTCGCTTCCTTCACCGTCGTCGCGTCTGCGCCGCCACTGTCGCTCCCCCTCCTACGGCCGGATCTAGGAGCGGAGAGGTAGGGAGGGGGAGCCGCCTCCACGCCGCCGCCACCACCCTCTCCTCCTCTAGTCGGATCTGGGAGGGAGGGAGGGGAGGGAAGGGCGCGTGTCGCTGCTCTAAGATGGAGAGTGAGGTGAGGGAGAGGGAAGGAGTGGGAGGGGAGACCAGATGAGGTGAGGGAGAGATTAGACTTGGTGAAAATGGGGATAGGTGGTGATTTTATAAGTTATAACCTTTTCGCATGTAGACATCTTAAGGTTTCACCTACGAAAATCAATTTTTATAAACGGACCACTTAAGAGATCCGCCAGCAAAAATAAGGGGATTTTCGCAAGCAGATCTCTTAAGAGGTCCTCGTGTAAAAGTCGATTTTCGCACGCGGCACTAGATTTATGGTATCTTTAGCTATTTTTACAAACGGTGATTTTATTATCCGCCTGGGAAATCGTGACGTTGGGAAAAATCTTTTTTTAAGTAGTGAGAGGATATTGCTCGTTTTTGCACGCTATCTAAATCGTTACTAAAATACTTAATAAGATACAACAATATGTGATATGCCAAAAAACACGCAAATTCAAATTCCACCTTCACGAGACTATACTTGTATTTTTCAACTAATATAAAGTTTGAACATTAATATATTCATATTTAGATATAATTTGTACATATATGGCATTATTTATTGTTATGTAAATCTGTAAATTAATAGTGTAAAGTTGTAAATTAAAAGTTGTCAAAAAGAACAGAGATAATTGAAGTGGTGCCATCTTTCTCTCTCTCCCAACTACATCAGTTGGAATATGCCTCCAGAAGTTGCATCAAAAGAGTTGTGACCATGGACAAAACTCTCAAAATCTCCTAATTACAAAAGACATTGACCTCTTCATGCATGCTCATTTAAACTGAACGCAACATGCCCCCATGCTAAGGTAGCCATATATACTAGAACAATATGTTGATCGCTCTTGCACGTGGATAAACATATAGTATTAAAAAAAGTGAGTTCATTTATTTACACAAAAACACAATATGAAGATAAATAAGGAATTGGGAGAGGTCAAAATTAATGATACGTACCAGCTTTAAGGAATTAATTAACTTGTTCGATTCCCGGCCCCTCAATAGTTTTAGAGATAATTTAATTTTGTTACAACAGATAATTTTATTGACCTAGGTTTTGGGGAAAATTTAGCCAAACTGATGCAAAGTTGCAAACAACAAAACGTGCGAAGTTCGAAAACAGGTAAAACTAGACATCGTTGGGGTTACCTATTTTCCATCACCGGTTTGCTACGCCACAACCAAAAAAAAGATGACCATAAATTAATGTGCCATCAAAGAAAGTATTATAAACTCTTGAGTGCGTGTGTTTTTCTCTCTTAGGTATCTAATTAAATAGTTAACAAGATAATTGAAGCTAACAACATGGTATACCATATATAGGCATGTAGAGACAGATGTAAGGACAAAATTAAAGCACCTCGTTTGCACCTAATCCGGGGCCAAATGCAAGGGAGCATCATTGAAACACTGATCGGTCGAAGAAGCTTACTTGGTACCGACCGTACGCAATGCTTAAAAAATGAATCATGCATCATATGCATGTGCTTGACTGACCTGCTGGCTAGCTGCAAATTGCTGTTTAATATGCCATGGCTAGCAGCTTAGCAAATTCGATCGGTAATTGGTCGATTAAGATAGGAGTATATAATAAGTGATGATGTGGAGGTACGTGGGGGCAGCGCCCCTAGCTTCCTATAAAAGGGCTCCAATGCATCACCTAAGTACTCCAGAAAATCAAGAAGCGATCGAGCAAACTAAGGAATGAGCATTAAGCTAGCTAAGGTAATCAAAGCCATTCTACTTAGCTAATAGTATAGGATATACTCCACTATATAGCTAGGAGCACTGGATATATAGACGAGCTGAGCCATGGCGTGGTTGGATGATGTGCTGAGCTTGTGCAATAATAATACTCGTATGTGCAATGCCCTTGTCCTCTCTGTGGTGGTCGTCTCCTTCCTCCAGCTCTTGAAACATGTGCTCCTGACGCCGTCGCGCCTCCCGCTCCCGCCGGGCCCGCGCAACCTCCCCGTCGTCGGGAGCGCGCACCGGCTTGTCAACACGCTGGCGCACCGCGTGCTGAGGGACCTGGCCGATGTGCACGGCCCGCTCATGCACCTCCGCGTCGGCCAGGTGCCGGTGGTCGTCGTCACCTCCAAGGAGCTCGCCCGGGACATTCTCAAGACCCACGACGCCAACTTCGCCACGCGGCCCAAGCTCGTCGCCGGCGGCATCGTCGCCTACGACTGGACGGACATCCTCTTCTCCCCCTCCGGCGACTACTGGCGCAAGCTCCGCAGGCTGTGCATCCAGGAGATCCTCAGCGCCAAGCGCATCCTCTCCTTCGAGCACATCCGGGAGGACGAGGTGCGGATGCTCGCCGACGAGATCCGCGCCGTCGGTCCATCTGTGGCCGTCGACCTCAGCGCCAGGCTGCACCGGATAACCAACACCATCGTGTCCAGGGCGGCGTTCGGCAACAAGAGGAGTAACGCCGCCGACTTCCTCGTGGCCATCAAGCAGAGCGTCATCATGGCGTCGGGGTTCTACGTGCCGGACCTCTTCCCGAGGTTCAGCGTGCTCCTCTGCTGGCTCACCGGCATGCGGCGTACGCTGCACGGCATCCGCGACACCATTGATAGCATCCTCGAGGAGATCATCAGTGAGAAGGAAGAGGCCAAGCAGCAGCAGGATAATAATCTGGTGGACGTCCTGCTCAGCCTCAAGGACAAGGGGGACTTTGGCTTCCCCATCACACGCGACACCATCAAGGCCATCGTGCTGGTTACTACTTTCTATTCTCTCTTGTTTCATATTAGTACTATATAGGATCGATGTTTTGGGTTTTGAATAGATTCGTGTATGAATCGCTCTCGCTTCATATACGTGCTCTATATATTCATTAACAAAATTACCCTTCAATTCACTTTCTTTAGCTCCTCGTACCTATATATGCATGTATATATATCGTTAATGTATAATCCATATCAGGACATATTTGCTGGTGGATCCGGCACATCCGCTAATGCCATGGAGTGGGCCATGTCAGAGCTGATGATGAACCCTAGGGTGATGAACAAGGTGCAGGCAGAGATCAGGGATGCGTTTCATGGGAAGCAAAGCATCGGTGAGGCTGATCTTCGGGCTCGTGACCTCAAATACCTTAAGCTAGTGATGAAGGAGACGCTGAGGCTGCACCCTCCAGCTCCCCTGTTGGTGCCACGAGAAAGTATTGATGCATGCGAGATCAATGGATACATGATCCCAGCGAAGGCGAGAGTCATAGTGAACTCATGGGCCATCTCGAGAGACCCGAGGTACTGGGAGGATGCGGAGGAGTTCAAGCCAGAGAGGTTTGCCGAGGGTGGCATCGACTTCTATGGTAGCAACTATGAGTACACGCAATTCGGGTCAGGACGGAGGATGTGCCCAGGGTACAACTATGGGTTGGCCAGCATGGAGCTCACGCTAGCGCAACTGCTTCACTCCTTCGACTGGAGCATGCCGGATGGAGCCACCGAAGTTGACATGACTGAGGCTCCCGGACTAGGTGTTCGTAGGAAGACACCGCTGCTTCTGTGCGCCGCCCCCTATGTTGCCAGCCATATATATGCCTAGCTAGCTACTAGTTCATGGTGCCACCATCGTCCATCCATCCTTATAATTATACTATATGAAATATACAATAAATATATCTTAGCCAAAAGTGATGGTATAAGGTTATATGTATATCTTTGGTTGATGCAGAGTCTGAAGTTTACACTATTAGTATTGTCTAAAAGAAACAATAATTTAATGTTCCATGAATACCAATCAAAAGTCTTAATTTGGTTGGAATTATGTAATATAAATGTGACTTGGTGGAAATTAATAACATATTGTGAAGAAGCTACTCTAGCTAGCTAGTGCGTGGGAGATGTTTTTTTCCCCTTGAGGGGACATCCTTTCGTTATGTGCATATCGTATAAAAAGTCATTACAAAATTTAGTATGACTTATATAATTGTATATTGTATAGTACTAGAGTTGGAGAGGAGGAAAGAAGAGAAATTTAACTGTGAATTACCTATTCTATTTAGAGTTAAATTTTTTATTTTTATTTCTTTCTTATTATCTTTACCTATTATAAAAATTGAAAATGATTTCGTACTCACTTAATTTTCATCCATCATCTGAGTTAAACACGCATAAAACCCGGATCGGATCGGATAAAAACATCTATCGGCGAACCGGATCGGAAAAATGACCCAGACTATATCTTTACCTATATATTATAAAAGTTTAAGATGTTTTTGCCGGTATTTTGGTACGTCATCCGTATTTGAGTAGGTTTTAATTTTTTTCGGTTTTAATCTCTACTACTTTAAATCTGTAATTTTAGAAAGGGTGAAAAAAAATCATGCGGGAAAAGAAAACGCATAGTAATAAAACGCGAAAGAAAAACAGCGGAAAAAAAGTCCGATCCGGACTGGAAATGGGAAAAAAAAAGTGGTGGAAAAAAGATGGAAAAAAACATAAAAAGCCGACTGCACAAAAATATAGAAGTCGCCGATCGTAAAAAAAAAAAAAGAAAGTCACGTGAAAAAAGAAACTGCCGTCCTAAAAAACGGTGAAGAAAATAGCCCGTAAAAATTACCAGAGAAAAAAACACATTATAAAACAGAAAAAAAAAGAAGTCCCTCTCTTTTATCCGCCATTTTTTTTCTTTTTTTCGCTTTTCTTTTTTTTTCCATCCTTTTTTTCGTCTCTATATTTTATTCGTAATTTTTGTGACGAGAAAGGGTCTGTGCACATTGTGAGGATTTTTTTTATCTGACCGGTTTTTTCATTGTCGGGCCGCCCCTAGCACCACCGCCACATCGATCGGCCTTCTCATGCTTTCCCTCCTCCAATTGATTGAAAAATCAATTCTCCACTACTCCATCATCATTTTCCCTATATTTTTCTTTCAGTTCCGCTTTAATTTACTGGATTCAATCTCTATATTTAGAAGACACCATTTATATCCTACAGTTTTATTGATTCGCTGCGATTTTGATAAAAACGGAAAGAAAAAAGATCGAGTGAATAAGAGCACTCAACCAATTTTGGGAGATTGAGAAAGATTCGATCGGATTTGATGAGGAGTATCGGTTCTGGCATCGTACTACACGGTATTATCTTCGAGGTTAAAAACGGCAATCGACTATATGAGCTAAGCTTATAGCTCTACTTGTGGGCTAGGTTAAAGAGAAGTAGGCCAAGTAGAGAGAAGTAGCGGGCTGGGTCGAGACTGAAAAGGAAGGAAGAAAATAAGTTTTTGTCCAAAACCAAAAAGGACAATGTATAGTAATCTAAAAATATTTTTATCCGTTGCAATGCATGGGCGTTTTTTCTAATATTATGCAAAAATCAGGGACACATGCATGTGTGCGTGGGATTCGAACTAAGGGATACATGCTCATGTGTCGTCTCAGCTTCTCATGTGTCATTGCAATTTTCCGATTTTCGCATGCTCATCAAGGGTCTAGTTGGGGAAAATTTGTACTTCTTTTGGGAACGCAGCGAAAGAATTCTATGCCCGCATCAGGGTAGAATATGGCTCGAACGGAGGGGGCTGCAGCAAGCGCTTTACTGGCATATCAAGGCAAAGCGTCGTCCAAGTCTGACTCAATAAAGTAATGCGTTGTGCATGCATGATAATGCGGTTATCCGAGTCCGACTCGATAAAGCATTGTATGTACACGAGAACGCAACTTGGTGCGTCTAGGACACGTTTTTTCTCATCCTCATCGCTTCCCACGCAAAACCACCGTATTCAGTCAATCTATACCATTATTATAATTTGAGTTTGCTATGATCTAACAATCTAACAGTAAAAGTCATTATAATTGGAATATGTAATTTATTTTTACCCATTGTAACGCACGGGTATTTTTGCTAGTATAAGTTTAATTTGAATGTGCATTTTTTGAAGTGACATACCATATTGATTTATCTTACAAAAATTGTTTTAGTTTTTTCTATGATTTTTTTAAACAACATGCAAAAACGGGGATAATTAATTATTTGCTACTCTTACGAATGGTGCTAAATGATTTGCCACTGTACCCACATGTCATATATACACATGAGAGCCTACATGTCATAGACAGCGAGTGACAAATAATTAATTGCTACATCTTAAAAGTGACCAAAAGTTAAATATCCCCAAAAAATGAAGAGACATCCCTCGAGGGATGAATAGACTTTTCCCCTGTTGTGTGTATCTGCTAAAATCGATTTGAGCTTGAGGTTGGAAAGAAAAGTTTACAGGTCGGCAGTACATACGTAAGGTCCTATAAGAGAGAGACTGGGCCTTATGAAAAACATCCACATGTACGTAAAGTAACCCTCTTCCCTTAATTTATGCGTTTAATTAGTTATTACTTAAAAAAAATACTCGTACATTGTAACGAGTAAAAACATTTTTCCAGTGGTACAACCGCTATTAGGAACTGAGTATTGAAACGTTAGGATCACTATATATTATATTATAATTGAAAAAGTTAATAAAAATTGTTCCTTGGTTTGGGCCGAAAGCCCGTTCTTCTCTTCCTTTTTTGTTTCAACCCAGTCCGTTACCTCTCTCTGCTTCACCTGACTCTCTTCGATCCAACCCACAAGTGAAGCTGCGGTCCAAGCTCGCGTAGCCGACTGGACTGGGTGGCGTGCGGCTTTGTGGGTGCGAACCGCCTCGTCCCCGGCCAAATGCTGCTCTTTGACCACCGCGGCGGCCTGCACTTGGACGTGGACCTGTACGTTCGACCAGTCCGACCGGCTGCCTCAAGGACGACGATATGATGATGACGTTGGCATGCATGCAGTCCGGCAACACAGCGGCCTGGCATGCAGAGAGCGTTCAGTGCCGCTGATGGTATATATGAAGATGAAGAAGAGGAAGAGGAAGAGGCGGTTGCGGTCGCAGGCCGGACAAGTGCGGATCGGAGGAGAAATTAATAAGTGCAGATCGCAAGGGCGGACCAGCTGAGATTCCAATAATTCCTATAAGTCTCTCGCGTCGTCCTCCCCTGGGCAGTACGGGAGGCGACGACCCGGCCGCCCCTATCCCTCCCCTTTTTCCCCTCCGCCTCGCCGCCGCTCGAGCGGCCGCCGGCAAAGCTAGCCGGCCGCAAGGACGGCGGCGGCAGGGCTCCTCGCTGACCTCTCACTGAGCGGGCAGGGGAGCCGCCAGGCGGGACGACGGTGACCGCCAAATCTAGGCCGCTCCGGCCGGATCTGGCGGGGCGGCGACTGGCGGCGGGGAGGACGGCGGCCACGGCGGCGGGGATGGCGACGGCGAAGGCAGGGGCATGCGACGCCGGGCGGCGGCGGCTGAAGGCGGCGGGGATGGCGATGGTGGCGGGGATGGAACCGGCCGCGAGCGCGAAGGTGGTGGTGGTGGTCCCGTGTGGGCTTGTGGTGGCGACGGCACGGTGCCCGGCGGCGGCGGCGGTGTCCCCCAGATCCGCGCCTCTCGGCCGGATCTGGAGGGTGGCCGGTGGCAGTTGGCGGCGGCTGTGCGGCGACGACGGCGACGGTGTGGCGACGGCAGCAGCGGCAGTTGGCGACGGCGACAGGACGGCGGCGGCGGTCGTGGCAGTTGGCGGCTGCGGTGTCGGCTGGCGATGGCGGTAGTGGCGCACATGGCATCGGGCGGCGGCCAGCCGCATGCTGGTGAAGGGCGACGGCACAACGGCAGTTTGCGGATGCGGGGGCTGGCGTCGGTGGCAGCGGCGACGGCGGCCGTTTATGGAGGCGGTGGTGACGTCAGCGGCGGGGAAGGAGTCAGCTGCGAGGCAAGGATGGCGACGGCGAGGTGGCTGGGCGTTAGGTAGCAGCGGCTGCGGTGATGGTGACCGTGTCTGCGGTCACTGGAGGCATGGCGGCCTCAAACGGCTAGCTGAGCGCGTGGGAGACGACTACATCTGGCCGGCGCGGTATCGTTTGGTGGAGGGGTCGGAGACCGGCTTGGCGCAGAGAAGTGCAGCCGATGACAGCGGAGGCCGGCTCGGCGCGAGAGGCGCGGGCGGCGGAGATGGAGGTCGGCTTGGCGCGGGAGGCGCAGCTGATGGAGGGAGACCGGATTGGCGCGAGGCGCGTCCGGTGGAGGAGGCTGGCTTGGCGCAGAGTGGCGCGGCCGGTGGTAGAGGAGGCGACCTAGGTGTGAGGAGTTGCTGCCGGTGGGTGTGGCGCGGTCTTCGGCGCACGAAGACTGGCCGGCGGGGGACGCTGGTGTAGGGGTCCCGCATGTCGGCAAAGCTTGTGTGGTGGTGGAACATCGGTGCGTCAGGCGTGGATTCGCAAGTGGTGAGCGGCGGGTGAAAACCCAGTCCGGCCTTGGTTGAACCGACAACGATGGTTATCCCCCCTCCTGAGGGCGTTGTCGTGCTGTCTCACCCCTCTGGCGACCTCGTCTGTGTCCCTTTGTTGGCTTAGTTGCGGTCGGTCACGCTTAGCGGCGGCCTGTCCGGTGTTAGCCTTCTCCTGGGCTTGTGTGATGGGGATGTCGCCGTGTGGGTGGTGGTATATTTTTTCCTTTTTCCTAGTTACGACCCTCCAGGGTTGTAACTTGTAATTTTTTCCTGCTCTATCAATAGAACTTCGCCTTGTAATTTTTTCCTGCTCTATCAATAGAACTTCGCACCGTCTCGTGTGAGTCGTTCAAACAAAAAAAAAACCAGCTGAGATTCCTGGACGTCCGTGAGCATTAGCATGTGCGAGCGCATGGGCTGGACGTGGTAGTAATGGTACGTGCCAGCGTGTGCGGTGAGCCGTGACATGCAGCAGGCAGGGTGGTTTAATTCATTCAATTCATGATGAATGAGCTCACTGGCGAACGTAGAAAATTAATTTATTAGTGTTATAATGTGTATATTAGTATCATAGTATACTAATTACACTTCGATTATAGTGTTATGATATATAGATAAGCAGTTTAATTTAAAATTATCGGTGTCACCTAACACCGACGCTAACACTGTAGATCACCACTGAATGAGATAGTGCCTGCCGGTTACTTGCATGGATGACACCTGCAGCTACATACGCACCTACATGTACCTTGCACAATCAACAGTACACGCGCGCGCGTATGCATTATAGTAAGGCAGCTAGGTTGGTGTACAATCGATCGCTCGCGAGAGGCCGTCTCTATACTGAAAGAGCTAGGATTACTCAATGATTAATGTTGAAAACAAATTCGATGAATTCATTAAAGAAATAATTTCTATATTGGTCATTTCGACTGTCACTAGGCTAGGCAGAAAAGGAATTTTGTATTTTGAGTAATTCGCGTGGTTTTCAAACGCGGATCCATGGATGGATATGGATCCGCCGCTCACCACCATTCGCAGGACCCTCCGATTTTCACTTCGATCAATCTCTTTCTTTTTTTCATTCCGGAAGGGGGAGGAATACACGGGAACGAAGGAGTTCATTAAATTCACTTGTCACCACGCCCGCTACCACACATGAACCAGCGTGGCAAATGATCGATCCATCAGTTATGAATGCTAGCTCGTTCCACTATTTTAAAATTTTATTTTTACGGACACCCTTATTTAATCACGAATAGACTAAAATAATATTCGTATGTATAAAGATTTTGGTGATGTTCGATTAAGATCTCTCATGAAAATGCATTTTCTCAAGACGAGCGTATTAAGAGGCCCGTCAGCAATAATAGCGTCCGCCTACGAAAATGGATTTTCAAAAGCGTTTTTTTTCAACCACATATACTTCGCGGCACATTAAGCTTTTCTTCCTCACCTCTCCCTCCACTCTTTTTAACCTCCACCTCTTCTCTCTCCTCGCTTACTCCACGTCTTTTCCTCCTTTCTCTCTCCTTCCCTCCCTCCCAGTCTCGTCGGGGCTCTTTGGGCTTAGGCTATAGATAGCAAGTAGTGACGGCTCGGATGACGACAACAAATCCAACGGCATCATTCTCGGGAGAGACGGATTAGTTGTCCTTTGGCCTAGAAGGGGCTATGGACGGCTGATGACGAGCTCGAGGATGATAGGAATGGGAGCTATGGTTTCGGGATTTTGTTTTTATAATTCTTTTTGCCAAATTTTGTTTTTGCAGACAAGCAGTTTAATGTTCCATATGAGAAAATTTTGTTTTTGCACGAGGATCGGCTGTTTTCTTAGAAAATTTTGATTTCTACTGTCATCTAAGGGCAGGCGGGCAAAGTGCTCGCCTGTGAAAATGTGTTTTATCGTATGAAAAAGTATTTTTGTGCTAGGTTCTTATGGTACAATATGGACGCACCAGTTTAATTTATTTTTTGCAATGTAACTTATAGAAGTGAACTTTAACTTTATACGAGAGTACTAATTAGTATCAAGGTTGGCTTATGGTGGGAGGGAGTGAGTACACGTACGAATTAATGCTACTAGCAATAAAGTCGGACCGTGTCAGTGCACCTATCTACCCATGCATGCATGTCGATATGATCTCTTCCCATATATACATGCGTCTAGCTAGCTAGGCGCGCTTGGACCTGGAGTGGATTATATATGCATGCACAAATTAGCTGATGATCTCTATCGTTGTAGGTGCTAGCTACAAGAGCTCATAATCGGTACGTACAAAGCGCATCGCAGCTAGGCAGGCATCAAATTAATCGATCTGAATCCATGGCGCGGTGGTGCATGAGCATGATGCACATCGTTCTTCTTCTACTTGTAGTGGTGCTCATGCTACTTAATGTATCATGTGAGGCCGCTAGAGGCATGCCCGCGCCGCAGGGCGCCACAACCATGGCGAAGGCCATGGAGGCCGGCGGCGGCGGGGGTCTCAATGACCACAAGACCTTTCTGCCGCCAGTGCCAGGCATGGGCGGCGGCGGTGTTGGAGGCTTCGCTGGTATGGGAGGTCCTCTCGGCGGGGTCATCGGAGGCATCGGTGGTGTTCTCGGAGGAAGCCCTGCTGGTCTTGGAGGAGGCCTCGGCGGTGGATCCTCCGGTGGCCTTGGCGGCGGTGCCGGTGGCGGCTGCATCCATCCGTGATGTTGTATCAGGCAGGCAATTACTATACTCCTATATATGTATGTGTGTTTGTCATTGTAGCTTAACTAGCTGGGAAATAAGTCTGCAGGCAGAGCCTGCCCTGAAAGGATGGACCAACTACGTAACTATACTAGAATATAGTTACTGCGAATGTTATAATTGCTTCGTTTCAGCTCCATCCTAGCTTATTAGTCTATCTATTTGGTTGTTACCTTGTACTACCCTATATATATCTTTGTAATCGTTTCATCTTGTGTCTACCTTCAACGTGCGCCTGTACGTTTTGTTTCATGTGTATCCATATCTCATCTCTCAAACAAAACCGATCAGCAAATTAAAGTGTCACTTAAAAAAAAAAGGACCAGCGCGTTGCAACATCCAAATTTACTTAGGATTAAGGAATATTACAAGTATAAAGAGTTTTGACTTCAACAAGAAGCTGTCGAAGTAAATAAAAGTTGCCACAGAAGCAATCTCCCAAAAGAAAATAGATTACATTGAGGGATTACTATCCAATATTTCTGAAAACCTCAGCTTCCTTACAAATCGCCACTTCCTCTTTAATTGAACCAAACAGGAAATCTATCGAGAGCGCCGTTGATTCTGAAACACAAGCGCATTTCTTTTCTTCCAAACCATCCAACATACAAATAGCACAAGGCTATCGATGACGTCCCTGTGGCCATTCTAAAAATTTTGCCGCATCGCTAACCACCATTCTCCCATGTCCATGCCTGAGTCAGACGGCATCAGGAATCCAACACCAATCGAGCCCTTGCCGTTACATATTACTCCCTCCGTTTCAAAATGTTTGACACCATTGATTTTTTAAGTACGTGTTTGACCATTCGTCTTATTCAAAAAATTTAAGTAATTATTTATTCTTTTCATATCATTTGATTCATTGTTAAATATACTTTCATGTACATATATAGTTTTACATATTTCAAATTTTTTTTTGAATAAGACGAACGGTCAAACATGTGCTAAAAAGTCAACGGTGTCAAACATTTTGAAACGGAGGGAGTATGATGTTGGTTCGTGTGGCATGGTGATAAACTATCTTGTCAGGCTCACTACATCTTCACCTTTGCATTATTGTCAAACTTGGGCCTTCTTCTAGACTGAGGGCCGAAAGCAAGAGAGGACCTAATTAATTTGGTCCGGCCCAATCAGCCCATCAGCTGCCTCATACTCCTTCCCTCTCTCAATCGGAGTCGGAGAGCAGAGCAGAGCAGAGCAGCACCGCGCGAATCAGAGTGAATTCTGATCGGAGTCGGAATCCTACTATGATTCGATTCGATTCGACTTTCGTCTCATCACGCTATAAATTCAGTCTCCTCCACGCCGGCCGGAGCAAGCAATCAATTAACCACCAAAGCGCACCATCGTCGATCACCATCAATTCATCAGCACTCAGCGCAGTTAATTAGTTGTTGCCAGCCATGGCGGCCACCCTCCCGTACGCCCTCCGCAAGCAGCTCGAAGCCGCCGACAAGTGCTTCTCCGACGGCAACATCAAGGGCGGCAAGATGCACGCCGACATGGCCGCCGCCCTCTTCTCCTCCGCGCCCGAGGCCCAGTGCGCGCAGGCCGCCTTCAAGGTCCACGCCGCCGCCGCCGCCGCCGCCACCAAGGACAAGACCAAGACCGACCACTACGCCGTCCTCGGCGTCAAGCTCAGCGCCACCGGTAAACCGGACGCCATCACCACCGACGCAGTCAGGAAGCAGCACAAGGCGCTCTGCGCCATGTTCGCCACCGCCAAGGACACCAGCGCCGCCGTGGCCGCCTACAAGCTCGTCGACGAGGCCTTGTCGGCGCTCACGGACATCAAGAAGAGCGACGTGATGGCGCCCCCTCCTCCAACGTCGACGTCGACCTACTCGTACCAGCAACAGCAACAGGTGGCGCGGCGCAAGGCGAAGCCAGAGGCAGGAGGACCAAGAGTTCCAGGCGCGAGCAGCATGCTATCAGGAGGAAGAGGAGGACGATTACTACGGCGGTGGCCGCGACAAGGACGGCGGACGCGGCGGCAGGCACCGTGGACGCTAACCTTAATTAGTTTGCTTCTTTTCTTTCGTCAAGCGATCAACGCTTATGTCTGTTTACTAGTCTTAATTTGCTCTTGTCAGATGTCAAAAAAGCAACTACTAGTATTATTCAGTATATGTACTACTATCAAAATAATTCCTTGCTACTTCCTCCGTTTCACAATATAAGTCATTCTAGCATATCCCACATTCATATTGATGTTAATGAATCTAAACATCAATATGAATGTGGAAAATGCTAGAATGACTTACATTGTGAAACGGAGGGAGTAGCAATTATATATATATATATATATATATATATATATATATATATATATATATATATGAATTGAGGATGACAACAATGTGGAGTGCATAACGAATACTATCTAGCATTTGAAGCCGTGGCAAACGGAGAGGATTATGATGAGGATGAGCGCGATGATGATACCGAGGACGATGAGTTTGATCTTCATGTTCTGGTACCACATCTTGCGCCGCACTCGCGTCCCTTGCTGCCTGAAATCAGCAGCCTGCAAATTGCAGTAAAAATGCAATCAAAATGTCTTAGTAACTAGCCCTTAATCTGTAAATTACGTGCCTTGATGAATGAAACTGAAATGCCTGCCTGGTCATGGAGTTGCTCTGTCCTGCTGACAAGTACGTCGATCTGCTGTCCGCGATCAATGGCCTGATGATATATTCATGCCATGCAAAACTAGTTGTTAGTAACTTCAGATACCTGAATCTAGTAGCTTCAATTGGACTATGTACTGTACCTTGTCAATGTTTTCCATCATGATGCCTTTAACTTCAGAGACCTGAGCTTTCACTTTGGCTAGCTTGCTCACCTCCTCAGGGTGATCCATGCAGTACTTCATCTGCTCTCCAAGCCTTGGCCTATCAAGCCAACACACTATGTATTGAACATGCATATATACAGGAATTTATAATGATCGGTGTTTTATAGACCTAAAGTACTGCATGGATCTATCTGAATCCTTAAATTAGTTGCTGGCAGATGAAATGAAGCGTACGTTACCCGAAATCTCGGCTGAGGCTGTTGGCTGCAGCTGTGGCTGCTTTTCCTCCTGCATACCTCTTGTTGAAATCCTCCTTGATCATATCTAGCAAGGCGAGAGGAATCTGCCGGCCACTCGACTCGGTTGCAACCACGCAGTATGCTGTTTTTTTTTCAGATAATTCAGTCATACAGGCAAGTAAAGTGGCAACTGAAATTTTCTTGTGCTTTTAGGTTTCAGTCAAGTGTAAAGCGACATCGGATGAAATAATTTCTTCAGGTCTGGTTACCCTATATTAGTTTTAGATAAATGGCTTGAGAGAAATAAACAGCTGCAAACTTTTGTTACAGGGCCGGTCCTACGGTTTTGAGGGCCCCAGGCGAACTCATCGCGATGGGCCCTCTAAGCTATATATAAAACTTATTGATATATATATATATATACGCTAATTTTACTTGTAAAACGAAAACAAATACATCCATATATTAAATTTAACATGCATGGTAATTATCAAGAAATAAAGTCGACCAAAATAACAATATATTTGTAACTTGGAACTAATATCATTATTCATTAACCTAATGAAGAATAGAACCCCATCACATCTATTGTTTCCTATGAAAAGATACTTATTCGGGCATTTCTTGATGCAAAATCATCAAGAACAGTATTAAGATCAATAGTGTCCAAGATATCCTTCTCGATTGAGCATATAGCCAAGCTATTTAACCTTTCTTGCAACATAATTGATATCAAATAGTTATTCAACAACTTTAATTTTGAGAAACTTCTTTCAGATGAAGCTACCGTCATAGGTACGGTTAAGAGAATTCGATAGGCAACTAAAACATTTGAATAAAAATCTGCATCCATAACAAACTTCAGAATCTCAGGCACGAACATCGAAGAATCTGGCAAACTCACTTGCAACACCTTTAATTCTAAATAAAAACCATTGATCTCAACATCGGATAAGATACTAGATTACTAGTATTAGGTGTTGGCACCCCCACCATTATGGGTCCCCTACCATCATGGGCCCCCGGCGGTCGCCTCGGCTGCATAGGGCCAGGGCCGCCCTTGCAGTTTTGTGATGGGTAAACAATTTTATTCATTCAACTTGTCTGAGACTGGGTCGATCAATGATCTAAAGAAACTTGTCTGAGACTGAATGAAAGCAACATGGATGATGATATACAGTTAACAAACAGGGAGGATGGCATATTGACATGGTAGATTTCCTGTTCATCATCGTCTTCGTCATCATCGATGATCATATTTTTAATATATCTAGTGCAAACCAATCATGACTAGCTATTGTCGTCGCAAAAAACGAATTAAACGAAGATTAGTTGTTGTCGGCTAATTAAGCCAAAAAAAAAAAGATGGAGTGGATGATAATCCAGTATATACATCTGTAATAAACAGAGATCGAGGGAAAAGAGAAAGATTAAATAAGTACCGTAGCCTTGGTGGATGAGGAAGTTGAAGGTGTGGGCGTCGCAGGTGTAGGTGAGGCGGTTGTCGCCGGCGGGGAGCTTCTGCAGGCACTGCGCGGCGATGTCCCGGAAGTTGCCGGCGTACGCCGTGTGCTCCGCCAGCACCACCGTCCCTCGCGCCACCATCGCGTATATCAGCTTCGACTCCGCCATCTTGATTCTTGATCTTGCTTCTTCTTGTTGTAATTGCAATTCTTGTGTGTCAACACTCAACAATGGAAGGTGTACGTGGGCGTTGTGGCCAAGGTAGGGAGGAAGGAAAGATCGATGGAAGCAAACGAAATGAAACGCCGGCCGACCGTCTTGGACTAGTTATTCAAGAACCTCATCAATTTCCCCTAGCTTAATTGTGTCAATGGAGTTATCAAAAGTGATTCTAGATGCTTGGACTTTGGTTGCTTCGATCAGAGCCGTCCATCCGTCTGCCCCCGTTGACTAGCTTGTCTATCTGTCGTCTGCCTTCCCGCGTTAACTGCTTCTTATTCCTTGGACGACCTTCTTTCCTTCCGTTGGTCTAATCTCTCTATTACTACTCCAGTTTATTTATTTCTTCCTTGACTCGGTAATGAACTATTACTATTGATGATTCATGGCTTGTTCCTCTAGTAATCTCAGATATATGCGTCTCTGCATCCTGCAACCTTTGATCCATCCACCCACCTTTTGTTGCTTCTGCCTAGGACAACCTTGTCCTAAAACAAACAACCAGTCACAATCATCTGGAATCCAAACCGATCGTTTTAGGGTTCGAAGTTCGAACCCATCCTTATCCCACACCATACTTCACAGCAAACCTCATACACTACACTGATCACCAACTTTAATTTTCCATTCAATTTTCACTTCAGACCGTGGATGATACATTCATCTCGTGTTTGTACTAAGGGATGACACAATATCAGCATACAACAAACTGATCGATGTAGTGGCGTGCTCCTAAAACTTATATTGCACAGGTTAAAATGGAAGCTGCCTCCCTCAAAAAAAAAACCTCAAAAAAAAAGGAAGCTGCCCGACAAAACGGTGAAATATGGGTCAGAACAGCCATATATCACCAGGAGCACTCTCCATCCACAGAGCCTTCTTCAGTCAGAAACACATCACTTGCACTGCCTTGGGTGAAACTTCTCCTCTGACAGGAGCGACGTCATGAGCCGCTGCAGCCGTACAGCTCCTCGACCAGGCTGAAGGTGAGTGGTATTGCCGATGACTGAGCAAGGGTCACTTCCATTTTCTCGTGTCCCTCCACACCATCCTCCAGGAGTGAGCATGTCTGGGCCACGCAACAGGATCTCCGCATCTATCTTGTCTAGAACCGGGTCATCTGCATGAAACTTCCGAGCAAATGGTGCATCGCTAGCAACCATCCTGTCCAAGTCTTCAATTGTGAGGTAGTGCGGATGCTGCTTCGGAGGGTTGTCCCATGATATGTAATGCAGGTCATGGTTCACCGTGGTATTTTTAAACTCCTCAGCATTGCAGACCACAGTGTGGAAGTAGCCTTCTGGTGAAGAGATGAAATTGGCGTAGTACATGAGTACAGTCCTTGGAAGGTTGTCCCAGCCCCATATGCAGTATTCGACAAACGGCTTAGACAGGGCCATCCAAGCAGACCCTGCAATGTGGTAGGATTGTCAGATGCATCCACTTGAAGCATAAATCAGATCATTTCATGTAACTTCAACACATCATGCTTAATAAACTATATGCCTTGGCTTTCACTGAGTGGGTTGGCTCTGCATCCGCAGCTTAATTCTAACATTTTCAGTATGCGGTCAGGCTGTGTTGTTGTCTGAACATGAAGTGTAGTAAGATATATGAGCTATTTGGAGGAAAAAGTTTATCTGAGTTCTTAAGACTCTAGAGAAAACAAACAACAATTAGTCATCTCGGCAGCATGAACAAATAGACTGTCTAATTCTCACTAGATTCAATTATATCACCAATACTACAGAAGAAAGGAAAATTGATCACGAATAGGTTTTCACTGTCCCTAATGTAATGAGCAAGCTAGTAAGGGAAAAAAAACAGCAGATTTGAGCAGTGGGGCATCTGTTATGACCGGTGAAGAGCTTGAAGGCAGTGGGGACACTCCGGCGCTGCGGGATCCAGAAGACATCGGCCTTCTTCTTCATGTAGAGGCCAGGGTCAATGATGACCGGCTTGGCCCTCTGATACCTAGAAAACAAAACAAAACAATGATGCATTGGGCGGGCCTAGGATGAGGAGTAGCAAGAGGAGGAAATGAAGGGCCTACTCCTTCCACCCAATGTTGCTGGTGTGGTCGATGAAGTTGAGACCGCGAGGCAGCTTGGAGAACACATGGATCAGATCTGCAGCAGATCAAAACAGTAAGTAGCAAGGGAAGGGGGGGCCCCTATCCCTACGGGATGGGTGGCGTGAGGAAGTAATCCGAATTAGTACCATCCTGCGTGAGGAGCGGGTAGTCGGAGGCGGAGAGGTTGATGAACCAGTCCCACTCCAAGTGCGGGTGTTGGTTGGTGTAGAGGAAGGCGGCGGCGGCGTGGAGGGTGTTGGCGACCATGGTGGGGCCACGGTAGGTGACGAGGTTGGCCCGTTGGATGACGTGGACGTTGGCGGCGGCGGCGATGACAGGGTGGTCGGCGAGGTCGGCGGCGAGGTTGGCCCGGTCGGAGTCTGGCGCCTCGGCATCGAGGTGGAGGATGTAGAGGTTCCTGGGGTGGTAGAGCGCGAGGAGGACGCGGCGGAGCGCGGCGGCGTCGCCCGCGGAGCCGGAGATGAGGTAGGCGAAGCGAGGGGGGGAAGCGGTGGATGGCGGGGAGGGGGCGAGCTTGTGCTCGACGAAGAGGGTGGGGTTGGGAGGGCGGGAGGCGGCGGAGGAGGGGAAGGGGAAGGGGAGGGGGAAGGTGGTGAGGAGGACGAGGAGGAGGAGGGAGAGGGCGGAGCCGATGGCGAGGGGGAGAAGCCAGCGGCGATCGACGGCGGCGGCGGCGGCGGTGCCGGTGGTGGGCTTCATCTCATCTCATCTCATCTCATGGGCCTTCTTCTCTTCTCTTCTCTTCTCTTCCCTACTGGACTACTACTGTACTGTCTTGTGTACTCTCATTTTCATCACTTGATCAGTAGTACAGTATAATAGTACAGTACAGGTGGAGCAAGTGAAGTCAACACAAGTTGTTGGACCAAACCCGTGCGTCCTCTCCATTTGGCACAACATCACGTATCCCATAAACACCTAAACCAAACCAAACATTCTGTAAATATATCTATTATATTATTAAAGAAATAGAAAAAGAAGCCTCCACGTTTGCTCCATGGCTTAGAAATTCTCACATTGATCGGAGAAAAAAATATTAAAAGACAAGTCTAGAGCCCATATAGGAATATATATAATTTACAAATAACTAAAATTTGATATTAAAAATAATTAATAACTAACACGTATATAAAATACAATATGAATATTACACATTAGTAATTTTGTAAAGTTATTGCAAAATTTAAAATTATGTTGTCATTTTAATATATTTAAATAATATAATGAGAAAACATATATATGTTATTATATGAGAGAAAATATAATGATGCTAGCCGCGCAATCTACGCGGGCCGCCATGCTAGTTTTTATGGTATCGTATGATTCAAAGTTTATATGTGAGCGAAAACTTAGGTTATGCCTAACGCTCCACAGTGAAGCACGATTCCAAGCGTCATGTTGGATTTGAATTAGAAAAGGAGACTTGTAAATAACTTTTGCTACTTCTTAATACAATAATGTGCTCCTTGCGTATTAAAAAAATTAGAAAAAGAGAAAGCACAATGACTCTGAGCATGTCATTGTGGCCTACAGGAGTCACGGTGGCTTGCGGGAGAAAAGAGCATAGAGGAGGTGGTCTATGGAGAGAGGAGAGAAGGGAGAATCTGCACCTTGTCATGAAGGGAATCCACCATTGACGAGACAAAAACATTGGGAAGATGCCGTCGTTCGGAAGACAAGCTGTTCAGAGGGTGGCTGAGGCCAGGCAGATTGCCATCACGCTGCCTTCCGCCTGCAATCTTTACCCAACCTACTGCAACATCCCTCCCACCGCTGCCTGCTAATACTACATCATGGACTAGTATAGTTATTGCAACATCCCAGTATTATAAATGTATCAGTCACTACACCAGATGGAATCACCTTCAACTGGTAATAAACTGTCACATGCCACACTGTATCTGTACTGCACGTCGCCACTTATGGAATGATATACAATATATGTTACTGTATGATGAAATAAACTTCATTCACCTTGATAATGATGCAACCCTCTCTTGCATAACTGAAATACTGATTATTTACATACGGTTATCAAGACAGTGAGATTGTTCAGACAAAGGAAAAAGGAAAAAAGAGTGAGGAGGGGTGCATCAGGACTCAAATCATGACTTATATAGGAGTACTAGCTAACAGTGCAAGAGGCTTATTTTTGCAGTTTCTATCTTACCAAAACCCAGAACATAAGAACCGACAGCAGAAGCGCTCCCATCATCTGCTTGCCTGTCACTGATGCCGCTGACGAAGGCGTCGTCGTCCCAGTGTTCGTCGCAGGTTTCTCTGTTGGACAGGTGTAGCCGCAGAGGCTGGGCCGCACAACCCGGTAGACGCCCTTGCTCGACAGGACGTAGGTGTCCTTGTTGTTGTCCTCGCCAAACGAGTATATGTACCCAAGTGATGGGAGGGGGCTTCCAGCAGCAGTGTCACACGCTATAGGAGAACTCTTGGAGCAGCTGAAGGAGATCAGACTCGAGCTGTAGTTCCCGCTGCTCTCTGGAGCCTCTGTGCCGGTCCACATCGCTGATGCATACAGATCGGCGTATAGGTACCTGAAAACACATTGACAAAGACATCTTCTTGTTGTGATATGCAAATTTCAAGATTTTTCGCTGCTGCTGCTGCTGCACAAGATACTACTAGTTCAAGGCCATCTTTAAGTTCCAAAATAAAGCAATATGTACCTTCCGACCAAGCAGGGGTCGGTAGATCCTCGATAAACATTACCACCTATTATTGACGCAGATCCAATCTTCTTGTTGACATCAGAATGGCTGTAGCCCATGATAGGGGGAATGGCGTTTATGGAATTGAGGGAAGTGTTCCCTCCAGGTGCCGAAGGTGGATTGAAAACAAGTGGCCCCTCATATGCACGCCATCCATAGTTTCCACCCTTGGAGATCAAATCTACTTCTTCGTATTGATCCTATACACAGATTAAGGTCAAAAATGCAAATGATGTACTGCATGCAAAGTGCACATAGTGGTCACATATCTTGACAATTTTACCAAATTTGATGAAATTAAGTTCTGTATGTCTTAGAAATACAAAAGCTTGCCTTCAGAAAAAGAAAGAAGAGAGCTAAATGTGAAGTCTGGAGAATGAACAGTTGAGTTCCATTAATATCGGCACAATATTAATGAGAAACGACCTGGATTCGAAGCTTCACCTCTTCTAATTATTTGATATTAGGTCATTCCCTAATATTCGCGTCTTTTTATATCAGCACAATGAATAATAGGCTTCTGTCTGCTACGTATCTATCCTGTCTTTATGCCTTTATCTGTAAATGCCTATCAAGTTCAGAATATTTTAAGTTCATGATCAAACTAGATTACATAGCTATACCTACACTTTTCAGTGTGCTTATCAGGTTCCTCGATGATGACTAGAAGTAATGCAGCCCTCAAGGTCAAGGATACCCAACTAACAAAAAACCAACCTTAAAGGGCATGACAAATTCCAATATACTCCCCTAAACCTGAACTACTGCTTGGTCCACCAAACCCCTTGAGTTATTTTCTAAGCCACTAAGACTTGTCTCAAAGATGGTTTTGACTTTTGCCACCATATCTTCCACATACCTACTTTTTCCACTTGGCATCACGTCAGCACAGCACAGCCGATGTGGCAAAGCCTGATGGCGAGGCGGCCAAGATGGTAAAACCAACATCCAAGACTAGCCTCTCAGGTAAAAGCAGTTTAGGGGTATTACTGAACGGGAAAAGGTTTAGGGGGCTAGGTAGACTGATACCATACTTTATGGAGTAAAATGGGCAATTTCCTTAAAAAGAAAAACTGATGAAGAACCACTATCTTTACTGAATCAATTGTTAACCAATAGTATTAAATTAAAAAGTAGCAAATTATCATGAGTTGCTCATATAATGCTGAATGTTACCTGACCAACATCGGCACAGTAGAAGTAGGAAGGCCTCGCGGAATCAAAGCTGCATCTCCATGGGTTTCTAAGACCCAATGCCCAAACTTCTGGTTCTAAGTCACTGTCATCAGTGTATGGGTTGTCTTTTGGAATGGAGTAGTTACCCCACAAGCTCTGGTTAGCAATTTCACTCTGTCCTGTAAAGGAAAAAAGGAACAAATTATCAAATATAGTACATGCTGATGCTCCATATATTGCTAATTGTTTGTCTTATGTGAGAGGAGATTTAAGTTTATCTTACAAACTACTTGCACTGGCAATAGAAACTAGTTTATCTTTATCCTACAAAATACTGGGTTTTAAATTTATATTGACAGGTGTCAATCGTCTACAAGGTTTAAACTATGACCATATGAACAACGTAACCTAATATTTTCATATGGAATGATAATACTGCCAGTTTGAAGATCCCGAAGAAGATTTGTACTCACCATTCAGCATCTTTGACTAAGCCATTCTTTAAAATGTGCCCAGTAGTAGTTTATTTATTGAACACAATTGGCCCAGAAGAGAGAAAATTATTGAAACAACACTGAAGGTGGTGATTAGGAGTCACGATTGCCATTTTGTTTTGTAGTTCTGATGCCAACATTTAGAACTAAAATAAATAAGATGGGAAAAAAAAAGAGCAGCGATAGAGACACAAACATGGAATCTGAAGAGAATACAGGAAAGCAGTTCTGAATGGATAAATCAATCAACAAATGACAAAAGATGGCCCTCTGGAAGACTTACTTGGTGGATTATCAACATCAAGCCTCATAATTTTTCCCAGAAGCGACTTTTTGTTCTGAGAGAAATTAAAAGGGTCCCCCTTTCCTCCACCATCCCCCATCATGAGGTAGAGATATCCGTCAGTAGGCCCAAAGAGGATCTGACCTCCATGCTGAGACGTATAAGGCAGCCCCATGGTAAATATCCTTGTGACTTCGGATGGATCAGCAGACGTAACCTGACAAAAGTGAAAACTGAAGAATGTGCATGAATGGAGTATGAGGAATAACCAGACATGAATCGAGGAGGGTGTCCAGATGAGCAAACCTCAGAAATATTTGCTGAAGAACCTTTAGCGGAATATTCTGATACAACAACTTGATATTGGCATGGTTGAGCGCCATTATCCGTGCCAACCTTTGAGGGATCACAGCCGACATCAGAGTTACAAGAGCACCTACCAGAACAGCTGGGTGACTTTGTCCTATCACAGTTGTAAGAGGCAAAGAAGCGGCCATTGGTTGCAAAATTGGGATGAAATGCCATGCCCATGAGCCCAAATTGCGAATCGAAATGCACCTGATCGGTTAGATCAGCAAATGGGCTTGTCTCATCAAACTGCAGGATGCCTCCAGATCCCTGGTCAGGAACTGTTGCCAACCATATCTTCCCAGGTTGGCTGCCTAAGAAGATTCTATTGGAGCCATCAGGGTGAGGAGCCATGTTAAGGTATGATCCGTTGCCTATCCTCTCTAGGCATATCCCTTTCAGAGAGGGCGAAGGTGGAGTGGTGTTAAATGAGACAGAGTTCCCGCTGAAGCAAACAGATTGGTCGTTAGGCGCACCGCCAAATGATTTGCAGAAGTCAGCTTCAGACTGCCAATCATCAGTAAGCTTGGATGATGAAGTGGGAAGTGGCGCGCCGCCTTGAAGCGGTGGCTGAAAGGGGGAGTTGGATATGGTCACATCTTTGCAAGTTTCCCAGACTAATTTGCAGTAGTCTTGTGTGGAGTCCTTTGATTGAGCAGAAGAGGATGAGGTAGAGTTGCACAGGAAAGGGATAGTCCGAATGTTTGGGCCGGCGTTGAACAGCTCAGCAGAATACGGATTGCATTTCTGAAAATGGAAGAGAGGGAAATTTGATACATAAATTAAAGAAAGTATCTGTAATTACATGAAGGTGGTATCTTCAATTACAGATACTCTCTTCAATTTATTTGATACATAAATTCAAATAAATTGAAAGAATTGCTGCACTCTTATATGATACATTACGGAAGGTGGTATCTTTGTAGTAACATGTTAGAAAGATGAGATATTAGTGGTGAGGCAATTTGATATGGCAGTGAATCAACTTGATAACATGAAAGAAAAGAAGCTCAGTTAAATTGTAAGTGAAGTTGAACTAGTGGTGGATTATCAGTATCTCTGTTTTTTTTTTGACATGAATGAATAATACAGTACTAGTATAGTAACTGAAAAGGAAAAGACAAGGCAAGCCAAATCTGGAGCAGGTTATCCATTCCAGTGAGGCAAAGCGGCGAACAGGTGTGTGGCGTGGCCCTCTGTGAGCGTGAGGTGAGGAAAGTAAAAAGCAGGGAAAGGAGGAGGGTACCGCGCAGAGGATGGGCTTGAGGAGGGCGGCGCAGGAGGCGTCGGAGACGTTGAAGGCATCGAACTGTTTCTGCAAAGTAGCGTCTGCGGCGGCGTCGCAGCAGCTGCTGCTCCCCCGGGCGTAGGCGCAGAAGGCGAGCGTCTTGTTGAGCGCCACGGGAGGCCCTGCAGGGAAGAGCAAGAAGATCCTTGATTGAGCAAGCACACTACACTAGCTAGTATCATCATTCTCATTCATTCAAATGTAGTAAGTGACTAGACTGACTGGAGTCCGTGCATAGCGGCATGGCACGGGAGGCGGGAAGGAGCCAGCCGCCGCCGCCGAAGCAGACGACGACGAAGACGAGGAGGAGCCCGCGGCGGCGCAGCATCTCTGTCTCCCTTGCCGGAGCCCGGAGGTGTGAGATTGAATGGTGGATGCAGTGGCAATGGCACTATCTCTCTCTCTCTCTCAAGTAGGAGTAGTCAAGTGGATGGAGGAGCTCAACTGTTGACTTGTGCTGGTGCGAGCTGCGGCTCCTTCGGTCCTTCCTTCTCACCAACTCTATCTCTCTCATCGTCTCCACTCGCCATGCCATTTGCTTACCATTTTCTCCACAAGGTCGATCACGACATCGACATGTTCGGTTTTTATATTCTATTAATTCATCTAGTGCTAGTACTAAGAAAAATTATTTGCCACGATCCCAAACACTACTGTCACATTAGCCCCCATTTCCTCCACATATGCCATCTCATATAATAATATTAAGTCGACGAAAGTTCTAAATACTAATTTATTAACATATGGAATGGTCCCATCATCACTTCATAACACATGTCATGATGTTAACCCAAATTTCACCCACAAACCCATTGTATGAAACAAACATCCTGCTCCTTCTGTCCCAAAATATAAGCACTTTTAAATTTTGACACGGTTTTCGATATAATACTTTGACCAACAATATCCATAAAAGTAAGATGTTTTAAATAAAAAGAGTTGCATATTATGATAGTTTGTTTAATGATAAATCTAGTAACATCGGGAGTATTTGCAAACGAAAAGTAATTTGTGAATAAAACTTTTATACACATGTTCTTAGCGATCTAAAAGTAAAGGCTGAAAAATAAACTTAGATGAAAAAAAATCTCAAAATCAGCTTTAAATTTAAGGTTGAAAATTCAAATTTTGGCTGATAAGTATAAGCATAAGCAAAAAGATGACTAATATCAATTTTACATGATTGATCTTTTTTATTTTTTGTCTATTAATAGTCAAAGTTACAAATTTTACATGCTAAAAATGTTTATATTTTGGGACGGAGGGAGCAGCTAGTACTGCCATGTAGTACTCCAGGAGTAGTGTACTACTATTGGATTTTTGGATTGCAACTGTTCATCATAGCCTAATCCGTGGGTTTTTCAAATTTTGATTTTTCGATATACTTCTACATTTCTGCTGTGTTATTGCTGTCAATTATCTACAACTTACTATATGCATGTGTTACTAACCATCCAACCTGTACGATCGAATTTGACAAGTGAAAAGTATATACATGTTTCATGTAAAAAAAAAGTATATACATGTCACGTAGGAGTACTTGGTTAGCAAGGCCGGCGTAAAAATCAAATGGCCGACGTTAGTATTCCGTATCTTGGTGTTGTTGGTCCACCGCACCTAACGTGACACGCCCGCAGATATCGGCAAAACAACTAGTATAGTTAACCAAAGAAAAAAAACTGATGATAAAGTCATAAAGACAACATAAGTTTTGACTAGGAAAACCTGTGCGCGATTATTTTGAGCACATGTTTCTTTGGTAAACAGGAATCAGACAATTCAAGTGAAATTTTTTATAATGTATCAATGAGATTGAGCCATAATGCGGGCTGTCTCAGGTCCTAAATAAACGCGGGCACTTAAAAAATTTGTTGGGAAGGCAAATTCGCATCTCTTACAACCTACACAATCTTTGGTCTTTTGGCACGAAAGCAATCTGTTTGGCTTTACATCCATCACAAGGTATCATTTCTAATACATCTGTTGAACAAGCTCGTACATATTGAGTGCATACTAATATCCTATATATGTATCATAAAATTTTATGGATGTTGAGGGACTGACTCTGACGTGGGTACCATCCAAATCAACACGCCTATCCCATTGGTACGTCCGTAGCTTTGAAATCTTTGCATATTTTTAGGGCCACTTTACAACACACTATTCTTTATAAAGTTTGTAAACAAATTAAATATTCCACACTAGAGAGGGTTGGGTTTGTAAAAGAGGTAGAGGAATAAATTAAAATAGGATTGGGCCGCAAATTTTATCATTATTAGCCTTGGGGAAAAATCATTAATATTAGCCTTTGGGCCCAAAATTTCGTGAGTATATCACTCTGGACCAAACTTTCTTGAGATTAACCTTAGGCCCCAAAATGCGTGATCCTTCAAGCCAATCATGAGCATCAACTCACAAAATTATAGGCCAAAGACTAAAACTCACGAAATATTTTATCCTAAGGTTAATATTCACAAATTTAGTGCTGAATGATATGTGTGCTAATACTCGTGCAATGTTGGGCTACAGAAAAATATTCATGCATTTATTTTCAAAGGTCGTTACTCATCAATTTTGGCAAAGGCTACAACTCTAGAAATTATAGGCCAGAGGCTGAAACTCGCGAATTTTTTTTGTTGAGGTTGATATCCATGGTTTTTGGCGCAACGATCCTGTTGATACACATGAATTTTGGGTCGGAAAAAATATTTATGTTTTCTTCAGATATTAGGGCAATCCCAACCCTCTACCTAGAATGATGTCTATGGCATTAACTACATTGCCATGTAGGACTTTTAGCTTATGTGGCACTATATTAATTAAGAGAGAGAGAGTGAAGAGAGGAAGAAACTGGGTCTCGTGCAAGACACAACTTCAACACGAGAAGCTATGCACTAGACACTATCAAGTTTTGCATTGAGAGAGAATAGTGTCTTTATAATATATGAAGAATAAATATGATTGGTAGAGAAGAGGAATGATGTATTTATTAAAGGCCCACTTTAAGAAATCATGGGTTGTAGAGTGTAGTTTCTATTGTCATATCTTAGAGCAAGGATAATAATAGAGCTCACTTCCTACTATTAGCTAATCTTAAAGCCAACACATATAATAGATTAGCTATAAGGTTGACTACAATTTTCTTCTCCTCTCTCTATCTCTCACCTATACATTAATTGTATTTGTCTTGGAGCTTGTGTTAAGCTAGCTCTTGCATGAGAACCAACACCTTTAACTTTTTGTTACATCTCTCCTCCACATAAGCTCCTCGTCATCGTCGCGGGCCCAAGGTGGCGTCATCTTCTTCTTCTTCTTGTCCTTTTTCTTCTTCTTGCGCTTGCCGGTGAGGTCGATGGAGCAGTCGATGTCCTCGATGACGATGATCGACTTTCCGGTGGTCTCGATGAACAGCCTCCGTAGCTCGGTGTTGCTCTTGACTGCCGTCAGCTCGAGGTCGTAGACGCCGTAGTCTAGGAAGTTTGCCATGGCGGCGATCATGGTGGACTTGCCTGTGCCGGGTGGCCCGAACAGCAGGTAGCCGCGTTTCCACGCCTTGCCGACGGAGGCGTAGTATTCCTTGCCGTCGCGGAACATGTCGAGGTCGTCGATGATCTCCTGCTTCCGGACGGGGTCCATGGCGAGCGTGGCGAAGGTGGAGGGGTGCTCCAGCTTGACGTGGCTCCAGACGCGGGCGTCGTCGTAGGCAGACCAGTCGGCGCTGGGGTTGTTGGTGAAGAGGCGGCGCTGGCGGTTGCGGACGGTGACGGCGCGGCCCTCGGCGAGGACGTGGGGAAGGTAGGCGTTCTCGACGAGCGCGCGGTGGCGGCGGTGGAAGGTGAGGCGGTAGCTGCGGCGCTCGGCGTTGCGCGGGGACCAGGTGATGACGTTGGCGCTGGGGAGCGCCTTGGTCTTGCGCCACCACATGGTGGCGCCGCGGAAGTCGTCGGCGACAGCCTCGTGGTCGTCGACGGCGAGGGCCATGCGATCGGCGCCCTCGGCGAGGTCGGCGCGGAGGCGGCGGGCGTTGGCGGCGCAGGGGGAGGCGCCGAGGTAGGCCTCGACGGCGAAGAAGGCCTCGCAGCGGGAGAAGTAGTGGGAGGACTTGTCGTCGATGGTGATGGTGGCGTAGGGGGAGAGGAGGGCGTGGAGGCGGGCGGCGAGGTGGTCCTGCAGCTGGAAGGGGATGTGCTCCTGCACCATGGACAAGAGGAACAGAAGGCTCGCCGCCGCCGACCACAGCGCCGGCCATCCAAACCGCTCGCTCTCCGCCGCCCCCGCTGTCGTCATCACCATTAATTCACTAGTTGTTTTGTGTCAGCCTGCGTATCCTATCTATCTATATATATATATCCTGAGCGGTGATGATATCTCTACTGCATTGTGTTGGATCGAGTCAAGTCGATTCACCCAACATCAATATATATATAACAGAGAGAGAGAGAGAGCTAGCGTGCATATATATTTTTTCTTAAAGTAGTTTGTACTTTGTACCAGCATGTGTGAAAATCAAAGTCATTCCGTCCTAATTTACTTTATTTGCATTTCTTTTTACTCCACAAAGCAAGCTCTAGTGATGTGTACTTAGACTACGACTGATGACGACGAGCATATACATCGATCAGACTATTCAAAATAGGCATCGATCGTCATGCATGCCAGCTAACAAGTTTGATACGGCTGTGTAGTTACTGCTGTGATTACCATTGATTGACGAGCTGTCATACTGTCATGTATCACTCATGCATCATTTCAGTTACCAAAACCATTTCAAGATTAATTAGTATAGAATAAGTTATTAATTATATAGACGTACAAGCCATGCATGCACTGTTCATTTTACAGTTTACACCATATTCATGTTAACGATGGAGAGGATATATGCCCAGATTACTTGTGGTGACTCCACTAAATTTTCTTATCAAATTAAGTTAACTATTGCATGGTCTCTAGTGAACCCCACCAGTTGATTCATTTTCAGTATATATAGTACCATGCATCTTTCTGAATTTCTAGGAACTTTCAGCTGAGTAGCTATGATGCATCATGTATATATGGTCGCATAGTCCTGCTTACGTAATACACGTAGTAGCTAGTTTATTAGTAGATGTTACTACCATATGCATGCATGCTTGGAAACTTGGTCCCCAAGTTAGTTGATTAACTTTAGTCCACATGTTCCTTACTCGTTAAGAATATATATATAGGAGTAATATAATCTGGAGGCTTTATTATTAATTAACAATTATGTGGAGAAAAGCTCGGCTAATGTACTTCTTTGCACGGAACAATATATAATATGAGTTGAGTTAGGACTAGTGTTATTTCAAATAGAACCATATGAACCGCTATAAGATACTTCTTCTATCTCATAATATAAACATTTATGACTACTTGTTTGACCCATACATGCCTTCAGTCGTCACAGCAGGCGGGACATCCGCTTTCCACCTGAGAACGAGGAAGATGATTAATCTGCTTTCTGTGAACAAGTACACCGGATCAATGACGATATAATACGGCCAGCCTCATTCCAAGCACGTAGGCGATATAACTATTCCCAGCATGTCTCGATGGTGGTCAATACTAGGAGTGTACGCAGGTAAGCCACGAACCCATTTATCGATCAGAATAAACGGGTTTACATCTTATTTTTCTTCTTTGTCGTTATTGAATCCCTTGCACATTGTAGCATCTTCACAACCCATATGTGTGTGAAACTAAAAGATGATCGAGCTAATTATATGATGGATCCTCCACCAGCTAATTGAGCAGCAGTACGTAATGATGATAGTGACTGCCGGGAAAGTATCTCAAACAATTATATAAAAATTTCATAAAAAAATATAAGCTAGACTATGGTAATATAAGACATGTAAGTCTAAATTCGATCGACATATGAAGAAACAAAAATAACAAATTCTATTTGCGTTGTACGGGTACTATTCACTAACTGATTTTATTATTTTTGTTTCTCTAGTTGTGGATCAAATTTAGTCCTACATGTTTGTGTATAGATTTATATAATCACAATAGATGTTACTAATATTTTTAAATTTTTTCTATAACTATTTGAGTTGCATGCAAATGTTCCATGATACCTGGTGTAGAAAATCCTTGTCTAGTGACTGCCGGTTTGTCAATTACACAAACAGCCCATCGTCCACCGCACGAGAGAGAAGTGGCGGAACGGAAGCGGAACTAAACTAGCTCGGGTATAGAGTGGAGGAGCCGGAGTGGGATTTTTAATCATTTAAAAAACTCATTAATTGCATGTAAACTAAATATCCTCTCTGTTCATTTGCTTTTGATCATCATATTGATTACTCCTACAAAGGATGGAGCGAAGATAAATATATATGAGCTATTGGGAGAGTGGATTTTAAACTCTTGAAGGAATGTCCCATCGTTGTTTGTATGTTACTCAAATAGTTATGAAAAAATTATAATTATATTAACGCGTGATATATCACTTCATATACATCCATATTAAATTCAACATCTATATGTTGCAACGGATATATGTTAACTAGCTTTAGTTTAATTTACTTTTTCGTTGCGATATTTAGAAGTTGAATTTACATCATAACATCTTCTCAAAATATTTTAAATCTTTTCATAACCATTTAAGTGACATGCAAACAACGCTGAGAGAACATCCAATCGAAAGCTTAGAATAATTTCTCTACAAGAAGAGAGTGGACATCATCATTTTCCACAACTAAGGCTTCTCCACAACCAAACATAAGACAAACAGCCCAGCTCCAACACATAGAGTGTACATATAAACAAGTCCAATATCAGATGATATAGTTTGGCTGGGCCAAACTGAAATCTAGTTTTGTTACTACTGCTAGTTTGTCTTGTTCTTCAGAGTCAGAACTAGAATCAGAATCGTCGCTGGAACTGGAAGACTCATCGTCGTCGTCGTTTCCGCCTGCTGCTTTGGTCTCCTTGGCCTCGTGGAGCGCCTTCACCAACCTCTCCAGGCAGGCGTCCACGTCTTTTGTCTTGGACCTCGGCATCAGGTTCTCCGCCACGTCCGCCGGCGACATGTCCGCCTCCTCCAAAAGCTGCCGTATCTCGCCGAACATCTCGTGCTGCTCCACGCCCAGGTAGTTCTTGGCCAGCACTTTGAACGACTCGAAGCAGCAGTAGGACATCTCGATGTGCATGTCCATCCTGCCCCGCCGGATCAGCGCCGGGTCCAGCTTCTCCTTGTGGTTGGTCGTGAAGATGATGATCCGCTCGCCGCCGCACGCCGACCACAGCCCATCGATGAAGTTGAGCAGCCCCGACAGCGTCACCTTCTTCTCCTCGTCATCGTCGTCCGATGGCGGCATCATCTTCTTCTTCTTCTTGTCCTTTTTCTTCTTCTTGCGCTTGCCGGTGAGATCGATGGAGCAGTCAATGTCCTCGATGACGATGATCGACTTTCCGGTGGTCTCGATGAACAGCCTCCGTAGCTCGGTGTTGCTCTCGACGGCCGTGAGCTCGAGGTCGTAGACGTCGTAGTCTAGGAAGTTTGCCATGGCGGCGATCATGGTGGACTTGCCGGTGCCGGGTGGCCCGAACAGCAGGTAGCCGCGCTTCCATGCCTTGCCGACGGAGGCGTAGTCCTTGCCGTCGCGGAACATGTCGAGGTCGTCGATGATCTCCTGCTTCCGGACGGGGTCCATGGCGAGCGTGGCGAATGTGGAGGGGTGCTCCAGCTTGACGTGGCTCCAGACGCGGGCGTCGTCGTAGCCGGACCAGTCGGCGCCGGGGTTGTTGGTGAAGAGGCGGCGCTGGCGGTTGCGGACGGTGACGGCGCGGCCCTCGGCGAGGACGTGGGGGAAGTAGTCGGCCTCGACGAGGGCGCGGTGGCGGCGGTGGAAGGTGAGGTGGTAGCTGCGGCGCTCGTCCTGGCGCGGGGCCCAGCTGATGACGTTGGCGCGGGGGATGGCCTTGGACTTGCGCCACCACATGGTTGCGCCGCGGAAGTCGTCGGCGACCTCCTCGTGGTCGTCGACGGCGAGGGCCATGCGGTCGGCGCGGAGGCGGCGGGCGCGGGCGGCGCAGGGGGAGGCGCTGAGATAGGCCTCGACGGCGAGGAAGGCCTCGCTGCGGGAGAAGGAGTCGGAGGCGTGGTCGTCGATGGTGACGGTTGTTGTTGTTGATTATTTTGCTAGCAATGGAACAGAGAAGGAGAACAGAGGAGAGAAGCTCTGTGTTTGTTTGACAAACTGGTTATGCTTTGCTCAAGTATTGCACGTTACATTGATTGTTGGACAACAGCATCACATCTAGGACATAGCTGCCTATTTATAGGATGGCTAGGAACTTTTCTGAACACAACTAGTACTGGTACATGCATGAAAATACTAGAACTCACAGAGAACATATTATTGTCTACACTACTCTAAAAATTTCACAGAGGAAGAACTTGCTCCTTGACTTTTGTTTCATGAGTAGTAGAGAGAGTTAGAGAGTAGGCTGATATGTTCTAGAAATAAATTAACTCCAACAAACTCCCCCTTAATTTATTTCTTGCAAACTCCGATGAGCTCTCTGTCGCGGACAAATTTTTCTTTGGATAAAGCCTTGGTAAATATATCTGCCAACTGCTCATCAGTTCGGCAAAATTTCAATTTAACTTCCTGGCGATCAACTGCTTCCCGGATATAATGATACTTGATAGCAATATGTTTCGTCCTGTCATGACTGACTGGATTTTCGCTGATCGCAATTGCAGACTTACTGTCGCAATAAATTGTAGTAGGCTGATATTGCTTCTCACCCAGATCTTCCATAATTCTCCTCAACCAAACAACTTGTGAAACAGCTTTTGATGCTGCTACATATTCTGCTTCGGCTGAAGATAAAGCGACAATATTTTGTTTTTTTGTAGACCAGGAGCACATACCTGAACCAAGTGAGAAAGCGTAGCTTGATGTGCTCTTCATATCGTCAAGACATCCAGCCCAGTCACTGTCCGTATAGCCAATTAATTTTGATTCTTTAACTGGCTTATACCATATACCATAATCTGCGGTCCCTTTGATATACCGCAAAACTCTCTTTGCAGCGGTAAAATTTAATTGACTTGGGCTAGACATATATCTTGATAATAAACTTGCCGCAAACATAATATCCGGTCGTGTTGCGGTCAAATATAATAAACTTCCAACTAAGCTTCTGTAAATTGTTGGATCTGCCTTATCAGCTCCATATCTAGCCTTTTGCTTTTCATTTGGCAACAAGGGGGTTGTAACTGACTTGCAGTTATCCATCTTAAATTTCTTTAGAATATTTTTAGCATATTTCCTTTGTGATATAAATATTCCTTCATCACTTTGATGCACTTCCATACCGAGAAAATAGTGGAGCAAGCCCAGATCACTCATTTCATATGTATGCATCATATCTTTTTTAAAGTCTTGCATCATCTTCTCACTATTGCCAGTATATATCAAATCGTCAACATAGAGTGAGACGATTAGGATATCCGTACCTGTTTTGTTGACATATAGAGTAGGCTCACTTATGCTCTTGGCAAATCCTTTCTGAATAAAGTACTTGTCAATTTGACTATACCACGCTCTAGGCGCTTGCTTTAATCCATATAAAGCCTTCTTGAGTCTGAATACCTTATTTTCTCCCCCTTGGACTGAAAACCCTTCAGGTTGTTCAACATAGATTTCTTCATCAAGATAGCCATTTAAGAAAGCTGATTTAACATCAAGTTGATAAATCTTCCACCTCTTTTGAGCTGCTAGAGCAATTATGGTACGAATTGTCTCTAGCCTGGCAACAGGAGCATATGTCTCATAATAATCAATCCCAGGCTTTTGCTTAAAGCCTTTTGCCACAAGTCTTGCCTTGTATTTCTGAACTGAGCCATCTGGATTTAATTTTGTCTTATAAACCCACTTAACTCCAATAACTTCTCTGTCTCTAGGACGATCAACCAACTCCCATGTATTATTTTTCTCAATCATATGAATCTCATCTTCCATGGCCTTTATCCAATTATCATGTTTTTCTGCTTCTTGGAAACTTTGTGGCTCAACAACTGAATAATTGCAAAATTCATGTTGTTCTGACCCTCTTTGTTGAGAAGTAGATTCTAATAATTCAACCATACTTCTTACCCGTCTTGGAGCTGATTCCGGTGTAGAAATTTGCTCTTCACTGCTCGGGCTTGAATCTGAACTAGCACTTGAGCTTGACATTGGACTTTATGACTGTGGACTTGAAGTATGATCTTCCACTTCATGAGTGCCATGCATATGTGGTTGGCCTAGTGTGATGGTAGTGGTTGGCAATAATGGAGTACTAGAGGCTTCTGGAGACTTCCAATTCCATGTAGCACTCTCATCAAAAATCACATCTCTGCTAATGATAATTTTCTTTTTCTCCAAATTATAAAGTCTATAGCCTTTGATACCATCAGCATAGCCAACAAATATGCACCGATCACTTTTATTATCAAATTTTACTCTCTTTTGTGCTGGCACTTGAGCATAGCAAATGCAACCAAATACTCTCATATGACCAATGACAGGCTTTTTACCATACCAAGCTTCAAAAGGTGTACGGTTTGGTACTGCCTTGGTAGGACTTCTATTTAAAATATAAATTGCAGTATTAACTGCTTCAGCCCAGAAAGATTTAGGCATACCTTTGTCTTGGAGCATAGAATTGGCCATATCATTGATCGTCCGATTTTTCCGTTCTGCAACTCCATTTTGTTGAGCACTATAGCCTGCCGTTAGCTGTCTTCGGATGCCAGCATTTTCACAATATTTCTCAAATTCTTTTGAGATATATTCTCCTCCTTGATCGCTGCGCAATACTTTAATTTTTCGATTACTCTGATTTTCCACCATGGCCTTGAATTTTTTGAATATCTCCAAGGCTGCAGATTTTTCTTTTAGAAAATATACCCAGATCATTCTTGTATAATCATCGATAAATGTGATAAAGTACCAATTTCCTCCTTCTGAAATTGTTGGCACTTTACCAACTATATCAGTGTGCACTAGTTCCAATGGTGCACTTGCTCTCCAAGCTCCACTGTGGGGAAAAGAAGCCCGAATTTGTTTTCCAAATACACATCCTTCACATGGGTCAGACTTGAGAGTAATAAATGGAAGGCCTTGAACCATACCTTTTGTCCTGAGTAGCTTCAATGCTCTGTAATTAAGATGACCCATTCTTTTGTGCCATAAATCGGAAATATCAATTTCACTCCTGAGAGCCATTTGAGTTGGATGATTCATCCTTAATAGAAAATTTATGTTCTTCTCCATATTTATTTTGGCAACCAGACGATTATTTTTACGGTCCAATATTTTGCAAGAAAAATCTTCAAAATAAACCGCGTACCCGTGTTCTAGAAGCTGCCCAATACTTAGCAAATTTTGCTTTAAATCGGGTACCAACAAAACATCTTTTATAAATTTTGGACCGTCTGCTGTTTGAACAGCAACCGTACCTTTGCCTTCACTTTGGGCTATAGAGCCATTTCCCATGTGGATCTTTGCATGATACGATGAATCCATTTCTCGAAATAAATTTGGATCAGCGGCCATATGGTTTGTACAACCACTGTCAATAACCCAAACATCATCTTTTTCTTCTTGAGCAGTATGGCAAGAGAAAACCATTTCTTCAGATTTTTCCTTTTCTTGTGAAAAATTAGCCCGATTAATTTCTCGAGTTCTGCAATATTTTGCAATATGGCCCTTTCTTTTGCACTTGTTGCAGGTCATTTTCTTCCAGCACATATCTGTAGTATGACTAGATTTTTGGCAAATGTCACACCACAAATTTGAACTGGACGTACCTTTTTCTCTTCTCTCTTGACCATCTTCCTTCTGCCTTGAAAAGCCATTTTTCTGAAAATAACCACGGTCTCGCATTGGAAATTCATTTTTTTGAAAATTTCCGCGAAACCTTGAGTTTTGAGGCCTGAAGCTCAACTTTGACTGAAATGCATTTTCAATAGAGCTCCCTTCGCGCTGAAGCTTTCTTTCTTCGTGAGATTCCAACGAGCTCATTAGTTGCTGAATTGTGAGAGTCAACATGTCTTTCGACTCCTCAATAGCAGCAACAATGTACTCGTATTTTTCAGGCAGACTGATTAAAATTTTCTCCACAACCTTCTGGTCGTTTATATCTTCACCATAGAGGCGCATCTGATTAACGATCTCAATAACTCTTGAGAAATAGTCTTTTACCTTCTCTCACTCCTTCATTAGAAAATTCTGAAATTGTCTTCTCAAGGTTTGAAGCTTCACCGCAAGTACCTTCTGAGATCCTTGAAACTCCTCCTTCAACTTGTCCCATGCTTCCTTGGATTTCTTGGCGCCAATAATACGCGGAAATAGACTTTCCGCAACTCCTTGTTGGATCAAGAACAAGGCCTTGGCGTCCGACATCCGATCCTCTGCCAAAGACTTTTTCTGTTCCGCCGTAAGAGTTTCTCCAGCGGAATACTCTTGATAGCCATTCTCAACAATATCCCACAATCCTTGAGATAGCAGCAGCGTCCGCATCTTGATGCTCCATATATCATAATTTTCTCCTGCAAATACAGGAACCATAGACTGCGCCATTGTGGCGCCCGAACTTGAAGCCATACTTGTAGCTTCAATTGACAATACCGATACGCCGTGCTACTCCGTCACGCCCTACTCGAACCTGAGCGCTCTGATACCAGTTGTTGTTGTTGATTATTTTGCTAGCAATGGAACAGAGAAGGAGAACAGAGGAGAGAAGCTCTGTGTTTGTTTCACAAACTGGTTATGCTTTGCTCAAGTATTGCACGTTACATTGATTGTTGGACAGCAGCATCACATCTAGGACATAGCTGCCTATTTATAGGATGGCTAGGAACTTTTTTGAACACAACTAGTACTGGTACATGCATGAAAATACTAGAACTCACAAAGAACATATTATTGTCTACACTACTCTAGAAATTTCACAGAGGAAGGACTTGCTCCTTGACTTTTATTTCATGAGTAGTAGAGAGAGTTAGAGAGTAGGCTGGTATGTTCTAGAAATAAATTAACTCCAACAACGGTGACGTAGGGGGAGAGGAGGGCGTGGAGGCGGGCGGCCAGTGCGGCGAGGCAGTCCTGGAGTTGGAAGGGGATGTGCTCTTGAAGCATAGAGAAGAGGAAGAGAAGGCTCGCCACCGCCGACAAGCTGAACCCCGCCGCCGAACTACCGCCGGCTGCTGCACCCTCCATTGCTGCCGTCATCTCCATCGATCAATTTGTGTGTAGATTGTTGTTTTTGTGTCCTAGTATATTCCTATATATACATATGGGCCGAGATAGTACTGCATGCGGAGTTGGAATAGTACTGCCAAACGTATTTGTGTCCAATATATATAGAAAACCGGCCGGTTGCAAAGAAAAAACTTAGAGTTGTATTTTCCAGGTGTCAGATTCAGACTCAGCATACAATACAGGTGAGGGAGCAACTTGTTGTTGCCGTCGGCCTAGACGGTTGATAATCTTTGATACGAACTGTAATGCTCCCTCCTGACGCCGTTGATTTTTTTAAACGTGTTTAATCATTCGTCTTATTCAAAATTTTTTGTGAAATATGTAAAACTATATGTATATATAAAAGTATATTTAACAAAGAATCACATGATAGGAAAAGAATTAATAATTACTTAAATTTTTTGAATAAGACGAACGGTCAAACATGTTTAAAAAAGTCAATGGCGTCAAATATTTAGGGATGGAGGGAGTATATTGTAATTACGATGAATCAAGGAGTAACTTCTTTAGTCCTAACAGGTTTCAAATGAACCTCATTATTAAATATTATTATATATAGCGTTAATTGGATATATGCCATTAAAAATTTACCGGTTTTAAAATGTGCCACTAGTATTCATGTATTTGGAAATATGCCATTATAATTTCACACATATTCAAAAGATACCACTATTTACCCTTGAATGTATTTCTAGAAAAATTATACCAAACTGCACCTTTTCTCTTCTTCTTCTTTCTTCCTCTTTCTCCTTCCTCCTCTCTTCCTTCTCAACGGCGTGTCAGTGGCGGTGGCAGCCGTGACGTGGCGGCGCGGTGAATAGCGGCGGCGCCAGCAGCAGCAGCGACGCGGTGGCAGCAGCGAGCTGCAGCGGTGGTAAGCGGCGGCATCGCGAGCAGCATTAGGAGCGGCGGGGACGGAATGAGCGGCATGGCGGATGGGATGGCGGCGGAGCGAGCGACGCAGCGAGGAGAGAGAGAGGGGTAGAAGATGGGAAAGAGAGAGGTAGAAGATGAGGGTATTTTTTTTAATACATGGAAAATACATATCTCAGTGACACCACTAAGATTTCAAATAGTGGCATCAATACAAATATATAAATAGTAATGGTATATTTTAAAACCGCTAAATTTTTAATGGGATGGATCTAATTAATCCTTAATTATAATGTAGTGTTATCATTATGTTTTGATCTCTTATAATGTTGATGCATTCAGAAGAAGAAGAAGATCGTCATCAACATGGGGGAAACACACATCGTCGTCGTCATAGTACGTCATCGTCATCAACAACAAGATGAAGATCGGGGTAGGAGGAGATCGAGGATGATGCATGCGGATGGCGAGCATATACATATATATATATATATCGAGATCGCACAGGAATTAAGCGGCCTCGTGCGCCGCCTATGCATCTTCTCCCGCGCGCGCTAGCTCTCTCCTGCTAGATCCCGCCACCTCGGCCATGCACAGTCGCTGCCTCGTCGTATCGTATACAAGTATAAATCGTACTCCAGCTGCTTCACGCATGCATGCAGTCGCCGTCCTCCTTAATTGTCCGCCCATCACCATGCCGATCGCAGCTTAGGGCTAGATCAGGATCGCAGTCGATCGGCCACTCTTCAGGAGAGCCATTGATGGGCCCTAAGCTAATTCCTGTCGTTTGATTAATCACATTCGCTCTCTTTTTAATTGATGATTGATTATAAATCACCTTGTTATAAATAAAACTTAAAACAACTGGCCGCCAGTCGCCGCTTGTATTCGGTATCCCCCCCCCCCTTTCATTGGTTGGTGGTCCTGCAGCTATACAGAACATCTACTCTCTTTTTTTACTCCATCCATCCATTTCATATTGATAAGCCTACCTGTTGCATTTTAGTTTTTTCTAAACCAAAACTAAAAGTTTCATTAAATACACCGTTATGTTACAACTACCTAAAGGTACATTAATTATATTTACACGTATAAAAGGTATCGCACAAGATCGAAATTAACATGACCAAATTAAAGGGCGGTTGACGAAGCAGGCACAACTTAAGGATGGACAGATGACGCATGAGGAAAGCACTTGCCACTGGAAAACAGTTTTAAACACTCAGGGTGGACGTCCACCCGTTTCTTGCATGTCATCTAAATGGTTATGAAAAATTTTCAAAAAAAATGACATGATAGGTTAATATGTAATATATCACTTCACAAACATACAAGTTCAAATTCAAATTCTACAAGTTGTAACAAAAATAACAAATTTGACTGTGAATATACGTATACTAGTTAGAGTTTGATTTGTTATTTTTGTTACAACTTGTAGAATTTGAATTTGAACTTGAATGTTTGTGAAGTAATATATTATATATTAACCTATCTTGTGAATTTTCTTGAAATTTTTTCATAATTATTTAGATGGCATGCAAGAAACGGGTGGACGTTCACCCGAGAGATTAGAATCCATCCTCCTTGCCACTTGTAGTTTTTATTGACGGTCGATATGATGGTCTCTGCAGATAACGCTTGATGATTTACGACCAACTGCAAATTCGATCTCCGTCCATCGATATGTCACGTACTCCTCACCAACGACACAACCAAGCAGCGAAATTACTAAGAATATTCATCAAAAACTTAATAGGCTATAATAAGCGGACTGTATAAGTTTGTCAAATATAATATTTATAGTTATGTGAAGAAGAGAGGAGAAAAACGGGTTATAGATTTGTAGTATACTACTACTTCTATATTTTAATATATAACACCGTTGACTTTTTATCAAACGTTTGATCATTCATCTTATTCAAAAAAAAATTATGTAATTATCATTTATTTTACTATGACTTGATTTGTCATTAAATGTTCTTTAAGCATGACATAAATATTTTCATATTTGCATAAAATTTTTTAATAAAACGAATGGTCAAACGTTAGTCGAAAAGTCAACGGTGTTATACATTAAAATACGGAGGAAATACCATATATTAAGTTGTCTATAGAAAATGTTTTAATACCAGCGCACTCTCTATATATACTGGCCATCACCTACAGGAGCTGCAGGCACTGGTTTCCAACACTTGCCCATCTCTTTTTATAGCGGTGGCGGCGGCGCCAAATGGCCATGGGCATGATGGAGAATCTGGGATCGGTGTCGACGTTGTGGTCGGCGTTGGTGAGCGTCCTCCTCTTCTGGCCCGTCGTCAACAACCACGTCCCCGCGGGGCTCCGGCAGTGGCTGAGCACCATGGTGGACAAGCTCACCTCCTACCTCAGCCCCTACCTCCACGTCACCATCTCCGAGTACGGCCACCAGCGCTTCCGCCGCAGCGACTTCTTCCTCGCCGTGGAGGCTTACCTGAGCCACGCCTGCGCCCGGCGAGCGCGCAAGCTGAGGGCGGACCTGGGCAAGGACGCCAGGACGGTGCAGATCACGGTGGACGACCACCAGGAGGTGACCGACTCCTTCCGCGGCGCCACCATCTGGTGGTACCCCTCCAAGAAGCCTCCCCGGACCAACGTCATCAGCTTCTACCCCCGCGACGACGACGCCCGCTTCTACCGCCTCGTCTTCCACCGCCGCCACCGCGACCTCGTCCTCGACGCCTACCTCCCCCACGTCCTCGCCGAGGGCCGCGCCGTCACCATCCGCAACCGCCAGCGCCGCCTCTTCACCAACAACGCCCCCGGAGCCTCCACCTCCTACTACAGCCGCAAGAGCGTCTGGAGCCACGTCCCCTTCGAGCACCCGGCCACCTTTGACACCCTCGCCATGGAGCCCGCCGACAAGGACGCCATCCTCGACGACCTCACCGCCTTCCGCGACAGCAAGGACTACTACGCCAAAGTCGGCAAGGCCTGGAAGCGCGGCTACCTCCTGCACGGCCCCCCCGGCACCGGCAAGTCCACCATGATCGCCGCCATGGCCAACTTCCTCGACTACGACGTCTACGACCTCGAGCTCACGGCCGTCAAGACCAACACCGACCTCCGCAAGCTCTACATCGAGACCACCGGCAAGTCCATCATCGTCATCGAGGACATCGACTGCTCCGTCGACCTCACCGCCAAGCGCAGCAACGACAAGAAGAAGAAGAAATCCTCTGACGAAGACGACGACGACAAGCCCAAGCTCCCCACCGAGCAGGAAAAGGATGAAGCATCCAAGGTCACGCTCTCCGGCCTGCTCAACTTCATCGACGGGCTGTGGTCGGCGTGCGGCGGCGAGAGGATCATCATCTTCACGACCAACCACAAGGAGAAGCTGGACCCGGCGCTGATCCGGCGAGGCAGGATGGACGTGCACATCGAGATGTCCTACTGCCGGTTCGAGGCGTTCAAGGTGCTGGCCAAGAACTACCTGGGCGTGGAGCAGCACGAGATGTTCGTCGAGATACGGCGGCTGCTGGAGGAGATCGACATGTCGCCGGCGGACGTGGCGGAGAACCTGATGCCCAAGGCGTCCAAGGGGAAGAAGAGGGACCCCGACGCGTGCCTGGCAGGTCTGATCGAGGCGTTGAACAAGGCCAAGGTGGAGGCGGCGGAGGCGGCCAAGGCGAAAGAGGAAGAAGAGGCGGCGGCGGCCAAGGCGAAGGAGGAAGAAGAGGCGGCGAAGGCCAAAGCGGCGAAAGAGAAAGAGAAGGATGACGAAGCTGCAGGGACGAAGGTGGATGAAACAGTCAACAACAAGTCGAATGGCACCATATAATTTATTAACAAGCTAGCTAGTAATTAATTAAGGTGACAAATACTACTCCACTAATGAAAGTTGTTTATTACTGATCCTACTGCACAAGTCTTGACTGATTGCGATTTTGTTTGTTTATATTATTTCAGCACGAGGAGTTGTTCGTCCTGGACGATCGACGGGACCATATATGTCAGGACAGAGCGAGGAGTGGTTTTCAGTCTTCTTCATGCATATGACATGGCACTTCACTAATATATAGTCTTCTCCTATGTCTTAATTGTTTGAGTCCTTATATATTTTTGTCATAGTTTCTTTCTATTAATAAGGTTCCCCATCTTTGTAATAATAAGGGCATAAGGCATATACACCTTCAAGTGTAAATGCCGCCGCTCTGATCATTGTTTCTAAATCAACCACACAATTAAGTTAGTACTTTTTTTTTGTTAAAGCTGTGGAAAATTTTTCGTTAGGTGTTGTTCGGTTAATCCCTCCCATACGGCAATAAGGGGATTGAGGATAATTTAAAGATAATTTATTCCATAATTATTATGATATAGAATTGTTTTTCCTCAATCCCTCTTAGAAATTAAACGAACAATACCTTAATCTTAATGTCCTCCTTCGGCCCGATGAATTTGAAGGCGGCACTTAAAATATTACAATTGTCTATCCGACTCTTATCCGACATGAGTGGTTAGAGACATCAGAATGTTCAGCTCCTAATTTGCCTCTCTCCCCCTTGGGAATTAAAAAAAATACCTTAAGGTCTATTTGGAGGAGCTTAAAATTCTAAGAAGCAGTTGGTTGGTATCCAGTTTCTGAGAATATATAAAAGCTGGGTTTTCCAGCTTCTGGCTTCTAGTTTATTTTTTTGTATTTTACAACTACAGCTTTTCAGAATCTAGGTCAAAAGCTGAATTGTTTGGGGGAGCTTTTGATTCTGAAGCTCTCTCAAACAGGGTTAATATCCTCCTTCGGCCCGTTAAATCTGAAGATGGCACTTGAAATATTGCACTTGTTTATCCAACTTTGATCTCACATGGATGGTTAGAGACGTCATAATGCTCGGCTCTAAATTTGTGTTAATTCTACTGTAGTGTTATAAATTTGGGTGTCGACGGTAGTTCCAGACATCAGTAGTCCCACCGCCGCCGTCGCCGGATTTGGCCTCCCCAGATAGCCTAGCTCTATTACAGGGCCTTGGCAGATGTGAATTTTCATCCCTCAAGGGGACATCCTCTCGTTGTTTGCATGTCATCTAAATGGTTATCAAAAAATTTAGAAAAAATTGACAACATAGATTAATATGAAATATATCACTCCACAAACATGCAAGACCAAATTCAACTTCTATAAGTTGCAACAAAAATAACAAATTAAACTGAAAATAGTTATCACGCATTCGCAACTATATTTGTTATTTTTGTTACAACTTGTAGAAGTTGAATTAAAACTTGCATATTTGTGAAGAGATATATTTCATATTAATCTATGTTGCCAATTTTTTTCATATTTTTTGATGACTATTTAGGTGACATGACTATTTAGATGAATTCACTTTCCCGGCCTTGGCCCATATTACAGAGCCCATTTTGGACCTGCATACTTGTAGCTGGGCCTTTTCTCTCGCTGTGGCCTGGGCCTTTTCCTCCTGTACCGCATCCGGCGAGGGGCAAAGCAGCTGGTATATACAGTTGTCAGCTGACAAATCCACTCTGTAACAATGTAGCTTTCATGTGCTTAGAACTGAACTATTCTCTACTTTCTGAATCAGCATAAAAGGCAGAGCTCTCCAAGCCTATTCCCTTGAAAAAATTACCCCAGCCAGCTGGTTGCACGAACTGATTTCTTTGTGTTAAGTCAGCTCTGCTATAATTTTCTGACGAAGCAAATGCTGTTTGTTTTCTGTAGCTTCTTCCCTGTACATTGTTTTATTTTCCTTTTACTTCTACGCATACATACAAGTACTAGTAGTATATAACACCAGTGACCAGTCCAATGATGTCTTTTCAACAAGAAAAAAATGGCAGCAGAAAGTAGTGTGCCTCTGCTTTCTACCATTCTCTGACGTACAGGTACAGATCAAATCCTGTTGCTTGTAAAAGATAGGTAAGCATTTGCTAGAAAAGAATCGGTTCGTTTCTCTCTCTATAGAAAAGATTGCAACCTGGCGTACACAACCCGTTTATAAAACCTCCTCGTCCTGACGAAGAGCATGAAGGCGACAGCAGAGCCAACCACGCAGACACACGCCATGATGACGAACGACAAAACGAAGCAATGGTTACCGGAGCAGGCACGAGCTCCCGGCGGCGACTCCATGTCGTAGATGTAACCCACCACCCTCACCGAGAGGATGTAAGATCCCACGGGGCTCGCCACCGCCACCACGTTGAAGATGGTGCCGAAATGGTTCAGCCCGAATATCTCCGACGTGATGCTCGGCATCAGTGCCCACTGACACCCATAGCAAAGACCGACGAGCACCGACCCGACGTAGAGCGACGCCAGGATGCCGGAGGCGATGATGGCGTGGCCCAAGCTCATGACCAGGAGCGTGACGCCGATGAAGAAAGGGCGACCGACTCCCCGCGAACGGAGGAAGTGGTCGGATATGTAGCCGGCACCAAACCTCCCTGAGAAGTTCCAGATGCTCCAGAGTGACACCAGTGTGCTCGTCTCCTTGGTCGAGTACCCGAGGGAGCCGCCGATCTGGCTGATGTTGTTCACCGTTGCAAGCCCTGATCCCATCCCACAGGACATTGCTAGGAACAGCAGCCAGAAGTTCAGCTTGCACATTGCCTGCACCAGATTCATGTTTTCTTTGCCTGTCGACAGTTCTTGACATCGCTCATCGCTACTGGAGCTGGCATTTGTACTAATTTGCTCTTGGAGTAGTCCGATTCTTTCAGCTTGATCCCTGGTTTCTTCTTCTTGCTTCATTGATTCTGTCTTCTGGGCCTTCACAGCAATAGCCACTGGAGACAGGACCAACAGTAGGAGTATCACAAAGCAAACAGTCTGCACAGCTGAACTTATTATCTTCAATACTTGGTCACAGATTATGATGATCATTAGATAACCAGCAACAGTAATGGCAATGAGGGAGAAAGCATCCATGAACTTCTTGTTGTACCGTTGATGATCAGAACGGTGGACATCGACAAAATACATAAGCAGCAGGGTGATGGCAGTGGGCAATATCGCCAACATCAGTATGAAAGTGCTGGGAGCAATGTGGATGGTGCGGTATACTTGGACCAGTATTGCTCCACTTAATCCCAGAAAGCCCTGTTTGAAAAGTACAGAAAAAAAATGAATTTAAGATCTCCCTACACTTGTGCAACAGAACAGAACATGGTGCTTATAGCATAAAATGAGTTTCAGGCCTAAATCATTTTCTGTACAGGGATTCAGGTTTAAAATATTATACACAAATAAATGAGACTTCAGATTTCCATGTTCTCAAGCAAATAAAAGGCAAGTTAGGCTAATAGAGCAATGCACGTGCAGAAGTTCACATAATTGTATTCCGCGATAAAATTAGATAAAACCTCAAGGCAATACCAAAAGATATATGATGCAAACAAGCTTTATTCAGACGTTTCCATTAATTAATATTTGGGAAATTAGTGACAGGAGGTAAATCAAGCTTACTAGCCACAGGAAGCATGTCAATGAATCATGAAATATTGAAAAGGATGAATCCAACAAAAAGACAGGCATGGGATGATTGCAACTGATGGCTCAGCAGGGACCAGATGTCGTTCTTCTGAAATAGGAGTAGTTACCTACACGTTTGTAGCACTCTAACATCAGTCATGCTGTCTTTTTGGAAGCAATAATTTCTGAGCACAGTACACAAATTTCCTATATCCCACAAACTCCTTAATTTACAGATTAAACTGGTAATCCTCACGTAAATGGAGTAAACCGTTAAAGCTTGCGATTACTCATTCATGGAGTTAATTTATCCTGGTGCAGACTCCAGACTCCAGAACCTGAAATTTTGGGGCCTAGTACACCACTGAGCTATGTGAAGGAAGTACTACTCCAAGAGTTTGGCTTACCATAAAAGGGATTTGGGACACCCCCCACAACAATGAGTCAAAGTTCCTTGAAATTTACCCGCATGCTTTGCTAACCAACTGGTAAGAAGGAAGGGAAATTATTTGGGATGAAAAGGTAAAGATTTTGTTTTTCTTTGAAGACGGTAGAGCTTATTATCTTGATGTACAATACTCTGGAATGTCATCTAGAAAGAACAAAACACACAAGATTCAATTAACACAGTGGACAATACATGTTTTTTTTTCAGTCTTTGATGTTCTCTTCTTTCTTTTCCCTCCTTATATCTGGTGTGCTGTTCATCATGATAATAAAAACTGGAGCACTCCTTTTTCACTATAAGTTCCTGTGATCTACCCATATGATATTCTATTTGCTCTGCTCTGCTCCAAAATTAAAGTCAACAACATCCAGGATCAGGACACATAAAAAAAATGTGGTTGTTGCTTTGAGGCATCAAGGCAGCAACACATCCAGTACTATGTATGTAGTCGAAATTCATAGGGACCCATCTTAAACAAGTGAGTGTTCGAGAAGAGGACAGAGTAATAGTATCTCACAAGGAAGAGCCACAGTTGGGTTGGTTGTTGGTAGGCTGGTAGCAGCCTGTTCAATAATAATCTGTATGCTTTTGGCTTTTGCCTACTGGAGTACTATTCATTTATTTTGATCCTTTTTATTATAAGCCTAATTAGAAAGAACCGAATTAATTAAAGAAATGATGAGAGAGGTTGTATCTGGAGAGAGAGAGAGAGAGAGGATGGATTAGGGGAATGGATAATTGACCTTCATGATGCCGATGACGGTGCCTCGTCGATCGGGGAAATTCTCGACGGCGGTGACGACATCGGCGGTGTTGAGGAAGGTCTGCGCCTGCGCGGCGAGCAGCATGTAGAGGCAGAGGAGAGGGAGCGGCGCCGGGGCGACCCCCGTGACGGCGAGCCAGATGGGGAGGTAGCCGACGGCGCAGAGGGCGGCGCCGGCGAGGAGGACGAGCCAGGGGCGGCGGCGGCCGGCGGGGGCCCATGCGGCGAGGAGGCCGGAGAGGATGCCGGCGTTGGCGCCGACGTCCTTGAAGAAGGCGACCTTGTCGAGGGCGGACTGGTCGTAGGACTGGGAGGCCTTGAGCGCCGGGGAGTAGACGGCGAAGCAGTAGGAGCTCCCCGCGAAGCACTGGATGAGCGCGCTCGCCGCCAGCGCCGACCACCGGGAGCGCGAGGCCATCGGCGGCGGCCGGAGATGGAATTGGTTACGTGGCGTGGATGAGTAGGACACGTCGACACGCACTCCACTCGCCTCCCTCACCGTCCGAATGTATCGTATCGTGTACAGATTCGTTGAACCAAGAGGTAGGACGGAGGGAGCATGGAGTATTATTAGTCTGAATGTTCCTGTAATATCGGATGTTTAAACATTAATTATAAATATTAAATATAGATTAATAATAAAGTTAATTGTATAAATAACTCACGAGATATTTTTTTAGCCTAATTAATCTATAATTAGCACATGTTTTCCATATTATCACATATGCTAATTATAAATTAATTATGCTCAGTAGATTCGTCTTGCAAATTAATCTAAGGTTTTAGAATGGCTTTATCATTAGTCTATATTTAATACTTTTAATTAGTATTCAAATATCCGATCTGACAGGAACTAAAATTTTAGTCCCTAATCCAAACAGCCTAGATACATGGCCCCGTTTGAATCCACTTAAAAGAGTGAAGAGTGGATGAAATTTTGGATTAAAGTAGCACGCTTTTCAAAGTGCTAAACGGTGCATTTCGTGCGAAAATTTTCTATATGAAAGTTGTTCTAAAATATTAGATTAATCCATTTTTTAAGTTTGTAATAATTAAAACTCAATTAATCACACGTTATTACTACCTCGTTTTGCGTAAAACACTTAATCTTAATCTTCATGAGATTCAAACACCACCACAGTTTATATTTGCATCTCCATACAAAAGATGCAAAAACCGGCATGCAGATTGGATGAGTTCACGCGAATTGAAGCAGAACTGGTCAAACCCACCTCTCAACATGTACTATTAGCAGTGTCAGGGTTATGAATACCACATACCTAATAGTAGTCGACTAAATCTCGGCAGGACCCACCACATATCATGTCTTATACGGAAACAACCTTCGGATATAGGAGGAGTTCCGCATAAGGAAGGATGAATAGAGTTCTACATAGAAACGACAAGGACTACTCGGATTGTATCCATATTAGTTTCCCTAGTTCTACTTGGACAAGGGGACATCTATGGGTATAAATACAAGACCCCCTATGAGGAAAAGGACACCCACAATCAACATACACGGAACAATAGGTCGAGATAGAAGATCAACATACAAGCCAATATACGTCAAGAAGATGCCGGATATCGACTTCAGGGATAAGCACGGCTAGTCCCCTATGGTGTCTCCGGATACTGTCAGGAGAGACGAAAGCGCTATATCTGATCTCGCCGGGCACAGACCCGAGGAGGAAGACTACCCTATTGTCGACTATGAGTCAGAACTTTAGATTGTCATGTCGACAACAGTTAGCTAGGCTACCCCAAATATTGTACTGGTGTGATTATGATGAATAAGAGCAACGACCGGCTTCGGCCAACAGGATGTAGGGTTATTACCTGACAATTCAGGGGCCTGAACCTGTATAAAAATCCTTGTCTCCATCTCTTTTACCTCAGTCTCGCATATATCCTAGTACCAACGATCCCCATACTATGCAAATACCGGAATCGCGACATCAAAAGTCGACAAGCAGTATTCTGCATTTTGTAATAGATGACATCGTTAATTTTATCATTTTTTTCAAATACATAAGCTCACAAAAGTCATACTTAGGGTGTGTTTGGGAGTGGAGGACGGGAACCCATCCCTTCTGCACGCAAAACGGAGAGGTTTTTTAACACGTGATTAATTAAGTATTAGTTAATTTTTTTAAAAAATGGATAATATGATTTTTAAAGCAACTTTTGTATAGAAATTTTTTTAAAAAAACATGTCGTTTAGTAATTTGGAAAGCGTGTGCGTGGAAAATGAGAGAGTTGGGTTGGGAAGAGGGAGTGCGAACTCAGCCTTAACGTTTTCAATAAAACAACTCACAACAAATTATTAGAATTACATATTTTTAGAAAAAAAATAAAACAAATAACCAACTATACTTCAAAAGATCAACTGTCGTTATTTATCCAAAAACGGACGCAGTAGTATGTACGAAGCTAAATAGCGACGCGCGCGTCGACTTAAAGCCAAAAAAAACTATCGATCGAGACTTTAATCAATTGATTAGGTGGAACAATCATTATCGATCAAGATCGATATCAACGTGTACAATTAACGCCGATCACTTGAATAACCACCTAGCTATCTGCTTATATGAGTGTCAAATGAAATTGAAACTGACATAATTAATTAAGTGTTTACTTTTGATCACAATACAATACACGATATACACCTGGGAAGCTAGGAAGGAAGCTTTGGTGGTGTGGTGGTACATTACTCTACGTGTCACAGTTTGCCCACATTTTTTTTAGGGAATAATAAAATTAAATTATTGATGTGTTTAGATGTGATGTGTATGCCGCCTTTAGTGCAGTGGTGATGGTGATTGCTAGCGGACACACTCGCGAGTACTCCCTCCTTAAAAAAAACCAATCTAAGATTGAATGGAATGCTTTCTAATAAAATAAATCTGGACAGAAGCTTGTCCCGATTCGTTATACTAGAAAATGTCCCATTTAATACTAGGTTGGGTTTTTTTGGACGAAGGGAGTACGTGAGAAGACAAGGAACGTATGCCACAACTAGTTGTTACTTCCTCCGTTTCACAATTTATAGGTCATTCTAGCATTTCCCATATCCATATTGATGTTAATGTGGGAAATGCTAGAATGACTTACATTGTGAAACGGAGGGAGTATATATCCTCGTGTTTTTAGGGGGAAACTGTTTTGATTCTTTAGGAGACGTTCCTGTTGTTCGAAATAGTTATAAAAAGTATTTAAAAGTTTGACAGCATTCATATAGCAATTCACAAAAATCTTAGGTCGATACTATTTGTATGCTGTTCTTTTTTCTTCTCAATGTATATGTCAGGTTTGAATGATTTTTGGAGTGATAGATGTCATTGTCCTCCTGTCATTTTTTACAACTGTCTGTACTTTCATCTTTTAGTTGATTTATTGATCAATCAATTCACGAGCTCCTGATGTGCATACATTTTTCTGCTTATTTTAATTTTGTTTGTGTATCGATCTTAACATTTGGATGATTGTGAGCCGCGTGTTTCCTCTTGGCCAAAGCAGGACACACATCAGACAAAAACACACGTACACACAAATTTTTAGATTTTCTTTACCTTTTCCCTGTTTCTGTTTTATCTTTGGATTCGCTGAGCTAGGATAACTAAAGCTAGATCAGAATCCATCTCTACTATCTTAGGGTGTGTTTAGTTCACGCTAAAATTAAAAGTTTGATTGAAATTGGAATGATGTGACGGAAAAGTTGAAAGTTTATGTGTGTAGGCTGTGTTTAGATCCAAAGTTTGGATCCAAACTTCAATCCTTTTCCATCACATCAACCTGTCATACACACACAACTTTTCAGTCACATCATCTTCAATTTTAACCAAAATCTAAACTTTGCGCTGAACTAAACACAGCCGTAGAAAAGTTTTGATGTGATAGAAAAACTGGAAGTTTGAAGAAAAAGTTTGAAACTAAACTCGGCCTTAATTGATACTAGTTGCTACTCTTATTTATCATCTGAAGAATCTAGGTCTTTTTTCTCATATATTCCCTTCATCCTTAAATATTTAACGCCGTTGATTTTTTAAATATATTTGACCGTTCATTTTATTCAAAAACTTATGTAAAATATGTAAAACTATATACATACATAAAAATATATTTAACAATGAATTAAATGATAGGAAAAGAATTAATAATTACTTAAATTTTTTAATAAGACGAATGGTTAAATATATTTTAAAAAATCAAGGCCGTTAAATATTTAGAAACGGACGAAGTATAACCTCAATAAAATATCTGATGTAGTCAAAGAAAATGCAATATGAAGAAAGGATTGTTTAGTTTTGGATGAATTTAGTGGTGTGGGGGAGGGGGGGCGGCTTCTTATAAGAAGAAGAAAATATCTTATATGGAGTAGTAGTTGTAGGTTTAATCCACCCGAACAAACACCAAATCCAAATGGGTTAGGAGGAGGAACTAACGGCAGGATTGTTAACTAAACTCGGTCAAACCCGATAAACTGTAGTATTTATTGTTTTGAATAAAAAGATACTAATAATGAAAGATTCAGAAATCGGAACAACAGATTAGATTGGTTGAGATTATTATTCTTGCGTGACAAGTTCCAGGAGTCTGAGAGAAAAGGTTTGCTCTCTTTCCTCTGGCTCTGAAGGAGGATTGGATTCTCCCGCAAGCCACGGAACATCCCCAATCCCCACCCACCCCACCCGTGCGCCGCCGCTGCCGCGTCTCCGGGAGGGAGGGACACGGGATCGCATCGCATCGCATCTTTCTTCTTCTTCGTTGTTGTTGCTCCTCCTCCTCACGCCGCTCCTCCTCTGCTCTCCATGTCTCCTTGGAACCTAGTACTACTAGCTAGGTACTACTCCTAGTAGAAAGGACGAGGAAGAGGCAGAAGAGGGGTTGCCGAACGCCGCCGCCGTCCAGCTGGGTCTCCCGCCGTGCGATTGCTGGGTGGCGCGGCTGGCGTTGGAGCCGAGAGCGCGCCGCCGCCGGCTGGAACGACCAAAGAGGCCCCTTCGGTCGTTCCTCCGTCTCCGGTACCCGATTCGAGGTATGCCTTCTCCAAGCCCTATCCCCAACGCCCGCGTGCTCCTCAATCCATGGTCAAATTTTGGATTTTGCGCAGCAAAGGCCCTTCCTTCCTTTTCGCCACCGGATGATTATTTTAGCCTATCCTAATTAAGGACACCTTTTACCTCTTCTTCTGCTTCAATGCCAAACAAGGGTTTCTTTCTTTTGTTTTGGAATTATTATCCTGTAATGTGATGTAATAAATTCAATCCAATAAAGTTCTGTGTAGAATCTAGCCCCCAATTATAAATTTTGAATGCTCTGATTCTGATAGGAAAGGACATGCTGTGGCTCAGAAAACTCAACCCTAATTGCCTCCCTGTAAACAAAAAAATCTCGTCTTGCAGACCTAAAGCTTCAACGAATTTTTGGATTGTTCACCAAGCTGCTTCTTTCATCTTAGTTGCCGCACATTAATCTGTTTGGCTTCATCTGTAATCCTGTTTCTGCCTTTCTGTTTGACATGCTGCTTCTGCGCGCCTTAAAAGACATTTTTTTCCAAAAGAAGATAATGGCTTTTCGACGAACTGAACGTTCTGAGCATATCATTTAACTTTATTATTACTACTTTGCAGTTGTAACTAGTGCCTATAAGGTTGATCGTTGGATTTTACTCACCAGTTATGTAGATTGGATCAATAAGCCTAGATAGGTGTAGTTGCCCAGAAGTTTACACTTAGAATCCCCTTTTGTTATACATATCTAGTATTCTGAATGAGTTCTTCTTCTTCTTCTTCGTACTGGTTAGTACAGCTAAACAAAATACTTTGTAAGCAGCATATATTTATTTGCTCTATTTTTGTTTCAGGTTTACCAGTGAGGGGCCATATGGAGTTCAGTGGAGGCTAGAAGTTCGCACTGACATTATCAAAAGTTCTAGCTTGATTTATTAACCAACTAACCAGTATGTCCCTTCCTCCTTATATCATTGACTGTGTTTTCTCACATTAATAGACTTGCTTGTACATGAACTTAGGTTACAAACTAAAGCATGAGCCATCATAGCCATCAATTCTTCCAGTTGACACCTGCACACCCATTTCTATTCGTATATATGTTACTAACATGCTTCATAATACACATCATTGTTGTTTTATCTTTAGAAATAATAGGAAAGAGTTATGGGTATATATATAAAATGAGCACAAGGCCACAAAGCAACATCAAATATATCTTTTATACTGTCTTCATCATCACAAGCAGAACCTCTCATGTATGATGTATTCATAACATAAAGGTTGTTCTAGCTGATAACATCGTGTGAACTTAATATTGCAGTTCATGTTGAGGGCAAAGCAACTCGGCACGCTAACCCAGTGTGCACGGTCCTTCTACGTTAATGGGTCAAGGTGTGGTAGCACTGATGGAGCTTCATGCACATGCCCTGAAGATGAAACTTCTGCTCCAAAAAGGCAGACGGCTAATGGTATCGAGCAGAAGTTTCATTCAACTCGCAGACCCTCTGTAAAGGCTCAAACTCCATCTGTACAACATGTTGTTGGATCCATTGGTCGGGCCACTGGTTACCCTGCTCCAGCTGTTCATATTGTTCCTTCCAACTCATCTCAAGAGACAGAGCCAGCATCTGGCAACACTAGCAACCACCCTCGAACTCCTCAGGTGCTAGGAAATGATTATGTACAGCCTTCTAAGCAGACCGCCAGAAGCATTTCTCATTCTGCAATTGCAGGAGCTGGTGTGTACACTGAGTTAGTAAACCTCAAGTCCACATCAAATAATGGAGGCACCAATCAAGCTTCACAGATGGCCACTAGCTATTCTTACCAGCCCTTGTCGGATGCCCAGCCTTCTAATATCAAGTCACACAACCAGCATAGTCTTCCTGAGGCAAAGATGCCTTATAATCCTTCCGTGCAAAATAATCTTGGGAAGGGTGTATCAAGATCTGGCTATGCAAAATCAAACCAGAGTTTTTCAGGACCTCCTGCTATGGTTGCTAATTCACCATCGCAAATAAAGAATCAAAGACATCCTGGTCAGCGCCACACAAATTATCATTCTAACAATTTCAGTACAGATGCTAGGTGGGATGAAGTTCAAACCCAAAACTTGTCAGCTCCAGCTATGTATACTGGTTCTGGTCACAAATCTCAGGCCCTTGCGGGAACAATAAAGAGTCATGGTGGAGGACCTCAGTCTAACTTAAGATCATTGAAGTCATTGCGCTCAGTTGAACAGTACTACCATACACTGCAGCAAATGAAATGGGGTCCTATGACGGAACACGTTCTGGATAATCTCCATTGCAAGATAGATGCATTCCAGGCAAACCAAGTACTCAAGCTGCTTCATGACCACACCATTGCACTTGGTTTCTTCCAGTGGTTAAAGCGGCAACCAGGTTTCAAGCATGATGGTCATAGCTACACAACCATGATAGGCATCCTTGGACAAGCCAGGCAATTTGGTACGATGAGGAAACTTCTTGATGAGATGAACAGTGTTCACTGCAAACCAACTGTTGTAACATACAACAGAATAATACATGCATATGGTCGTGCAAATTATCTAAGAGAGGCTGTTAAAGTATTCGAGGAGATGCAGAAAGCCGGTTATGAGCCAGATCGGGTTACATATTGTACATTGATTGATATCCATGCTAAAGGTGGATACCTGGAATTTGCAATGGATTTATATACCAGGATGCAAGAAGTAGGGCTGTCACCAGATACTTTCACGTACAGTGCCATGGTTAATTGCCTTGGAAAAGGTGGTCACCTGGCAGCTGCTTATAAGCTTTTCTGTGAGATGGTTGAAAATGGCTGCACACCTAACCTAGTTACATACAACATAATGATTGCTCTTCAGGCCAAAGCAAGAAATTATGAAAATGTTGTGAAGCTGTACAAGGACATGCAGGTTGCCGGGTTTCGTCCTGACAAAATAACATACAGTATTGTCATGGAAGTTCTTGGTCATTGTGGTCATCTGGATGAGGCTGAGGCTGTGTTCATTGAGATGAGGCATGACTGGGCTCCTGATGAGCCTGTATATGGTCTTTTGGTGGACCTCTGGGGCAAAGCTGGCAATGTTGACAAGGCACTAGGATGGTATCATGCAATGCTTCAGGATGGTTTGCAGCCCAATGTGCCGACCTGCAATTCCCTACTGAGTGCTTTTCTTAAGATAAACAGGTTCCAAGATGCCTACAGCGTGCTCCAAAACATGCTTGCTCAGGGGCTCGTTCCATCTTTGCAGACCTACACCTTGCTGCTCAGTTGTTGTACTGAGGCTCAAGCACAGATGGGTTTATGCTGCCAGCTCATGGCGATCACTGGACACCCTGCCCACATGTTCTTGTTATATTTGCCCGATGCAGAACCTGGCGGCCAGAATGTGAGGGATCACACCAGATATTTCTTGGACATGATGCACAGTGAGGACAGAGAGAGTAAAAGGGGTTTAATGGATGCTGTCATAGATTTCCTACACAAGTCCGGCCTCAAGGAGGAGGCTGGCTTCATATGGGAGGTTGCTGCCCAGAGGAATGTGTACCCGGATTCTGTGAGGGAGAAGGACCCATCATATTGGCTCATCAACTTACACCTGATGTCGGAGGGCACTGCAGTGACTGCGCTGTCAAGGACACTGGCTTGGTTCCACAGGCAGATTCTGACAATGGGCAAATGCCCTGAAAGAATTGACATTGTCACTGGCTGGGGCAGGAGGAGCAGGGTAACCGGGTCTTCCTTGGTTAGACAGTCAGTTCAGAAGCTGCTACATCTCTTCGAATTCCCGTTCGTCACCACGCGAGGCAATACTGGATGCTTCGTTGGATGTGGGGAGCCACTGAATAGGTGGCTGCACAATCCTTATGTTGAGCGCATGCATCTGCTCTAGAGACTCTAGTGACTAGTGAGGTTATTCCAGTCAGAAATAAGGGACTCATCTAAACAGGGTGCAGTTTTGGGGGAAGAATGATGATCTGGTGCATCTGTCTAGATTGGTCTGTAGTCTAAGTTGTAGTTCTCTTTGATTCCTTATGCTTTGAAACCTCTTATTTGTGATAACATTTAGAGATGGCATTGGTGCATTTTAAGTGAGATTATCCTGTCTTAATTGATAGCCAATTAGAATCATTTCGTGTTCCAGCACGTCCATTGCTGTTCCAACCTTTTCTGGGAGCTTGAATGACTCGTTAGCTGCTACTGCCAACAGATAACCTTGAGTGTAACTTTATATCTGATTTTATGTTGGAGAAATGACAACTAGATTTGCTCACAGCTGTGCAGAGTACACAATCCACTACTTCTGAACTTGTTTGCTAACTAATAACAAGAGATTGTTTCACGGGTACATCTCTACAATCGATCATTGACCTCTATGTACATCTACAATGTCATTTGTCAATGTTAGTCTTCAGTAGTAAGAACAGGCAGGAGTCCTTTTTGCAGTGTGATACTTCATGATCCGTCCAGTTGCAAATATGGCTGTTGCTGCCTCATGTTGCTTGATGCCAATGTTCCTATGCTTGTCCCAGCTATATACCCACCGGTCCATGCATTCTGTGGAGAATGTAGAATAGATTATAGTTACAAACCATGTTTTCTACTTGAAAATAAGTGAAACATTTTTAATCAAAATAATATTCTATTATTTCAAGTGCTATACTTGATCGATGAGATTGAAATTTGCTTTGTCGTATGTAAAGATCTCCAAGTCTCTAATGAACAGTTCGATCTTTTAAAATAGGTGAAATTCTTTAAGGGAACTTGTAATGCGTACCTGAAAATTGAATCCGCCAGTGACCCCATCAACATTAAGTACCTGCACCACGGTCATGCTAAGGTCAATTGTTCTCTTGCTGATCCAGAGTGTTGCAAGTTCAGGAACAAATGTATACCTCTCCTGCAAAAAACAGGTTGGGCTGTTTCTTGCTTTCCATAGTGCTCAGCGATATCTTTAGAACAGGGCAGCAAATTAGACATATATATATGCAAGTTGATTCAGTTTTGATGAAAACTGCAACCAATTAAGACTAATAACCTCTGAAAGTGGAACACCTCCGGCGGTGACAAATTCATCTTTGAATTGACCCTACAAATGATGATGAGATAACAGTCTGTGAGTTTGGACAGACAAAAAATATTCTTACCTAAATGATTGCGCTCATTATGTTTTCAATTGGTATATTAAGATATCACATACCTTAGCGACAACCTCAAACATCCATTGCTTTAACCTAAGGGCTACTGTGTTTAGATTATTATTTGGTATGGACGCCCAGTGCATATCACCATCTAAACTCTGCGCGAGAAGATTTTAGTGATGAAACCATCAATTAAAATAGAGGAATGAGTAAAGAGCACCGCAGTAATATTATGACCTCCTGTTCTAGCAAGAATTTCCAAAATCTCTTCACCAGAGCGAACTCCATGGGAAAAGAGTTGTTTATTTTGTGCTTCTGCAAGGACTAAAACTTGTTAATTCAACTTCATCATTGCAATTTTTTTATTCAGCAATTAGAACATTCACAGGAACACAAGGAATATTTCTGCAACAGATTACAGAATCCATCTAAAGTCTTGATTAAAACACCCCAATATGTCAAATAGAACAGAGATTTGTACACGTGTCTATTTTTAGTACACACGTTCTGAATTATTAAAGCAAGGACAATCAAGTGTAATGTTAGTCATCAGAAATTCAGATCCTTAGATGAATGCGTGAAGGAGATTATAAAAAAAAAATAGAACATGTAAAGGGAATAGCACAAGAGTGAGAAATGAACCGCATGGTGATCTTTGTGCAGGAAAAGGATGCGCTTCACGTCCTCAATATGAATGTCGGGTATGAAGTCAACGGTGAGCTTTGCTGTGTTGGAAGAAATGTATGGGTATCAGTGAAGTGGATAATATAGACATTTACTTCTGTCTTACATATAATTGTAAAATATTATCATAGTGGAAAATTTCAGATACTTGATGAAACATAAAAATTCTCAATGCAGCTGCCAAAGAGTCAAACAGTAAAGCTAATTGGCTCAGAAGGTGGAGAGACCATTCTTTAGCTGTTTACTGTTTGTTAGAACAATACATCGAAGAATCATATGATCCAAGAGAACAAACAGCAAGAGAAGTGTTTCAAATGAAGGTAAGTTTGTCCAAATCCACTGACAGCATAAAGATTCCTAATATGAGATACCAGTAGTCTCATTTGTTATGAAACTTGCAACCATGCGTAACTCATTGAATAATAACTCAGCGACTTTAGCATTCTACATAGAAGTGACCTCATAAGGATGCCCAGCAAAACAGCAATCTGATAAGAAAAAGGCTCTGTTGTGGATCTACTGAATGCAACTTGTGCAAGTACGGAAACAGACAGACATGGCAAGTAAAATTGTGTTGCCATTTACCAGTAGGCTGCGAATGTAGTGCAATTCCTGCATAGTTCCATTGCATCTTACCTTGGTAGTTGTACTGATGCAGTTCACGTGCTCCCCATGCGGACAAACGAAGAACAACAGGCCCACTAAGCCCCCAGTGTGTAACTAACATAGGTCCAATCTGTAAAGACCAAGCAGTTAATGTAAGCAAACATCTATGAAACAATTGAATGTTGACATGTTCACCTGAGTTAATTCAGGAGCACTTCTCTTAATGCCGTCTAGCTTCAGTTTTGCTTTGACTATTGGGAATGTGACCTACATGGCAGGAGATAATGGGGTGAATAGCTCTTGTCCAATTGACTTGAAAAAAAAAATCTACAATATCAGCTTTCCTCCTTTTAGGAGCAAACTCAGAGGTGTTTTAAGTTTCATAGTAATGTTTACTGCAATTCTAGTGAAAAGCACAGACAGAAACATGAAAAATCCATTGAGGCAGCAAGCTAACGTGAATTCTGAAAGGGTTTCCATGCTTCCACTTGATTTGTGATTTCCACTAGATATCAGACAGAAAACAGGATACATATGCACATGAGATGCTTAAACTCGGATGGAACCTAGACCAGACCATGGAAGCACACAAAAACATGTTAACTCCAGACTCTTCATATGCAATACATGATTGTTTTGTTGTCAAAAGCATAACAGTGATGAAAACGAGATTTACAAGTCTTGGTTGCTACTTCATAACATAAGAGCCACAAAGGTATTCATGGATAAATACCCCAGAGAGGTCAGCCAATCGCTTGTCTGTAATTTTAAATGTGAAAAGGCTGGGCACTGGAGCAATAATAGAGTGACCAAATTGTGCAGCAATTGAATAACCCTGCAGGTAAGAAAAATGTAAAGGAGGAGAACTTTATGCTGTATTATACATCAATAACAAGAAGGGAGGAGCCAAACATCTTTTCTCAAACCTGCTGGCTGCTCCCTGTAGCAACTAAGACATATTTAGCGTTTACATGATCCACAAAATCAACGGTACGCTTCTCAACCTTCACAACAAACTTCCCATTTTCAGTGACAGATGCACCAGTCACAGCTTTACCAGCCTGCAGGGAAACTTCCATTCGATTGTTGTTTAAATTTCAGATGACAAATGAATAAACAACAGAGTCAATTAGGACAAGATACCTCCAAGTCGCCTTGCTTCATTCAGTAGGCAATCTACTATCGATGCAGAATTGTCAGTGACAGGGAAAACTCTACCATCATCTTCTGTCTGATATGAAATCGAACCAATAGAAACAGCCACGACATCAATAACTTGACCGGGTGGGTTCAGACTAATAGATGATCAATGGATGTAAAAGATTTATTTAATAATCTTGGTGTCATGACTATGATACCTTAAGCTCGACACCATGATCTGAGAACCAACGCATAGTATCCTGAGGGCCATGATTTTTGAAGAACGATCCTCTGAGTTCTTTGTGTCCCCTAGGATAATTTCTTGCCATCCCCTGAACAAGAATTCAACTGTCAGTCTGTTACAGTGAAAGTGAACAAAGGAGACGATAGGATAGAGCATATGCATCCAGTGTGGACAAGAACAAACCAATGGCTCCAGATGATGCCCGTTGGTGACATTGCATCGGCCACCACCAGAAATCTTGACCTACAGCAGCCTCGTCGGAAGTGGCAACAAATCAACAGTAACAATGATATATTCGGTGGAAAGGAAGTAGTGCCTGATGGAAAATAGAAATTAAAACAAACAAAGAGAATTTCTATACCTTGGACAAGAACCTTCCTTTGTCGAAGACTAGGACGTTGAGGTGGGGAGCCAGGGACTTGGCCCTTATGGAGGCGTACACCCCGGCGGCGCCTCCGCCCACCACCACCAACGACTGCGCCTCGGCCTCATCCTCCTTTTGCCAAGAACACGCTACCAGGTCCTGGTTGGACGCTGACGCAGAAACGGAGGACGACGAGCTCCTGCACAAGGCGAAGGGAGTGGCGCGGCGGGCGGCGGCGGCGGCGGGCAGCTGGAGTGACGGCCACTGCGGCATTTTTGCTTGTTGGCTCTCCTCCAGCTGAGCTAACCATGGTGTTTGCTTCTGCTTCTGGGCCTCATCTTTATTTGGGCCTCTTTGGTCCTCTTTGGGCTTTGCCATTTCAGTGGGTCGTGGGCCGTGGGCCGTGGCCTTCTTTTAAGTTGGGATCACCGTTTCTGAATGTGCTGTAATCTATTGATTCTTACTACACTTCTACATATACCAAACTGATGTGACATTGTCCCTAGGACGGACATTTGTTATTCAAGAAAAAGGAAAAATCTCATGACATTTGATTACTTTTGCTACAAAACAAGATTCTGTGAATTGAACACTTGGACTTCTCTATTTACCAGACCAGACGAGACAAACCAATTATCCGTGCACAGTACGGCAGCTGGAGAATACATAGTACATACACAATCTAGTACTACATACATTTGGTACAGGCACAGCTCAAGCAAGCGTGCATCATTCGAGATCCTGCATGCAACGCAGCAAGCAGCTTAGAAAATAAAAGCTCTCAACTCATCTCATGTGATGTGCCCACAGTTTTTGCAAACTTGACAGGCAACATGGCAGACAACAATATCAGCCAGCCAGAGCCTCACTACAGATCTGGCTGGAACCCAACAACAAACAGATCCGTTTCCAGTCCAGGACCAGAGTCACCGCTATTCATTCATTCATTCATTGCCTCTTGGTTGGATACATTGAAGCCCACATGTTACATACTGCCAGCTGCCCCCACACAAACAGTTACCAAATTCATCTATAATATGTCCATACAATTGACCGATTGATTATGAAAACATGCTTCTCAGTAACCGAGCAAAAAAACTCTGGCATTGCCATTGTGCTTCACCTCAAACACTTATATATTTTCAGGTGACCAAAAATTATATAACACTACCATGTAGTAGAAAGCTGGAGCAGGAGGGACAAAGATTACAGCAATTCGGTTCAAGTACACGTAGGTGATTGCAGAATTGCAGTCAAGTTAAAGCGAAACAGGAAAATCTGGAAAAAAAATAATCCTCTTTTTTCTTTCTTTATGGACAGGCTGGATCACACGGTGTAAGACTGCTGGATGGTCTCAATGTCGAGGCCTTTGAGCTTCACAACCGATTCTACATGCCCCTTGAGCGTATGGAGCTCCCTAAGCCTGTAACAAATCATCCCAAAGTTAGCTTCACATCGTTATCAACCAACTTATATGTTCAATGTAACTGTTGCCTGCCTATTGGCGCCAAAAAAAGATACTACTTTTCATATTCAAAAATGGATTCATGAGTAACAATGCACTGATGGAGAAAGGGACAGGTGGAACAATACTAAAGGATCCAAGAAATCGTATACGCAAGAAAGCATGATGTTTTGCAAGTGTAGTGTGGTCCTCCTACCTGGCAATCTCCGCCCTCCTCTTCGCCTCTTCAGCCATCTGATTGAGCTCATTGTAGCCAGCCTTCTCCGAGAACATCTTGGCATCAGGCGGCTGCAGTCCATGGAGGGTCCTCTGAGCATGTGCCCACTTGAGCTCCCTCTCCTCCTTACCAAAGTCCTTCTTCCTTGTGAAAGCGATCTGCAGGTAGACAAACATTAGTGAGAATCAGAAACTTAATAGGTGTGAGGGGCCAAGACAGTTGTGTAGCATGCATTATTAATTACCCTTTGCTCAATGACAAGATCCCATGCTTTCCCACTCAAAGCATATCTGATGAGGAACTTGATAATGTCGAGTGGGAAGTAGAAGATTAGATTGTAGAGCCACACAATACCAGCCCAACCCCACCCAATGCCTTTGATTGAGGTGAACGCCCAGTCAGCATACACAGCAATCAGTGTAGCAATCTGTATTTGTTTAAACCAAAAGTTTACGTCAATGCGGCTTTAACTCCTGAAGCAAAATATAAGAGGGAGACAGTGAGAGAGTAGGAGCAGACCAGCTGTGCAACCAAGAAAGCAAAGACCAGCAGAAATCCAGGGCGCTCAACAAATGACCAGCTGCGGGACCTTGTGACAAAGATGAGAGCTTGGCTGATGGTGCTAACTTGGAGGTAAACAGCAGAGGCAAGTTTTTGGAAATCATCTTGAGCTGTCTTCTCAAGGCTTTCAACATGAAATATTCTCTGAAATTTTATAAACAATAAGCTTCAGCGAGTAAAGCAAATAAGGTCCTAAAAGTAGTTCACTAACAATTTAACCATCGTTAGTAGCCAAGAATACTTGCATAGCTGGCTTAAAAATCATCACAAACAAATGTCTCAAGTCTCAACACAGTGCTCCTTACCGGGAAAAAGTCTGTCTTATATGCAGCCCAGAAGAAGATTACTGTCATCATTGCCAAGTATCCACCGAGGACAACTCCAGTTGTAAAAATCTCAGCCAGCTTCCAGCTGTCAGGTAGTGGAGATGGTTTTACCCGATCCTTTGATATAGTCATGATGGTACCTATCGATCACAGTACATAGTTGAATATCTTTATATGCTCATAATTTCTATTGTCAAAAAGCAAGTGTGAACATGTGCAGTGGTTGTGTGCCGGTGTGTGTGTGTGAGAGAGAGAGAGATTTACCATCATTTAGAATTGCTATGATTAGGACCATAAAAGGGGGGAAATCGAATTTCCAGATGAGCGCAAGTAGCATAAATCCAAGCTGTTGAAATTAACAAAGTGAATTAATCCCTCAGAAGTAACACAAATAGAGAACACTGGCACAATTCAGTGTTCAAGATGGATATATATCATAGCGGACAGTTATGGATTGAAATCTCGTAGTATTTGTAACTTGATCTGAATAACATAAAAAAATAATCCCTAGCAGTCGCATCAAGGATAATTGTTCAAATAAATAAATAAATACAGAGACTTGATGCAGCTTGATACCAACACATTAAATCACATAATTAAAAAATGCATGGATATAAAAGTTTTCATTCAGAAGTAAAAGCAAGATAAACATACCACTATACGAATGGTGATTGAGACAGCATAGATCTGCCAACATGAAAATGCATTAGAAAGATAAATTAGGGGAATAAACATATAAAAGAGTACTTGAACACTATTCCGCTTTAACATACAGTGTAGTTCTTCATACGCTGGAAAATTGCACGACTTGTAAGCACAGCACTGATGATCACACTAAGACCAGGTTCTGTGAGCACAATATCTGAAGCACTCCTGGCTGCATCAGTTGCATCAGCAACAGCAATACCAATGTCAGCTTTCTTTAGGGCTGGAGCATCATTGACACCATCACCAGTCATTCCACATATGTGCTTTCTTGCTTGCAGACGTTTCACAATCTCATACTTGTGCTCTGGACAAAAGCCATTCACTCAGTTAACTTAGAATTAAACAATTCATCTTTCCCAACTCTCAATCTTTGCAGTGTAATAACTCCTTATCACCATACCTGGGAATACACCAGCAAAGCCATCAGCTTTCTCAATGAGATCATCAACTGGTAAAGCGGCAATGGACTCATCCTTGTTCTGTCCCAGCAAAGCGGATGAAGGGTACATGTTTGTACCCATTCCCAGGCGACGCCCTGTTTCTTTTCCAATTGCCAGCTGATCACCTGAACATTAGGAGACCAATTAATAAACTAGGACAAAAGAACGCAAATAGCAGTCTTTTGAATGTAATGAAAACGGCTACCTCCAGGAAATATACTATTTTTAATCTGAGTTATGTTCTATTTATCAATAGGACTGCATCAAAACCATGTTCACTGTAAAAATAAAGTGACCAAACAGACAAACGGATAATTTGGATCATCCCATGGAAAGCACAGAACTAGGGTTGAAAAATCTGGCCAGCTAACAGCAGAACAGAATTTCCTGGTGAGGTCTGGGTGCTCACGACCATGTTCTTACATTGTACTATTTGGTTCTCATGTGAATCCTATTTTCCTTTTCTTTTTTTTGTTTAAAGTTGATTGTATAAATCGAGTCTCCAGAATTCTGTATTCCTGCATAAGCCTGAAAAAAAACTGACAATACAGAATATTTGAGCATGCACCTGTGATCATCTTGACATTGACACCAAGATTAAGTGCCCGCCGAATTGTTTCAGCACTGTCGTGCCTTGGAGGATCAAAAAGTGGCATGAGACCAACAAAATGCCATGGGCCACCAGGGCTTTCTTTCGTCCCCTCTGGTACTTCCTACATTCAACAACAGAGTAACACACCACTAAGATAACGTACGCAGTAAACAGTGAAAGAGGAAAGTCATGGTTTGCATGGACAAGACTTGGTAGTTACTAAAATCTACAATTACTTTAAACCTGTTCATGAAATGATACCATCGCTGCTGCACAGTGAAAATCAGGTTATGATAGATGGTGTACTGTAACCCTTCTCACCTGGTATGCTACAGCAAGCGATCTAAGTCCACGTTCTGCAAATTTGTCAATCACAGCATGGACCCTCCGCTCTATCTCCGGTTTGTTATGAGCAAGGTGGAGAATCTGCAGTCAATTATTTGAGTTTACATCATAACATTCTATGCCACAAAATTCAAGTCTGATTATAATGCTGTCTCTCATAAAGCAGCTAAGATATGAATAGCTGAAAAAAAAAGCAGTTCATTCTCCCCATACCTGCTCAGGTGCACCCTTACTAACACGATACATTTTGCCATCACCATCAATGTATGTCAATGCTGTTCTTTTGTCAGTAGGATTGAATGGCAGGAAATGAACTTCTTGAATACCAGCACGGGCCTGTGTTAAAATGTAGGCAAATAGTCATTTCACAACATAACCAAGGTGATATCAGCCACCATTTCAAAAACCTTCGACAAAGCAATATACCTCTTTTGGATCAGCTAGCATCCCAACTATTGCAGTATCAATAGCATCCTGGTTTTCTGTTCGTGATGCTCTAGCAGCCATGAGAATCACTTGGTCCTGAGTGATTCCTCTTTCAAAGACCTGGATTAACAAATTTGATGCTTTTTAACCTAGACATGAAAGTGTTAATAGAATAGAGATTTGTTTTTTCTCACATCAATGAGGTTCTTGTCCACGGTGAGCTTATTCAAGGTCAAAGTTCCAGTTTTATCACTGCAAAGAACATCCATGCCCGCCATCTCCTCAATTGCAGTCATTCTCTTTGTGATCGCTCCCTGAATATTTTAAGTGGTTAGCACATTATACAAACCAAAACTGAAAAGTGACATACATAAAGCAACAGATGCAAACCTGTTGAGACAAGCGGTGTGACCCAATTGCCATAGTCACAGATAAGACTGTTGGCATGGCTATGGGAATGCCTCCAATGAGAAGGACAAGGAGGTTGTCAATCCCGGGGCGGTATGCCCTGTGCTGGATAGGGTACATTACAATGATCTCAACAAACATTCCCACAGCAATTGAGCAAATGCAGAAATTCCCAATAGCCGTCAGGACCTGCGATAATCAGATAATAATATGAGTGAATTACCATGATAGTTTGATGAAGAATACACACATGTGAGGTGAGCATTTCAAACTAACCTTCTGGAAATGACCAACTTGGTTAGTTGAGTCAACAAGGTGTGCTGCTTTTCCGAAGAAAGTGTGAACACCAGTAGCAATCACTATGGCTTCGATCTCACCTTGCTTGACAGTCGAACCAGAATAGACACCATCACCAGGACCTTTGGTGACAGGCAATGATTCTCCAGTCAGGGCAGACTACAACATGAGAGATAGTGAGGAGAAGCCTTGATGGATCATCAAAAGGTGAAGGCAACTTTAAGTCGAGCAATGGGAAGAACCTGATCGATCTTCAAAGGATCTCCCTCAAGGAGACGCGCATCTGCAGGTATAATGTCTCCAAGTTTAATACTTACGATATCCCCTGGTACAAGGATGGCCGCCTCTTCCTCAGTCCATCGGCCATCACGAAGCACCTGAAGAACACAAAATATGTCTCATGGATTCAGAATTGTGAATGGGCCTTACAGGCACATGAAACCTGCCTTGAGAACATAGTGAACAGCATAAAAGGTAAAACCTTGGCCTTTGGTGCAAGACGGGCCATGAGTGCAGCAGCAGCATTGCCAGCATTGTTTTCCTCAATGAAACTGATTGTCGAGTTGATAACAAGAAGAGTTATGATACCAACAAAGTCCTGCCAATCCGGTGGCTTCCCCTGATGATACAACACAAGACAACAAATGTGTTATGTAATCAACTCCTGAATTCTAACCAACAAGCTAGGCAAAATCGGAATTGGCTCAGATATCTAACTGCCTTACCCCTCCATTCGCCAGCGCAATGGCCATGATAGCTGCAGCTTCCATGACCCATGAGAGTGGATTCCACATGAACCCCAAAAACTTGAGGAACTTGCTCTCCTGCCAGTGCCACCATCAAAGTCCCAACTCTTAAGCATTTTCAGACATCTCAGATGCATTTTTTTCTGAAACAGTAGATAAGGAACAAAGCAAACCTCCTTCTCCTCAAGCTTGTTGGGGCCAAAGATTTCGAGGCGCTGCTGCGCCTGCTGAGTTGTGAGACCCTCGCGGCTGCATCTCAGGTTCTCAAACACTTCCTCGAGGGGAATATTCTCCTGCAGGAAAAAAACAAACAAACAAGAATTCACCAATCCAACTCCATGGACGAAAACGGAAACACAAGAAGCATCAGCCCGCCCACCGAATTGTCAGCCGTCACCTATTAATGCATGCAGCCATTGCCACTACAACTACTATTTCGAGAACGGCTGAGCCAGAAGCAAACAAGGCTGGAGCTGGAGATGCCAATGTCGCCACCATGGAATTATTTGGCAGAACGAACCGCAGAAACCCAGATTTACAAGAGCAAATAAACGAATTCTCACAGAACGAAAAAGGGAAAGAAAGAACGGCAGCCATGCAGGGTGCTAAAGAAACGCTAGCCAGTCACAAGAAACGCCAAGAAAACAGGAAACTCGTGAGTGATTGCAACCCAAGAAACCAGGAGCACATGCCCGAATTCCGCGGAACAGGAAGGAGCACCAATCTAGTAAAAGAACGGAAAAGAGAGCACAAAGACGCAAGATTTTGGCGCCGCCGGAGTAGAGAGTAGAGAGTTGAGAGTGAGTTCCTTACCAAGTCGACGGCCTCCTTGAGGACGGCGTCGAGGTTGCCCTCCTTCTCAGCCATGGAGGCACCTCGCAGATGGATCTCCCACCACTGCCTTCTCACCTCTCTCTACCTGTATCCCACCTGTTCGGCTCCCTTCCAGATTTATTTATATGTGGGATAAGCAAAGGAAATCTTGCTTGCAAACGAATGAAAGTTAGTATATGGATAATTTACCTGTGCAATTGCAATCTGGATGGAATTGGATGGGGGTAACTGAAGGTGAAGGTGAAGGAGATGAGATGGTTGTGGAGAGTCACAGGGAGAGGAGTGGTAGGAGTGGGACTCCACTCCACAAATGAATGAGGAGGTAGAGAGGAATGTGGAGGAACAGAGAAACATAACCTTTTCAAATACACATGGAATAAATTGTGGATAAAAAGCCACATGAGGAATGAAACAGAAAAAAAAAAGGGATATTTTTCTGGAACAGAGTAAGAAAAGGGGGATTTTTATCTCGTGCTGCATTTGGATTTAGGGTTTGTTGGAACCATGCCACCCTATATTTGTAAAATTTGAGATATGTCACCCGTATCTCAATGACATGTATGACCCATATGAGTCAATGACATGTGGGTCAGGGTGGCATATCACAAATTTTGCAAATTTTGTGTGGCATGATTCAAATTGTCCCTTGGATTGGATGGGATTTATTGTAGATTTGTAGCCCTTCCGAGAACTCGTTTGCTAAAACTCCAACTTCTAAATTTAACTTAAGAAGTTGGATCTGGAGTGGAGTCGTGAAGCAACATAAATCTAACTCCACATTTCTAGTTCATGTATAAAATCGTTAGCAACAAGAACAAAAAATTACTTCATATGTTAGACATTGCTATCAAAATTATATATAAAGTTGGTGGCAATAAGAAAAAATATAGTCCACTCCCTAGCTTAAAACATTGTCGCTAGACGATGCTCCCACGTGTCAGCCTTTTAACTACAATTAATAACTCCTAATAATATGTGGTTTTACCTTTATTTTTTATTTTTGAACTTTCTTGTTTTTCTATTTTAAAAATAAACATTTTAGAAACTTATTTTTAAGATCAACCAAACAACAATATCACGTCAGTCTAAAATAACCTAAAATAACCTGAGAGCATTACTTAGCTAGCTGACGTGGAAGTGTTATTTGTTCTTACTGGCGTAGCAAAACAAAACTATCATGTCCATTGTGGGTAGCGTGACAGTATTATTTTGCCACGTCAGGTGAGTTGGCGTAGCTAAAAAGTTCAAATTTTTGGAAATAAGTTTTAAAAGAGTTTATTTTTAAAACAACAAATTAAAAAGGTTAAAAAAATAATGAAAAAAACTATTTAATTCTGCTTGGTTGTAACTTAACTTTTAACCAAGCCCGAGGAAAAAAAACTAATTTTATCCAAATGGCATGGTCAACATATCAACATCTAAGGGACAAGGTTTGAATTCTTGTTTAGAAAAAAATAAAACCGTTGATAAAATTAAAAAAGCATGTTTTGCACCCCAAAAAAAACCCAGCATTACCAGTCCATGAAGCATCAAAAAAATGGATGCTAAAAATGCTTGAGCACCAACAAATCAATCAACTCAACAATATGCTATTAATTCTGTGTAAATCTCTCTTGATGTTGGTAATCATCGAGGCAATAGGCCATACTTTCCATTATTAAACTGAAAATGAACAGGGATTCTGCCTAGAACTCTGTGTATGTATACCTAATTAACAATCTGAAGGAGATTAGGTTAGGTGAGCAAACGGTGTCAAGTTTCATCTTAGCAAGTCAGCATCCAGTTGCTGATTGCATGACTATTGTCGTTTCCCTGTACGGATCGTACTTGTGGGTTATCCTGAAAATGAACCTTCCAATGCTTGCTTGGGTTACAGCTAATCCCATTTTCACACATCTGACCTACTTCCTGACCATTTCTCATTTGAAATCTCACACTAGTTTGTCTGTTCAACTAAATGAGCTCAAAATGATCCTACCCTTGTTATTTTTCGGTTATTTTAAAATTTTGAGAATGCAATCGCCTTTTTTTCCCGAAGGATATTTGGTCAATCACGGTCTTAATAATCAGTCAGTCAAGACAAAAATTGTTGTCAGGTAAGGTTCGGTTGTTACTTGGAGACTGGAGAGGTGTAACTTTGTTTCATCTAGAGGTAAGGTTAGGTTAATTAGGTGACTCCGTTCAACTGTCCATGGAAAATGAATGTGCAGTAAATTTGCAGGCTCCCTACATTTAATCTGGCTGGGTAAAACATCAGCGGATTCTGAATATATGAATCCTCCCAGAAAAAAGAATATATTGTCCCAGCATCAAAGCTAGCTAATTTCTTTTCGTTCTACATCTGATCCGTTTTATCAAAACATGCAGCTATGTCATTTTGACATCGTTGTCTCAATGATATGAAATGATTACAGAGTGGTTCACCGAAAGAAACCTTTCCTTCAATTAGATTACCTGTCAAACGGAATGTTGTGTGCGTGTCGAGTGTTTAGCATGTTTAGATTTGTACCTGATTGATATGACTAGAAGAGTTGGATGAAAGAAAAGGGTCGGTACGACATGTACGCCATAAACAAAATCACAGAGATTGTGAAAAGAGCTGGACGATTAGAAATAATGAGATGCCAATAATTTAAGAGAGAACGAAATAATTTAAAAGCAAGCTTCTTCTCGTGTGTCATTTGGAACCTAATCACTAATTAATCAGACTCTTAAGGAAGGAATCACTGATGAAATCTGAGTACTAATTGAACACCATGCGGCAAGTTGTCCAGTTGGAGTTCAGAACAATTTGATGGTTTTTTCCATTTGGAGTAATTAGGTAATCCAGATAGAATTGCTTCCAAATGGCGGGTAATCATACTGAGAACTTTAATCATCGAGCACGTAATCATCTGTGAGAACTGAAGTGAAAATATATATATATATATATATATATATATATATATATATATATATATCCTTGGGTCTGCCGCTACTTTCATGCTTATTAGCATAAAAAGTTTCTCTTCAAAGTTGTTCACCAGAAGCACAATAGACCTTCTGTTAGCATAAATTATAGAACGCATGCATGCTGGAGTGCTGGATACATTTCCAATCACACAAGTAATAAACCAACAAATGAATTAGTTATTTGCTGGTCACAGCACATCATAATTTGCAAGGTTGCATCCACGATCCAATAAAAATACTAAGCAAGAAGGGAGAACAAACTTGGCCAGGCTCTGTCCTTGCTTTCTTTCCCTCTTCTTTTCAGAAAAGCAAGAGCACAACTTTTCCCTTTCCTTCTTTTCAAATAGTAGCAGGATAAAAATTTCCAGAAAGCAAGAACCAAAGATGAAACTAAAGATAATCTGCTTTAGGTGGTGCACTCACAGTCATGCGTGCAAAGGAGGTAGCAATCTTGGGGGTACCATTTCTGTTTTACTTTTGCAACCATGCATTCATTCTTGGTGACTTGGTCTCATCCTTTTCTTTTATTTCAAGTTAAACCATTTTTCATAATCCTAATTAATTTTATTTATTTCCTCTCAGTGTCTTGACTAATGCAAAAGGACACATACTGTTAAATGCCTTTCTGAAACCCAAAGAAACATTTTGCCTGAGGTCTAGGAGCCACCAAACCAATTAATTCCAACTGGCTAATCAAACATGATATCAGGACTAAGAGTAATAACCAAAAAGGAGTAAGATAAATTTTCAACTTTCAGGCTTCTCTCACTAAAAGAAAGCCAATACTACTATATGAAAATGAACCAAACATGTAACTTGTGAGCATACTTTTATGACAACAATGAAGAGGTGGTACCGGATATGGAGGTTGGCCTTTCAGACAGAAAAGGTGAAATAAGGGAGTTCAGAAAGGACTCTTTACTTTGATGGACAGATCGCATTAAATTAAATGATGTAATTTCAGCCAAAGAGTAGGAGAGTACACTTTGGAATAAAGCATCCTATTCCTAACTCATGTGTTCGATTTATGTAACAAACAAATCACTGTCTAAAAAGTCTAACAAATAAATAAAAGGAAAAAAAATGAAGGCATAATGTTTCAGATCTTGGAGCTAGGCATCTTACACATGCACCTGTGTACGTACACACACTAAGGCTGCGTTCTTTCCACAAGTTTCCCAACCCCTTTCCCTCGTTTTCCGCGTGCACGCTTTTCAAACTGCTAAATGGTGTGTTTTTTTGCAAAAAGTTTCTATACGAAAGTTGCTTTAAAAAAACAAATTAATCCATTTTTGAAAAAAAATTAACTAATACTTAATTAATCACACGCTAATGGACCGCTCCGTTTTCCGTGCGGTGGAGTTGGGTTCCCAACCCCAAGTATCAAACACAGCCTAAGGCAGCTTCAATTTCACCCAAAATCTCCTTTAGATGTTCCCTAGCTAGCCAATCATCATCTTAATGATAATAAGATTCAACCTGGATCACATGGTTCTCGCTGTCATCGAGATGAGATAGCCTACCAGGCCGATAGAGCTCATATTCATATCATCATATGAGGATGATGAACTATACGGTTGGTTGATTGATCGATCCATTCATAACACTGGGTATACTATACATGCATGTGATGTGAGCATTATGTCCAAATGTACAATCACCTTTAGATTCTCTAATAGCCAGCTACTACAAATCTCATGCAAGCAGTTTGGAATGCCCACATGGCACTAAGGCAACACGCGGGGAAAAATTACGAGATGAATAAAACCACAAAGATTCAGCACCAAGCATCAAACAAATCACAGCGGGTCGCCGATCAAACTCCCACCAAACGCAGGATACGTTCAGTGGGTTCGTTTGTTTACGGCCAGAAAGAAAAGACACAACAATATGAATGATAGCGGGCAACAGCCAACAGGATTCCATTCGCCTAAGCAAAGGACCAATCTACAAGGTAGTAAGTGATATTACATGGATATTCAGATAGATGTCAGTGGTGGGCGCCAGCGTTACACAAATTTATCAGGTCCATAAGGGTAGAGTACAATACTTCAAGAGAAACATAGCCCAAAAACCTACGCTTCTCAAACTCCTGACTATCTGCTGACATCTTCCCATCCTCCGTTGGGTGATCAATAGTAAGGTACCAAGAAATGCATCCACAGGTGTCGTCCGGGTCAACATTCGCCACCAGGCCAAGCGTTTCACCTTGCTCAAGATCAAAGTAAAGGCACAGGAAATCTCTAGTCACATTCATACCGAGAACCAATGCTTCTTCATGAAGCCAGTGGATTACTTGACTAGCAACCTGAACAGAAAAAACAGTGAGCACATCATTCTGACAAAATAGACTTAAAAAGCAATTGTTGTGACATGGGTAATATTCATGGGCAGCACAGTATTACTTGGAAACAAATCCTTATGATGATCCACTTGGATTAAATTAAATAGCCCATCAAGACAACCAAAGTTGAACAATGACAGGTCTATCAAAGCATAAACATCTTGCTCCCTTTCTCGCACTGTATTCAGTGCTTTCAGTTTTATATTACATGAATGGCCACTGCCTTCCAGACCTCTTATGTGGGACAATATTAACCTAAAAAAATGTGGAAGCATGGCAAGGCACTAGAATGTTTGTACTGGTGTCCTGTTCAACTCAACATGCATGCCACATTCATTTTGAACTGTTAAGCAAACTAATCCTGTAGGTCAATAGGCACAAATGAAGATTTCCTCAGGGAAAAAAACTAAGAAAAATGCATTACCATTGTGCATTTCACATTCAAATGCAAGGAGTTTATGTTACACATTTGCAATGCAAGAAATAGTCTGGCTCATTGCATTATCAATGGACCATAATGAATTCCAATGGTAATAACTTTAATAATTTCATAAACATGATCTACCAAGAAATAATTTAAATAGTATCATCAGAAGTTTACCTGCTGCAGAAGCATTGTTGGGAGGTCCTCCAAGTCACAATTGTAGCTATTTACCAAATATCCATCGGAGGGCTTCCCAGTCAATGATCCAGCAATGCTTGGGGAGCCTTCACCCATTAGACTAATTTGGCTATCTTTCACGATCACCTTAGTATTGAACTGTGACCTGGATTTGTACTTAAGTTCATGGTTATCAGAAGGCTTTGCAATCCGATCTGCAGCAAGGATAGGCTGAGGAACTTTCAAGCATAGAGACCAGGAGGAAGTTCGAGAATGCCAAGTAGGAAGAGAACGCAAATGGAGATATGGAACCCTGCTGACCTGCAATACAGAAAGGAAATTTAAATAATGATCTACATGCAAATATGTAGCATCAACAAGCTTATAGGAGCTATACCACACTCTCAAGCTCCACGAGTACTTTGTTAGAAAATATCCTGTGAGCCACTGTCAAGCAGAAATGACCTAGCAGGCCATAATCATCACCTGCAACCTGAGCAGGACTTTGGTAGCGACCAATGTTAAGGGATTTCTCCCTGACCTTCCTAAGAATGTTCTCATGAAACAATTGTAGCAAGTAAATTTCCAGACTTCTGGGATTAGGAAACCCTGTCACGTCTTTTCTTAAAGGGTCCAGCTTCCCATTCATAGTGACCAACACAAGATTTGAGGCATCCTCTGAATTGGCATGGTCTTCATGGTCTACCATTTCTGAGTCACTACCATCTCCAGAATGAGCAAGCGAGAGGCACAATGAACATTCCTGACCAATAGCTAATTGGAGAAAATCTTCACGCATTCCAGTCACATTGATGCCTTGAGATTGGACAAATGTCTCACGGATCACCATATCAAATACCTACAAAGGCATACACTAAGCTAAGCCACAGAACGATATACATAAATAAATAATGATAAACCCGGGGAGGGAGGGGTGGTGGTGGTGCAAGATGTCATCACATGATATACAATAATTTTCCATGATGCTATAGTTAAAACTTAATTAAGAGCATTCTATACAGGAATTCTTAGCATGCCAAGCAAACACTTAGCTGACCTGCTCCTCAAATATTGACTTGTGGATGTTGCGAAGAATAGAATGTGCATGTTTGATGGATTTATTGACATCATCATTGTCTGTTTCAGAGGAAGTGATGCTTGAGATGCCATCTTTCAGTTTATGACCGTAGTTTTCCACACCATTGGCACTGTCCCCTCGAAAATTAAGACTCAAGAAACGGCAAGATTTTTGAGGGACTTGTACGGACAAAGTGCCTGATGAGTCTTGGTCAATTGGAATCAATGGTAATGATGACAGTCGAGGCATTGCTGCTGTGTCCAATTGAGAAGTGTCGATCAGATCAAACATGAAGCCCTCACTTCCTGGACCACTTCCACCAAACCGTTGCCGCTTCACTTTCCAGTTCTGCTGCAATCTGCCACCAATCCGCGAGTAATTCATGGTGCAAACTTGGGTGAAGTGGTATTGAAATAACAACTCAAGTTAAGCAACAAGACATGCCTGATTAATGAGCCATAGAACCTAGACTCTTTTTGGAACTGCTGCTCCATTGTTTTGGCAGATTGTTTGAAGTAGCGTGACAAATGCTGCGAGGACACAAATGAAGATCACAACAGGAAGCATGATAGATGCAAGACGGAAGAGGAAAGTGGCAAGCGATTACAGAAACAAATTGAGTTTGTTTTAGGTTCCATTTTGTTCCTTAGCCGTGAATTGAAGTAATCAAACATAGGCAGTAGGGTGACATACCCGAACGCGCTGAAGCTTGGTGGCTGCAGAGACTGCGGTGTCAACTAAGGTTTCGGTTGGCAGCGATTTGGGCTTGAGCATCCCAGCGACTGCCACTGCATCATTGGCTTCGACCTGCATTATCAAGTAGGATTGTCTCCTCTGTCAGGAATACAAACAATCGCATGCAAATAGAATGGGGTTTGCAGTATTGTGTGTGGGAAAACTGACAGTGGAGATGAGGTCAATGACGACGGAGAGCTCCTGCTGCGCCTGCTGCAGGCTCTCCATCATGCCCTGCCACGGCCATGCCTGCTGCTGCTGCTGCTGGGCGGTGTCCTTCTTGGGCTTCTTGGCGTCCTTGTCGATGACCCAGGAGAAGTCGATGCGGCGGATGGCGGAGAGGCGCTGCTCCTCGCTGCTGGTGTCGCTGCGGAATCCGAATCTCAGTGAACGGAGAGAGGTGGGGGTTAGGGTTTCAGGGGAAGGGAAGAGGTTGGTTTGGTTTGGTGCTTACGGCGGGTAGTGCTCGTTGCCGGCCTCGTCGATGGCGTGGAGGCGCTTGATGGGGAGCTTGTCGAGGTCCACCCGCACGGCTTCCTCCATGGCGAAGGCGAGGCAGCGGCGGCGGAGGGCTTAATTAGATCGGAGACAATTTTTTGAGTGAAGGAGGCACTGCCTTGGGGCTCACGAGTCCCGCTCAAGAGCGGAAGGGATCCCCCCGCGGGAAGCAGAAGCGGCGGCCGGCGGGGTGGGGGCGGCCGCCGGCGAGGTCGTCGGGCGGCGGAGTGAGGAGGAGCGAATTCTCGATCGAGTTTGGGTGCTGGACTTTGGAGTTTCTTCTCTGGAAGAGAGTATGATGGGCCTTTTTTGACTTTGGGCCGGCCTAACAAGTAAATGTTGCTGGGCTGGCCTGGACCAGTTCCAGACTTCCACTACTCCGAATGGGCCGGAGTTTCTTTTTTTATTTTCCATTTCTCAAGGCCCCTCGGGAGCAGGAATTATCTCCTAGCAATGGTAAAACGAAGGCTTATATCAGAGAGCTTTTTCTTATCAATGCCTACAAGACAACAAGGCCTGTTCTTCTGTTGTTCGTCCATGGATCACAAGTTTCAGGGAACAAAACTCTCTTTGGTGCCGGTGGCAATGATATTCCAAACTCAACCGCAAGTTGTGATCAATCTGCAACGTATCAGGGACGACGGATATTTCACAAAATAAGTAGTAGTATGTCGATTCTTCAGTCCAGCTTCTGAATTCCAGGCCTTTTGAAGTTGAGCAAGCAAGTAAATTCAGATAATCTCTCTGCAAACCAACTATACAGTGAGTGACTGAATTTCTACTTGCGCGGATCGATGTGCCAGAGCATTGCCAATCACAGAAACAAGTTGCAGATGAGATTGTCATACTAGCTTACAATCAATGCCACCATCCGCTCAAAACTCACAGCAATCAATCACAACCTGAAGAAACAATGAGGACAAACCACTGTCCACCGGATCGAGTTGGCAAAACCTGGACGACCAAGGGGGTTCGGAGAATAAAACTCCGACCCCTATTCATGAAAAAGAAAAGCACCGCAAACAATTCGTATCATAATTCTTGCAGGTAACACCGTAACACCATAAGTTTGAGAGAAATGCGCCAAATACAACAAATTTGGCGATTTGTTTGTTTTCTCTTTTTCAAAGGTAGCATATAGATTTGCCTTGATAATAGTATCAACAGATGCAGCGCTATAACCATATATACTCCATTTCTTCTCCATTCCCTTGCTTCATTGATTTATGACATACTCAGAAAGACTAAAATAAGCATCAATTTCACACTTCACAGGCCTGTTGTTCACAACTACTGAGCTGCTGTGTTATTGTATTGCTACTAATCAATACCAGCATCTCTTTAGAAAAATCATTAGCGATACACAGCTTACATTTTATTGGATATCACTGTCATTGTATCACATCCACTCCTCCCAGATCAACATATGCAATCATCATGCCTATGCCAGTTTTTTGCATGGTAAATTCTACTACTACCAGTGGCCCAGTGCCATGTGATGTCAACCCCAACAGCTTTGTATATTATTACCCCTTATTATAAACGCATCATACTCACTATTGGGGGGAAAACATGATTTTTCATGCTGCTGCGAGAGGGCTAGAAGAAAGAAGTTGCAGTCTTAATATATCACACACGCAGCATGAGAGCAGTGACATAATAACGGCTACGGACTACCATTCACAATAGTTTCAATCGTTGCTGCCGAAATCGTCAAAACATCTAATTTATCATTAGCTCGAGATTGGCAGCTATAATTGATGACAGCGACAAACAGCATAGACAATAAGACATCTAACTACGGATGGATTAGAATAATCCATGCGGTAGGGGGCTAATGAGGATTACTAGCAGTAGCAGAAGGCCCGGTGAGCATCTTGTCAACTTTTGCCAAAAGCCCCTGCATTTCCCCAAGAAGGTTTTCTGGCATTTGCTTTGATCCATCTGATGGAGTTGCCTTCTTGACAGATGAATGGCCAGCCAGGGATGAGATCATCCTCTCCAGGTTTTTCCTAATATCCGTAAGGGGAGGCTTTGAAGCTGGCGAAGGCACGCTCAACTTGATTGGAGGAAGATAATGAAGCCTTGGTGTAGCAAACGGGGGACCAAACATACCAAGAGTTTCTGCGCTGTTGTAAGCCGCCTCAGCTTCAGCACTTTTCCCAAACACAACACGAGCGCTATGGGTATCTTTTACGATGTCCGTCTCAGACTCAATCACGAGACCAAACTTACCAAATGCAGAGAGCAATTCCTCTTTGGAGGGCAGAACAACACCCTTTGCAAAGTCCAAAAGAAGGGCTGCTGGGTTTCCAAAGTGCTCTGCAATTTTCTTCTTCTTTTTCTTAGGAGTAGAATAAGCTATATCAGGGAAAGCACTATTGGTAGCTTCACCAGAGGAATGGTTTACATTAGCTCCAGGAACCATCTTCTTCAGGCTAGGCTGATCGGCCCTCTGGCCCTCATCTTTGAGGGAATTGCTTGCTGCTGCTACATTAGTGCCATTGGCGACCTCCGCTTTCATAAGCATTTCCGGCACCATCGCTTCAAGGGAAGCATAAGATTCTTGGACCGTACGCACTTCGGCGCTTGCATGTTCTTTATTTCCATCTGTCGGCTGAGATAGGGATACGTCTTCACTTTTAGGAAGAGGTGCACTTTTGTCAGTCACATCTACAGCAGCATTCTGCCCATCTCTGTGTAGAGGAATATTAGCTTCAGACTTCACTGCTTCCACCGGAACACATCTGACAGGCACATCTACTACAATGCCTTGCACACCTGGATCTGCTTGAATGTTGGTATGCAACTGTCTTGCTTCCAGCATACCTGCATCATTCTGTTTTGCAGGTTGGTCAGATAAATTCTTGCAAGCATTGGCTGGGGTCTTCAAAACAGATCCACCATTTGCTTTGTCCTGCTCCTGTCCTGGTTCTTTTGCTACCTTCGCTGAAGCTAATGTAGGGCTCTTAAAGTCTGGCTTGATCTTCTCAAGCTGCACACCAACTGCCATACCCCTTGCACCATTCTCTGGTTTCGTCGGGCTTCTTATGTCTTCTGCCCTCGCTTGCCTGATAGGAATAGCAGGGGTAATTGTTACACCACAGCCTAGGGCAGCCGCAGGAGATTTCTTCCCCCTCTTCTCGGTCTTGGTCGAAGAACTCCCACCCTCATTTTGCCCCTGTTTTCTGGTCCTCTTCAAAGCACACTTGCCTGGTTTCAGAGCAGCACGTGAATTTACAAAAGAATCAGATGTCTCCACAGCAGCATTTGTAAAAGCATTCTCCGTAGAACACTCGTGTGCTATAAAGGACTTGTAGTCAGCATCCTCGACCAACAATGAACTTGTATACAAAGAAAGGAAGGCATGGACGGCCTTCATTGACCGTATCCTATGGAAGACGTCCAGCCCAGTCCTGCGCACAAAAAGCAAGACCTCTTGTGGAGAAACATTCTCCTGCAATGGCTTTGGCAATACCTTGTATTCATCATCTTCAGCGGCAGCGGGTGGCGATGGCTTTGGCGAATCAGACGCCTTCTGGACAAGGGCAATCCCGCCCAAGTTGGTGTAGGGCGGCGACAGATATTTGCTCTTCTTGCGCTCGCGCTTGTTGGACTTGGAGATGGTGGTAGCGCTGTCCTGGTGGTGTGGCGTAGCCTTGTCATCGTCATTGTCCATGAGCTCGGCGACGCTGCGCTTCTTTTGGGTGGGTGTCTCCTGCGGCACCTCGAATGGCCTGGTGTCCTGGTCCTGGGCATCCCAGGCGGCGGGCACATCGAGGTCAATCTTGTCGACCAGGTCGGCGACGGGGCGGCGCGGGTAGTGGCCCGGGCCAGCGGGACCCCATCCGTTGGCGAGGGCGGCGACCCAGGCCTTGAGCCTGGGGAGGTCGAGCAGGCCGACGGAGGAGGTGTCGAGAGCGGCGTGGCGGAGGGAGGCGAGGAAGTCGGGGGGCGGCAGGTTGTGGAGGGTGGCGCGGAGGGGCGGGGGCGGTGCGTCGGGGGCGGGGGCGGGGGCGGAGGCGCAGGGGCAGGTGAGGTGGGCGTGGAGGAGAGCGGCGGCCTGAGCCTGGGCGTGTTGGACGGCGGCGACGAAGGCGCGGGTGGTGGTGGCGCGGGCCATGAGGTCGGCGTCGGGGTGGGCGAAGGGCCTGAGGTCGGAGGCGCGGCGAGGGGCGTGGTCGGGGTCGGGGTCGGCGAGGTAGGAGACGAGGCCGTCGGGGAGGAGGTGGGCGGGCCACCAGGGTCGGCGCTTGGACTTGGCCCAGACGAGGTCCCCGGCGGCTAGGGTTTGGGGGGTTAGGGTTTCCGCCATGGCGCGGAGGAGCGGAGAGGAGATCAGGGATCGCGGGTGGGAAGGAATGGGAGTAGACTCCGTTTGTTTGTCGTGGAATGGAAATGGAACGGAAGGCGGCGGGGCGGCGAGCGGCGCGGCGGGCGGCGGGCGGCGGCGGGATCACCTACCGCTCGGAGCGGTGCGGCGGTGGCAACTGACACTGACTCACACTCACACTCGTCTCTCTCTCAGCTCAATCAACCGCCGCTTACTAGGCTTTGTGGTTGGGCCAAATTCTAATCACGGCCCAAAAGTTCCTGTACACTCACTCGACTTGACTGGATTTCCTTACTAGGCTTTTCTTTTCTTTTTCTTGACAGGCCTCTGTTCCAGTAGAGCTTGGGCTTCTCCTACGATTGTCATATGGGCCGTTGGAGTTTGGGCTTCTCCAATGCAATCCAACGGCCTCTTCTCCCTCTTATCTCTGCAACTTTAAAACACAGAGTCATCTTTCTTTCATATGTTTTATTCTCAATCATCATTTCAGTACATTTCTATTTATATAGCCCTGCCTCGTTACGAACATTACAAATTACATTATAGTATGTTCTTATTTGTATGCAAATTAGGGCCATATTACCGGTACTATAATAATATAAGAAAGCAAAGAGAAAGAAAGAGAGACAAGTGTTGTTTGGTTCACTTGAGTTGGGTTGCACACCATGCCATATATACGTGGATTAGTAGCACTCACCAAATTCAATCATTTGCAGCATCCATACATGTAAGCTTACAATACAATATTTATTTGACCGAGCACGTACGCAAATGCACTCTTTGACAAATTAAGCAAGATCCGAGTGATCGACCATGTTTTCCGGAGGACTTAACTGAAGTAGATAGATATTCAGATACTCCATCTAACTACTACTAGATGATACTATATGCGTACGTCACTCAGTCAATGGGACGATCGACTAGATTAAATTATTACTTTCACCATCCTAATTAATCCTATCTTAGTATAAAATTATCCCCCACTAACTCCTTAAGCTTAACATGCAAAGATGTCACATCATCATCCACTAACAATCATCACATTTAAATATCATGCAAACATGCTATATCTTTATAGTTTTTATAATTTAAGAGATTTCAAATACAAACATGTTAAATTATCATCCAACATAATTTACATAATGTTTCAATGTATATCTTTATTATGTTTTATGATATCCTATATAGTTTTATAGTTCATCCTTATTTAGTTAGTGCTTAAATGATTAATCTATGGTCCAAATTATCTTTCTCATTTTTTCATCTAATTAAGTCATATCACATCAATTATTTTTAACCTTTAGATGATTAATCTACTTTCCAAACCATCTCCTTATTTTTCTTCTTCCAAAAAGTCATACCACCTTACTTTTTACATTTGAATCACCATTGTACATACTATTTAAATTTAAATTATCATAAACCACATTAACTTACTTCTTAAACTGATGTTATCTAGCTATCTTACAGGTTATTTTTATTGTTTCCATACTAAATTTTCCACAGCAATACGCGGGATTTCACCTAGTTAATGAGATATGCATACCACAATCGTTCAATTCAGTCATATTTTTACTATCAATCACTTATTAATCCATTCATTTTAAATTACTAATCGTTACGTTATATATTAGTTTAAATCAAACATTTTAATCTTTAACGTTAATTTCTATAAACTCATACAGTTTAACATCATAAAATTTATATTTTTATATACCATAGAAATAATTTCATAATATATGAATCACATGCTAAACAACACATATTTTTAAAATTGGCATATATGTAGTGCTACATAATATTTATAGTTTTCATAGAAATATTACTTGTCGCATGTACTTCTAGCAGGTTTTCGGGAGGAATCTAGAAATTAATGGTACCACTGTACGACAATAAATAAATAAATAATGCTATTGATAGGCCACTCGGCCAGATGTCAAAAACCTAACGCTACTCTTGATACATGTGGGAATATGTGTACATGCATAAAATATTTCACGCGAGCTTCAAATAATATTTTATCCTAAACAACTTATCTAGCGCCCGTTTCGTCATGGCGCCTAGTGGGAAAACTATCTCTTAAAAATCCTAAATGCAAAAATTGTTTCCTTGATTATTGTCCAGTGTCCGTGCCATTCCAGATCTCAAATCTCCAATCCATCGTCGAATCCAAACCCTAATCTCAAATATGTCCTAAATCAAATCCTCTCGAAAAGTCTACTTTGCCTCCCTTGAGTCTGTGGGCCGATCTCTTCTCCCCGGCCCATTTCCTCTCAGCCCATCTCTCCCTCCTCCTCCATCCTTGCCCGCACGTGCGAGGCACGTGCGACGCTCGGGCGCTGAGCACGAGAGAGAGCTCGCTCTCTCTTTCTCTTCTCCTTCCCTCTCTGCTCCCGCTACCGCTTCCTGCCGACGCCGCCCAAATCGCCGCGCCGTTGCTTCCCGCGCGCGTGCGCGCGCCATGGTGGCCGACAGGCCAGTCGCCGCCGCCGTCAGCGCCTGCCGCGCCTGAGCCCGCGCCTGCCGCCCTGTAGCCGCGCCCTTCCAAACCGCCCCCGCCGTCATCGCCGTCGTCACGACCCGGCCCCACCACCACCGCGCATGCTTCCAAGGGTTGGAGGCAGAGCTCCTCCTCCCACTGTCTCGTCGCCCTCTCTCTCCTTCCTTCTTTTCCCAAAGTGGCAAGAGGCAAGTCTCCTTTCCCTCTTTCCTTTCTTCTTTTTCTCCCCCGCCGGCGTCATCCTCCCTGTCGCCGTTTTGGCCGCTAGCCGGAGCGCTAGCTCGCTGGCTTGACCGCCCAATGTCGGTTCCGCCCTCCCAAACCGACATTGTCGCCCCTATAAATCCGAGCCCCTTTCCCCATTCCAAACTCCCTTGTTTTCGCCTTCCGTCTCCACCGCACCATTGTCGCTCCGCCCTACTTGCACCTCCGCCATTCGTTGCCAAAGCACCGGGAGAGCCGGCGCGTGCGAAGGACGCGTGAAGGGGACTCCGCGCGCTCGTCTTCTTCCTCTTCCCCGGCCCGAGGCCGGAGAGATCACTCCCGTGCCGTCGGCCTCTCATCACAGCGCCCCGCCTCGTCTCGGTAGGGCATCCCTCCGTTCTCCCTCCTCGCTCCATCTCTTCCCCTTAGCTTTGAGTAGCAGCTCGAGTAGTACCCCAGTAGCTAGTTGGCGCCGCCCCAAGCCGCGCCGCCGCTCGCAGTAAGCTCGCCGCCATCGCACCCGCGCTCGGTAGTAGCCGCCCGTCGCCGGCCTTCCTCGGCGATGACCCGTCCAATCCGACGCTAAAAACGGATTCCCGGAGTCACGTAGATGCTCTAACTCGCCCGAATCGATCTCCCGTCATGCCGTCGCCGTTTCCCCCTTCTCTCGCCGCCGGTTGCCGCCGCCGCAACCCGCCGCCGTCGAGCCCCCTCCGGCGAATCCGAGCCGTTGGCTCGTCTCCCTTTGTCCCGTGCAACCTCCCGGTGCGCTCGCCCATGCCTGCATCGCTGTAGATCGCCCCGCCGCTCGCCGCCGCCGTCCGCCATCCGTTCCGGCCGACGTCGTCGTCTTCCTCTCACCAGCCCACGTGGCTGCCACGAAGGCGGCACGTCGGTGCCACCTCGGCCGCGACCGGGTCAAGCAGACCTCGGTCCGCCGCTCCCCTCCGCCCCGCTCGCGCACGCGGTCCACCGCGAGCCGTGAGGCTGCGCGTGGGCCCGCCGCATCCGCACCCACCGCGAGCCGCGCGCGTGCATCGCGCCCCGCTCCAAACCCTAGCGCCGCGTCGCGTGCTCCTCGCTCACGGTGAGCCGAGCCGCCGACAAGCAGGTCCCACTCGGGATCACGCGAGGTGAGCCCGGTCCACCGACTCCCTCTCTCCTCCCCTCCCGCGTGCCTTTGGGCCGCCTTCTCGGGCCGGCCGGCCCATTAGCTCGGCCGAGTCGCGCCTCTTCTCTCGGGCCGCGCCCTAGCCGCCCGAGGGAAGTCTGTTTCCCCTCCCTCTTTCGTTGCTAATTCAAAAAGGGTTTAAATAAATCCTTTTCTTTTAGTCCAAAAATCCGATGATCTTAGAAATTCAATATCTTTTCAACCATACATCCGTTTGACTCCGTTCAACTTCCAAAATTCCTCAAATCTCGAGATCTATCTAATGGCACGCTTAGAGGTCAATAATAGGGCTTTAATTTCGCCGTTTGTTGAGTCATCTCGTTCGCGTGTAGCTTCAGAGCCCGAAGACCCGGAGTGCGCGGATTTCGAGGATCAAGCTCAAGATCTCGAGCAAGGCAAGTCAACTTTGATCATCTTGCACCTATAATTTAAAGGGACAATTCGAACCATGCCACACAAATTTTGCAAAATTTGTGATATGCCACCCTGACCCACATGTCATTGACTCATGTGTGTCCTACATGTCATTGAGATACGGGTGGCATATCTCAAATTTTGCAAATATAGGGTGGCATGGTTCCAACAAACCCTAATTTAAATCTAAGTATTTCTTTTCCACAAATATTGCATGAATAGGATTAACACAAGTAAATCGGCCGCGGCTTGCGAGATAGCCTGCCGGCCCAACCCTAATTGTTGCAATTACCCTCCTTGAATTATTGAACACTTAAACCTCCTTTGTCGACTGTTGTGCTTCGATGCACGGGACTTCGGGCACGCGCATCGGGACACCTCCCCTCAAATTTAAAATATCCAACGATGGGTAAAACTTGGGGTTTTACAAAAGACTTGGAAAAACCCGACACCTGGGTCGGTGCTTGCGAACTAAATGAATTTCCAAAATCGCGGATCGAGGAACGTACCGGGAGTACGGTTTCCCGCTCTTGCACTTAAGGACCGTTTTCCTTGGAATTTCATCCGAACATAAGGCAAGTGCGACCACATGGGTGGAATGGGATGCCCCTGGCTGAGTAATTAGCTAATCGAGGCAGCCATTATGCCAAGAGACATGTGGATTCAACGGGGTGGTGCCAGGGAGAACCCCCGGGCTTCCTGGCACAGTATGGTCTGGGACCTAACCTAATGTCGGTTTGGGACCCCTCTCGTTGGCATATGGTGAACCTGTGTCAGCTTTCGAAATGCCTTGTCATGAAAGCCTCAAGGTCTCTAGACGTGGCCGTTCTGCACGGGCTGGGTGATCCGGGTTAGTAATGTCGTGTGGGTAAAGTGTACCCCCTCTGCAGAGGTTATTAAACTATTCGA